GTCAACGTACGAATTATTCGCCACGCGTTTGAACCAGCGCAAATGGAATTTTAATGAGAAAAAACTTAATGGATAATATACTTTTTGCCTGCTGGAAGACGGCGCAAGTGTTATTGTGTGTAGATTGGCTCCAAATGAGAGACGCGCGTCTAAAGAACTGAATTACATGGCGTTGAATTGGGAGATAAAATTCTAATTTTATTGTTTCTTGAAATTTAATGTGCGGTTCATATGATTTATTTTCGTTTAAGGCAATTCTCAAATTTTTAGTGACTCTAATTCTATTATTATTTTGTAATCACTAAAGAATCATTATTTTTGAACGATATTGTATAATTTAAATTAACCGACATTCGCTTGAATTTATTAACAGCAATTGAAATTTCATCTTACTCCATTGCAACGTTTCATAAAAAAAAAAAAAAAAAAAAAAAAAAAAAAAAAAAAAAAAAAAAATAAATAAATAAATATTTTTTCATACAATTTCAAACTTATTTCTAGAAAAAAAATACAAACATTCCTTTAAAAAAGAGAAAAAGGAAATAAATTCAATTTAAATAATAACGATATACTTGTAATCGCATCTCATTCAATAATTACATTTTTCAAGCCTCGTGCATTTTGTAATATTCGAACTTTTTTAAAGGATAGGGAACATCTTGAATATTTATATAAATTACAAATTGAAAACATACAATTTTGAAATAACATATATGTAATTTAGCATAAGCCATCGTCCGTCTCTTAATACAGAACCGTTGCATTTCGATTCTACACGCACACGTAAATCACATAATGATCTGTTAAATTCCACTTGTTCGCAATGCATATAAAATAATATTCCATAAAATCATTGGGACGTGAGTAGTTTTTCCTTGAAATCATTTTAATCAGTACCGCTCGAAGACACATATGCAATAAATATATAATTCTCGTCAATACGAACAAATGCATTTGCAATTAGCAAAATAGAAATTTATGATCATTTAAAACTGCACGAACTATACTTTTTATTTAAGGATATTTAAAGGAGCTTAAAGGTTTTAAATAAGCACAGCATTCTTTGCAGAGGAAGTAAAGGAATTAGAAGTAATTTAATAATGGCCTTCCAAGCTCGAAAGTAAAATATTATTTCGCAGTAATTAATATTATCAATTAATTGTCCGCTCAAATGAACATAATATTAAACAAAATCATTGATAACCATGTTCTCGAAAAGAAAAAGAAAAAACGAAGAAGAAGAAAAAACGTGACCTATGATTATCTTAAGATGATTTAAAAACAATTCATAAAAACTTGCAATAAACTTGATTCGCGACATATAATAGCCAAAAATAATGCTTTATTTTCATAATGTCAGTCGCATTTTGTCACTGTAGAGTAAAGTAGTATACTAGATGATTAAAAATCACAAGGATACTCAGAAGTTACTGCTTCCGGCGCCTAGAAAGTTGATTTTCCTTCTCGTCACGCTGCCGCTGTCAAGTAGCACTTGAGCTATTATACAGCCAATTTATACCAAAATATACAAGAGTACATAGTCACAAAAATCGCGTTTTATGGCATAATAGAAGACATGTTTACTCGTGTATTTTTTTTTTAAGTTTGTGCGCGAACGTCTTAAGATGAGGTCATAAACATCTCGTTTTACATTATGTCTCTATAATACCAACAAGGTGCAAGTTTTCATGTTCTCACCTTAACAGATATTGCGATCAATGACTTTATATCTTTTTAACATTCTTCATTTTATTTAATAAAGTTCATTTATTTAATAAATGCCTTTAAAGATCTAATATTTTTTTTTCTTCATTGTTCAAAACACATTGTAACGTAACGTTAAAAACAAAATTTTTCATTGAATTGTTCTCAATTAATATATTTAATATACAATAAAAAATTAATAGAGCCTTATAGTTCTACGTTTTACTTACACAATCACATCTAATAAATTTTTATTTAATTCCTAATTCAACAGATTATAATGGGAAAGAACGTTTATTTGATGTTGTTGAAAAAAGTAAGTGCGATATAATAATAATTTATTAGTAAATTAAGATTAATTCTTCGTTTTATAAGATTATGATAAAACGTATGACCGTATCACTGTATGAAACTTACGATTCAATTAATAAATTAGTTAATCAATAATTTGAAGACTTACAATTTAGAAATACATATAATAACTTGTAGATTTACATATGTTACAAATTTAAAAATCACCTCCAAATATAATGAAAATTAAATAAAATAATACGAAGAAAAATACTTTTGAGAATCTGATTAATTAATTTGTATTAGTATGTTTTTAAATTAATATATATTTTAAGACGTTATATTTTTAAAATGTAAAAAATTAAGAATCAGAGTAGAAAGAACAACATGATATAATACTAACTAATAAATTTTGAAATTAAATAATTAGAATTTGTTAAAATTGTTTATTTTGTAATATCATTACAAGTATTGGTCACAATTAAGAATTATTAAGAATGCCAGATCTTTAGATTATCAAACCCATTTTAAAAATTACCAAATAAAATAAACAAGCTCATAAAGTGAATTTTTTTAATGCGTTGAACGTCTAAATAACGTAGAGTTCAAAGGGATTTGCATACGTACATAAATAATTTTCAATCAAGCAACATCATTCACCCGTACATATCTATTAGAAATCTTATTAGGTTGTGATGACGGCAATAGTGATGTACTTAACGAAGAAAAGGCGATTTAAAGAAATTTTTTTAAATACGATTAACTTTTTAATCTATTATTTTTTTAACTAATGTACTATTATAACCGAGCAATCGTTGAAAAAAAAAAAAAATCGCGATAATAAGAAATATTATACAAGTAAAAGAATGTATTTTTCATTATATTACTTAGCAATTACAATACTTCATAATTTGGAAAGTCGATTATGGCCCAACATTATTGCACAGAAGCTCGCATTGCAAAGCTTCGACATAAGTTTTATAATACGAAGCACTAATTTTTATGAAAAATTATTTAAACAACCGCCAAAATTGAAACAATTTCGAAATAACGAGCCGATAGCGCCAGTTGTTTTCCCGGGGACTCGACGCAGAATTCTCCCGACACGTTTTGTAGCCAAATTACACAAATTACGTGAGATAATTTGGCGTCTAAGTACGAGTAAATAGGCCATATGCAATGCAACGATCAGTGGGTCGACTGAGAAACCGGCTCCGTTTTGCCAAGCGAGCATACGCATTTCCAGCTAAGGTTTTGTAATTTCTACGGCCACGGGCCCCGTTGTTTCCTCTTTGCCCGGGTACGACAATGTTTTTGCCACGCGATTCTCTCCAATTATAATACACATTGATGGCTTTACAGAAGATTGGGGCTCCATATCGAATGCCCCAATGTCCGATGAAATAAAAATATGTGACATCTCTAAGCGCGTTTATATCTCTAAGCTCTTGTTTAATCGTGCTGCAAAACTTTTGCAATTTATAATTTGTAAGCTACAGAGGCGTTTTACTGTTGTGTCGATAATTATCGAAAACTTTCTGCATATTGAGATAGTATATGAAAGTGTATTTAATGAGAAAAATAGAAGTCTCGTGTAAATACGTTGAGTCACTTTTATATACAAAAACAAATATCGCTCCTTCGTGTTTTGTTACATCGTGTGTACAAATAATTTCATCAAATGTCAATTATCACGCTTGCATCACATGTCTTTTTTTTTTTTTTTTTTTTTTTTAAATCTTTTTTACGACACTCATAAATTATTCATAATTATTTTTTCCTTCGTTATTATAAGATGCTACATGAGTGAACTTATCAAGAGAAGTTGACAATGAATCATAAAATGTAGAAAGAATATATTTTGTGTGATACTTCCCTTAGTATTAAAATAATTTATTTATTATTCATAGAGTAACTTTTGTAATTTCTAAAGTCTTTGGAAATTTCTTATGTCTCTACTACATTGTTATGTTGCCATAAAGTATTATATACCAGATAACGTACGGGAATGAAATATTATACTCTCGTACTAATGTAGTAAAAACATGTGCGACTATCTCATTTTATATTCCTCATAACAACATTTTTAATAATTTGTAAAAAATTAATTAATTAAAGGAATCTTCTAATAGATTCTATAAATTTCATTTCGATCATTATAAATGTATTTGACATTTTGTAAAACAATTGGAGCTTTCGTAATTCTGAATGTGACGTAACATTTCAATTATAATGTTTAATTAAATATCCTTTAATCTTTAATATTATTAGTAATATAAATCGTGTAATCTCTTACGAATCTTCTTCTAATTAATTTATCGTTTATTAACGTAGTATAAGGGACTATATCTTTGATAACGTTGTATTCATCCTCATATTTATTATTAAATGAGATTTTTACTTTCTTTATTTACAGCAATGTTTTAACTTCTAATTATTTTGTAAAAATGCACGTCATTAGCTATTCAAATAATTTTAAGTAGCTGTAAAAAAAAAAGCCTATAGCATTCGTATTTTATGTGCACTAATTAAATAAAAAAAAAAGATAATTATATTTTATTTAGTGCATATTTCAGATTCATATTTATATTATCAAATTACGCTACATTGTATGGAATATATTACTATAATTACTATAATGTATATTAAAAAAAAATGCAATATAAAAGAATTATATGTGATTGGATTAGTGAATTAATGATTTATTGTACGAAATATACAAACATAAACAATAATAACGTCGAAATTTAATTACCATTGCTTGAAGTCGATTGACTTTACTTTTAATTAATATCACCTTTATTATTGCTCATATTGAATTAATCGGCAATAATGTTTGAATTTGTATATCGGTCACAATTAATATTAAAAAAGTAACTGACAACTCGTTTGTATTATAACATTCAATTGTGAAACGTAATAATGAAACAAAACGACCAAAGCAATTGCATTGACACACAATCAGAAAGTATTTATTAATTAATCTAATTTCTCTATTCATACAGGCCTTAATGAGACTGTTAAGATGATCCAGGCAATGGGTGGCACGTGTTACGGTTATGTTTGCGATCTGTGTAATCGAGAAGATGTGTATAAGCAAGCATCACGCTTAACAAAAGAAGTTGGACGAGTAAGTTCTCTCTCATGTTAATTGAATCTCACTATAGATATCTGTATAACATAATTTGTGGAATTAGTAGAAATTTATATGTATAAGATAAGAAAGCTTTAATAGCAATCCATTAATAAGAATTTGTGTGTATCATTTATAGGTGAGAGAGTTTGCAATTATTTCAATGAAACAAATGTTTAAAATGAGAATATTTGTGCACGAAGCGTAAATGATATTTTTCAAGTAGACCAAAATTAATATATTTGATAACAGTTTATCGTAATTACAAAATTTATAAATACTAAAATATCTTATTTACAGTGTGTTACAAAAAAATAAATAAATAAATAAATAAAAAACAAAAAACAAAAAAAAAACAAAAAAAAGACGTAAATTCTCAATATAAATTGAAATATATAGAAAATGATTGTATGCACTTTAATTCTAAAAAAAAAAAAAAAAAAAAAAAAAAAAAAAAATACATAAATAAATAAATAAAATGAATTTTATCCATGGAAATTACATTTATTTTGCTGATCAACTCTTGCTCTTTAAATGCATTATATCGTATTGTGTACTGAAGATATTTACGAAGTAAACTATAATGATTACACTTTATTTGAAAAATAATGAAAGAATACTAATAATACGGTCTCATAAAAAATTTTTTAATTTAAAAACAGTGATCGCATTGAATCACGATAGCCCTGAATTATATTTTGCATGTTAAGATATAGCAATTCTGATAAGTGCGCATACAAAAATTGCTATTTGATTAATAACGAAAAGAAATCGCACTCTTTATTTATCTTGAATATTTTCATTACATACATACTATTTTCAACCACATACATTACCTACAAAAGCAATTACTTCGTCAATAATTTCGTAAGTAGAAACGAAGAAATTGCGTATTATCGGGGAGTGCATTTTATTATTATTAGCCCTGAACTACTTAGCAATCAAATGACAAGTAATTGACCATAATGAATAGAAAAGTTATCTAATTGCACATATAAGTCAAATACAATCGTGTTTCATCCGGTTATAATAAACGACCTATAATACAACGACTTGCGAATTTTCAATAGCGCGCTAATAAGATATGAAAGTGAATTTCACAGAAATCACAGACTTCTAACCAGCGATTTTTCATGCCTTTAAATTTAATCTTTAATAGCGACTGGTAAAATAAAATGCCAGAGATAAAATCGTAGCCAGTCCGATAACATTTTATAGGAATAATTTAATTATGCATTTGGCAGAAAGAAGCTGACGGGATAGTGACAATTCGCACTCGCGTAACGACTAAATGAGTTAATTGATATGTTAATGTTGGAGAGAAGCAAAGCTTAAATATTTAGTCGCCCGACGAATTCAAACGTTGCACAAAGCGACATAACTATCTCATAACTGTTCGCTCGAGGCGTACCGAGGCTTTACTCGTTTTATAAATACCCGAAGAAGCGACCAGTGTTCCCTACGTTATGAATTTATCGTCAGCCCCTGTGTTTACGAGTCGACATTTATAGCCTCTATTAATAAGTAAATACGTTGCAACACGTATTTGAGAAATCAATGTCTCTTTAAAAAAGAAAAAAAAAAAAGTCGCAAAGGATTCCTTTAAAGAGTTGAGGTGATTGGGAGGGGAGGGGACATTACGGTCCCCGTTACGAAAGTCAGTAGAGTTGCGCCAGCGGGTTGCGGCCACCACGTACCGACCTGGTTTCTCGTCACCCGATGATCCATTGGATACTGAAGTCGCTATTTCATTGGCAATATCTCACCTCTAGACGCGTGTTCGCCAATTTTAGTCGCGGATCATTGGACTTTTAGAGTGGGCGTGGGTGGGAAAATCTTACAAAGCGACTCAGGAAATGGTCGAATTGTATTGTTTTTGCATGAAACTTGTCGGATATATTATGCTCCAATGTCGAGCGTAACAACCGCTTACATATGTGATCAATAGTTGTAAAATTCTTACACCTTGCAACAGAAGCGGATAAATAATAGGTTTCTATATATAAGACTGTAAAAAGTTTACTCAATCCGAGTATTAACCAGCAGCTTAGCCAATATTTTTCAAAGACATGCCGCTCTGTACTCGTTCCAGCACCAATGCATGAATTTCGAAAATTCACAAGGTGCGGCACTCATGCAATACGTATGAAATTTATCGATTTACAATACGTTCATTTGAATGTATTTACCACTTTTGTCCATCTTTAGTATATCTTACACATATATTTCAATTCAAATCTTAATGATGCATAATCTATAATCGCTTTCTGTCTATTATCTGAATAAATCTATAACAATGCTCATCAACAATTTATTTAGATAACATATAATACAATATATAGTTTCTTTTAATGAAAAATGTCATAGAATTAACAGTTATATATACATATATATATATAAGACCTTTTTATAATAATGCAAACAAGAAAATAATCTAAAATACAAATTTTAATGCCTAATATTTATTTGTACATCTTTTTTTATTACAGGTATCCATCCTCGTTAATAACGCTGGTGTCGTTACAGGTAGGAAGTTTCTTGACTCAACAGATCAGATGATCATTCGGACGATGGACGTTAATATAATGAGCCATTTTTGGGTACGCAAAGATATAAGTTATCTAATTTTATAATTTATGAAATGAAATTTCAATGAGGTTTAATTGCCAGTATTATATTATCAAAATTTATTAAAACATCTTCATAAAAATTTTGAGTGTGAAAATATTAGCGATTTTACATAACTAGTTTCTATATAATAACATTCCTGTACATTCTAAGTTTCTATACATATTATAATCTATAATTATTATTATTATTATTATTATTGTTATTGTTATTGTTATTGTTATCAAATATTATACTACTACAGTTTCAAAGATTTCAATTATTTTAGTGTTATTGTTATTATTATTGTTATTGTTATCAAATATTATACTACTACAGTTTCAAAGATTTCAATTATTTTATTTAATCGTTGAAAATAAAGTATGATGAGAAATTATATAGATTTTGTCAACAATATGCGCATAAAGATATATAATGATTACGATCTAATCATATTTATTAATTATTTTATACCGAAATAACTATTGAGTTTCTTTTCATTTATTGTAGGTTGCAAAGACCAATAAATATTTTCATTTATTATATTAGTATAACATTCGAATTTCAGCTTAAAGCCGAAATTGGCATAAATGATAAAAATAGGTATCTGCAAGTAGATTGTCAATTGCCAAAGCATTAATTAGTAATCGAGCGAATTTTGTTTATTTGTGGGAAATACTTAGCATTTAATCATTCGTTTGCAATAAATAAGGCTATTAAAATAATTTGTCTATAAACAAGAGCATTCGTAAAGGTAATATATGTGCATGTAAATTAGCAATGCTATAATGAAAATGAAGGTTCTCGCTTCCTTTCTCCAGTAATTCAAGGACCCCATGATTTCTGACCAATTGGACTCAAATGGGATTTCAATGTTGACGTTGTTGAGGTATCGTAATTACGATAACCGGTCGACTCGTAATTACTATTCTCTCTCTCATTCGCTCTCTCTCTCTCTCTCTCTCTCTCTCTCTCTCTCTCTCTCTCTCTCTCTATTTCCCCTCGTTTAGACAGCAGCACATGTTTGCCGTTGTTTTAACCATTTCTGGATATACAGGTGCCGAGAAGATAACGAGCTGTTCTAGTCTTCCGTTGTCTGAGATGTTATCCTCGTGACTATCCTCGTGGCTACAAATGGCACTGTGCAACGGCCTTATCCAATACTGTATTGCCTAAAATGGACGGAGACAAACGCCGACTTATGAGAATACAGACACTAATTCATCGTAATCGCCCTGATATATCGATAAAATTCGTATCAATGAGAAAATGACATTGCAATCTTCTTTGCAATAATATCCATTAATATAAGCATCGAAATATTACACGCCCAGTATTAATGTCCTTAAATTTATTTTCATTGCAAGATGAACCTTCATCATACATTCCATATACATACAAAGCCAATGTATAAAATTTTGAATAATCTCGGCAGAAAATGACTTCATCGAGTGCGTACGGATATGACAGGGCATGTGCTATAGTAGAATCTCAAATAGAAACTTATAGATCTTTCACTAATTAAATTGCATTTCAAAGTATTTCCGTCAATTTGTCTGGATATTAACCCCCTTTCTTCGTGTATCGCTCTTATTTTCTAGTCTCTCGTTACCTTTTTCATAATGGCCAGAACATCGACTATCTCTACATCGACTTACGATCGAGCACATACACATGTATCCAAGTTTCGTCACGCATTCGCACAGGAATTAACTCCGCCTACGTTCTGTAAAAACATTTGAACTTGATAGATACGCAACTTACTCAAACGCAAGGAGCCTCAGAGAAAATAAATTTAATCTATACATAATTACTATCTAGATAAATAAATTAGCATGTATTATAATAAATAATACATATATAAGTAATAAGTAGTTGTTCGTGTGCTTGAATACATTGGGGGGTTATTTGGAATTGCATCATTCACTTCGGCACATTCCAACATTCCCAATGAATTAATAACCAGCTAAAATACTATCCTTTGCACACACGATGAGCAAACATAAATCGCAAGCTCGATAAAGTGAAAGATGTATATGCACTTATATAAGTTATTCAGGCTTCTTTATCTTTGTGATTGCCGGTATAAACAATTTTACAAATAATTCGTTCTGTCCCTTCGCCAATTCGAAGTCATGTATTAGAAGTTGGGACTCCCCGCCACTGGTTTCAATATCATGTTGAATAACTTTACCGGGGATAGGATAACTCCGGAGGAACACCTGCAGGACTTCGTTGTCCGTTTTCGCAGGCTGTTGATACGGTATTAGACGCCACTGAGTAATTATCAAGCGCAAGTTGGCTGATCGCCAGTGACTTAATAGCGGATGAATAGTTTCAGCTGGGAAGGAATTTATTACACGACTTTGCAACTAACTGCATAATCGATGTATTTAATTGTGATTTCAAAATCGCGGAGAAAATAGTGAAAATACTGATTCATAATCGAATACTTGTGTTGATAGAGAATGTCATTGAAAGAATGAATGGAAAATCGAATTTTGTTGTCAAAAATTGGTGTATCGATACACATTTGTCTAGCAACCGATATTGTGAAAACTTTCAAATTAAAAAATTGATCACTATGTTCCTTTAATTAAACATCTCTCCCTCTCTGTCCCTCTCTCTTTCTCTTTTTCTCCCTCTCTCCCTCTCTCTCTCTCTCTCTCTCTCTCTCTCTCTCTCTCTATCTCTCTCTCTTTATATTTATTTATAACAATTAAAAAGAAAAAAAGTAATTTTCATTCATGTATCTGTCAAATAAGCAATTCAAATTATACGGAGATTTTTTAAATGCAATATACAATTATTTAAGAATTGTGTAAAGTCATTCTAAAATTATGCACAAATAAATATCGTATATCCATAAGAAGAACGATAAAATTTATTATTTAAATAACATATTTAACATATATGGTTTTAATTTTTGTAGTTTAAATCAAATACACTCAAGCACAATTAATTTTATATATGCGACTGTCTTATGACATATAAAAAACAGTATTTCGTCTTAAAAGCGGAAACTAGTAATTCGCATTTTAAACACGTACAGTTTCAATTTTTCGTATAGTTATTGTCGACTCGTGTTTTACGTAAATTTTGTTTGTGAAATTTAATGATACGCTCATAGACTTACAGAAATCGTTGAGTGGTTCTGAGAAATACGATTTTACTAGACAAAATGTAATTCGCTCGTTTTCTACCTACTCAAAATTAAATCCAAAACATAAATAATACCCGTTCTTTAATTATAATTGTTTTTATACATTCCTGATGTTTCTTCTTTTATTGTAACATTAAAATTTCGTTGTTGATTTAAGGCTTTTAATTCTTTATTATAACTAATTAGCTTATACAAAGCTCATATACAAAGCTCCATTCTTAAATTTTCAGTTAAATATAAAAATAAAAATATAGTCAAATCTTTTAATTCTTAATGTTATTTATTTAATTTTAATAATAATATAATAGAATCGATGTACAGGTATGCCATATATTGCCACATTATTATTAGATAAACACAAAAACATGTTCAAGCATTATTGCCTGAAATATTCAAATATACGATAATAAACGCATAACGTTCAAATATTATAAGCGTGAAGAATTTGGAATTTGTAAATGTTAAGTGAAATTAAACTAATTATAAAATAAATTTACATATAATTAAGCAGTGTATGAATATACAAGGATATTATAAATTAAATTATAAAAATTATGAATAAAATTATTATCATTGTGTAAAATATAGAATTCGTATTTTCTTGCAGAAAACTAATGATAATAGTAATATTATTTTGTATATTAATATTAAAGTTAAAGACAATTATACTTATATTTTCAGTTAATAATTTATTAATTTACACAGAATCGAAAATAATTAATTTTCTTTTAGGATAGTAAAGGACAGCATAAAGGATAGTATAAAAATATAGAAATTGAAATTTTATAAAGTCAAAGATCGAATTTTTAAAATCGAAAAATTAAATCACACGATTACATAAATTTTTTATTAGTGAAAAGTTATTTCAGTCGTGGGCGTATTTATTATAAAATTTAAAAATTTCGACAAAATTATGCATACATTTTATATTACTATACAAAATTATCCTAGAGTGCATTCCATTATATGGAGAATTTAACTGTCGTTATTACGAGCTTAGTATTATTAAATATGACTTTCTTTAAAATTGGAGCAAAAGTGTTACAGTAGTAATAAGAAGTATGACAAGCAAAACCTCAATGCGCGACCTAAATAAAAATAAGCAGCAGATCTACGACGTACAAGTAGCAAAATATTGTAAAAAAGAATGGACAAATGGCAGGAAGAGAAAAACAGTATCAGAATATTTTCTCTTAATTTGAGACAGAATGAAAGACATTTGTTCAGTTCGACATTTGATTGTACAGGTAGATGAGAGGGAGAGAGAGAGAGAGAGAGAGAGAGAGAGAGAGAGAGAGAGATTGGTACTCCAATCTTGCGTACCTGTAAATAAAAGTTACAGCTATGATCCTTAACACACTTCATCGCAGTCTGTAAAAGGCTAATGACAGCACCGTGTCTCGCTTGCATTGCAGACGGTGAAGGCTTTCCTGCCGGCAATGCTTAAGGAGAACAAAGGTCACATCGTGAGCATAGCCAGCCTCGCGGGCCACGTTGGCTGCACCAAGCTCGTTGACTACACAGCTTCGAAATTCGCGGCCGTTGGCTTCGATGAGGCCCTACGTGCCGAGCTCGAGGTACGTTACAATTAATACATTTTACGAACGTTGTCTGCGGCACGGATTTTTATCAATCGATCGTCTTAGCTCGCTTCCTTCCGTTACAAACAATACACATTATCCAATATTTACGTACAGTGTTTGGATTATTCGTAATTTTCATTTATTTTGTGCAATAGGCGGATGCGTAATGAGACAACTTGTCTATTACATTTTTACTCCCCCATCTGAATTCTTGTATTTATTGAGTTTCCAAAAATTTAGAATTTAAAATCCACTTTTCAAAAATTGAGAATTTCATTAATAGATGGCGATCGGCAAAAATAATTTTTCAATAGCGCATAATTACGTATAACTGTATACAAAAGTAATAACTATCCCGTCGTTTTTTGCTTTATTTATTAAATATATCCGAATGAAATATATTAAAATTTTTGTTTCTGGAAGTTATTATAATTAACGATATGTGAAATACTTTTGGTTTTAATTACCATAAGAATTAATAGCAAATGTCATCGGGTTAGAAATTTAATCTATTTGTACAACTAAATACGATTTAAATATGCTAAACGGTACAATAACAGTATAATGGTATTATCGAATCATACTCTATGACTTGTATAATTAAAAAAGTTTCAAGCAAGTTACAAGCTAAACCGATGTGTATAAACAAATTATATAATATCATTTATTAATACAAGTAAAAGAAGATTTATGGTATCGTTTACGATAAATTTGTTCACAACAAATTAATGTTCTAATGGTAATATAAATCTAACGATAAACCTATGTCACTAAAATATTGAAGATATTCATTGTGCTTGATCGTCAAAAATTTCACAGACAAATTCGGAAAATAAAAGTGTCGAATGAGTTTTTACTTCGATCGTGAAAATGACGTTAGTATGTAAATTTTATGATCCAAATGAATTTTAGCCCTATTTTCATGCATTTCATGCTATATTCATTGCATCCACATACCAATTTCTTGATAATTTTTTAATTAGACAAAATTCATGCCTACCTCCATCCTGTTGGCTATATTTTTTTCATATTTCTTACAAATTGTTCTACCTTGCTCTGTTTTACAGTTAAAACTGAAATTTAATTAAAAAAATTTTCCATTCCGAACAACAATAATGAAATTTGATTTTACTTTCCACGTAGACATAAAGTTTATATCGACAAAAAAGTTAAAATAGAAAATTAATGAGCAGTTAAAACAATTAAATTGTCTGAGAAGCAATATAAATCGAAGTTGTTCTTTAAGAAAAAGAATATGTTAAATTACGATTAACATTGCCGTGAATGAAATTGGAATTTTTATTACTAGTAATTGTCAAAATAAAAACGAATTAAACAAACACATACTCTAAAGCAGATTAAGATTTAAATGAAAAATACACGCTCAACCTGAGAAAGACTCGATTTCTCCGATAAGATAATTTAAAATATCAGTTTTTACAGGACAACAAGCAGGCCAATTATACAAATTGAACCTGAAATATTGCGTCTTTAGCTTAACTGGTTAGTTCAATTATTTTCTTAATAATTAAATAATATGTTCGCTTGAATTATTACAGCTAATATTGTTCTTTGCATTATTTATGAATTCATCTTGTCAACTTATCAATATTGAAATAAGAAATCAACGATTTATAACTCATCGCGCGATTATAAATTATACAGAATAATTTTAATAAAAGAATTTCCACAAAAATGCAAATATATTGCAACACGCGCGAGCTCCTCCTCTCCTTCGGTAGGACTTTCACATGCAGATCACGATAAATAATTCTTTAAGATCATAATTTCGATAACTTGCATAAACTACATGGAATATCTCTCAAAGTTTATATCACGGTTATTTACTTTTTTTCACACTTGATAATATCAGCTTAATTTAATATCTTATATAATGCTCTATTTTTTGACATAAATCCTTATACTCTTAATTTTGGTACGCAATTATTTAATTAAACAATTACCTCTCACAATATATGGCTATATATTTAGAAACTTAAACATACGAATAATTCATGTTGATTTATATAATTACAATCGTTAGGTATGAATTAGAAAACATTTTTTAGGTAAAATTTTTAATATTTTCAAATGCCATTTTAGTAATTTTAATAATAAATAATATTTATAATCAATTGCAATGCACAAAAACCAAGAGACTAAATGAATATTTAACGTTTTTCTTATTTCATCAAACTTAATCTATTACACTTTTGGCATTTTAATAGGATTTTTCCATACGAAGACATTATCATTTATAAATTCTTTTATTTGTTTGTTTTGTTTATTATGAACCCAAGCTTATCTTTTCGATTAATGTATTAATACTTTCGATTCGGTAAATTTTTCAACTTTTCCAATCGTAATTTAATAATAAAATATACGTAAATCGATGTACATCATTTTATAATTGAAACGTTGTTATACATAGTTTTATTATCCTTAAAATTAACTTCGTATAACTAACGCTCATAGTAAAATCATAATAATAATAAATAAGCAATAATCGATCAAGATTCAAACAATACACAAGAATTTAAGAAATTTATGTTTTTTTTTTTTTTAGTTAAGGTAAATTATTGAAAATCATCGGTCCAAGTTTAATTGTCTTTGAAAATGTAACATTTCTTAAAAAATATATTACATCTACACTGCATTATAGCCTTAAGATTATTCTATCTATCTTAAGACGAATCTATCGATATATCTTTAGAAATTTATACATATTGACAATGGAAATTACTTTCTCTCTGATTATTATACGAACAAGCCATATACCATATACCATGGCGCAAATAATGTATTGTATATTCTTAGATGCCTCGTAATGTAAAGTCTGGCTTTCTTAAATATCGACAGCTTATCCTGAAATTACTTAAATTGTAGCCATCTTACATAATAATAACTCCTTTATAATTGTATTGTGTAAAAACTTCACGAGTATTGAGAGAAACAAATAATTTTCTAAGAGCATTGAACTGCTATTATTTTCAATATGAAATAGGCTTCCTTGGACTTGAAATTCATATACTGTAATTGATAATGATAATGATTAATTTGTAATCAATGAATCGATTGAAATATTAATTAAATGAAAAAAATTTTAAATATACAAATATTAATTAGAGGCAAGTGCACATAAATATACTGCAACTTTACGATATTTTCAAGGTCAATATCTACGTGCTGGATAATTTAGATGGTGCAATGCATTTTATACATTTTTCAATTCAAAATACATGAGAAGAAATTATTGCAGCGACTAATGCATCTCTGTAATAACCGAGATTTTTTTCTAACAGGCCGAAGGATCCGACATCAAAACGACTGTGATATGTCCATATTTCATTCGCAGCACAGGCATGTTCGATGATGTGATGTCGAGGTTAGTGTCCGACTTGTGTGATACATTGCTCACTCGTCATACATGTGTGAGAAAACATAATTCAACTCCTATCTAAATTCTATCTTAATATGATACTTGCTATTCCCTCGAAACTTAGTGATTTAAATGAAAGATATAAAAGTTTAAATGATTATATACTTGGTATTAGCTAGAAAAATTTGATGAATTTTATTTTCAATTTCAATGCAGCATGTACTATTTGGGCTGTGCATTTGCCATATATTAAAAAAATAAAAAATAAAAAAAAAAACATTTCCTTTTACAATCAATTGAATTATTTTTAGGTTTATTCCAACTTTGAGTCCAGATGAAGTTGCTGATAGAGTCATTACTGCAATGCGGTGTAACGAGCGTTTTGCCATTATTCCGAGTTATTTGCAAGTGTTATTAGCGGCCAAATGGTAAATTGACATATAAACTATTATTTTCTGTATTGCATAAAAATACGTATGCTTTGTAGTAAAAAAAAAAGGAAAAAAAAAAAAAAAAAAAAAAAAAAAGGGGGGAAAAAAGAAAAGAGAAAAAAAATTAATAACAAAATCATTTTTTATAAAAATCAACGTCGCATTAGCACCTCTAATATTAAAAATGTCCAAAAATTGTACGTGAAAATATGAGGTTAAGTAAATTGCGATTTATTCTTTTACTTTAAAACCTACCTTTCTGATTCATAAATTTAAAAATAGTACAAGAAACACGTTAGAGCTTTTACTTTAGCTTAAACAACGGATAAAGCAATTAACCATCAATTAACACATTTTAACGACGATTTTTTATTTAACAAACGCATCTTGATTGCTTAATAATCGATACGTTAATTAGCACCGACTTCTTAATTAATAAATGAATTCACCAAACTTAATATTCCCTTGCCAAATGATATCAATGTTCGAATTAGCATTGTAAGATCAGAACCACTTCATTCGAATTACAGCTACAATGCAGCAATGTGAATAGCCTAAAGCCCAGCATTATAACAATTAATAATTAATGAGAATCTAATAGAAGGGTATTGATGATTCGCAGGATGTTCCCGTGGAAGTGCTCGACCATGCTGCTACGTGGGCTCGTGCACGACGCCTCGCCAAAGATCAACCCGGATTTCTCCAAGATAAAGCAAACGACAATCGTCAATGGCCTCAAGCAAATTCCGTGCGAAGAATCGACGAAAGAACCAAGCAATGGTTCGGTTCTACACCAACAACTCACCAGGCGCATATCCAGTTCCGAAAGGAAGCCATGATTTCATGTACAAAGGCAGGCAAAAGCTCGATGCTCCAACTTCCCCAAGGGCTTCCTTTATCAATGGAGAGCTTTTATTATAATACTTCAATAGAGGCAGCGTGCGGGTGTTGACGGAATCGTTTTATTTTTTATAGTTGATCTAGTGAGTTGTTTAAATTATGGAAATGATGATACTGTTGTTTAATCGAATAGAAGATCACCCTAACGTCGGTATCGAATCGTTTCTTTAGCGTAAAATGCAATATATAGATAAATTGCGTTTGAAACGACGTATATAAAAGTTTAAGTTATAGAGAATCATGAGTATACAAGCATGAATAGTTTCATTCTAATAAATGCATCCTGAACTTTCATCTTAAGATGACATCAAAATTACGATAAGAAAAGTCAATTTGAAATTTGAAAATTCAATTTGAAATATAAAGCTTTATGAAAGCCCATACTTGGTTTTGCATTAGTCATCCAAAAAAAAAAAAAAAAAAAAAAAAAAAAAACTTTATATTTATGTATAAAGATAAATAAACTGTGAGAAAAGCATGAATTTGAATAGTAGTAAATAAGCTTTTTTTATAATAAGAAATCTATTTTTATATGTACAAATTGTGCAATTTTTGATCGATATTTAAGTAAAATCATAAAACAATATAGAAACAAGAAAGAAAACTGTAAATAATATGTATGTGCGTATATATATATATATATATATATATATATATATATATATATATATATACTATTTTCGTATACGCACATAAACCAATCGAGTAAATGTCTAATTTTTATGATCCATTGTATAATCCGATAAAATAAATCGTGGTAAGATAAGCCTCGTTTTACTCCAATAATATCCTTCCATTACTATCGCACCCGTAAATCTTTGTATTGGGATCTATTGAATATTTACATACTATTATATGCATCGAAAGTCTTCCGTACTACGTTTATTAAATATGAACTTTTAAAAATAGAAACATACTTAATTAGATTACTGTATTAAAACCATAGGATGTATTAATAACGTGCAAAGTTCATGTCTATACTGGCTATTTAAGTAGAAATTTTTTTTATTTAAAATCCACTGATATATTATTTAAAAACGATTAAGTCGTTTTCGGTCCAAAGTGCCATGGCCTTGCCAAGCATATACATTAAAGTCGCTGGACGACGAAGTGCACGAACACATCGACGAATAAATTAAATTTACCTATATAAATGTATACTTTATAAAGATTCGACGATTTTTTTAACTAAAAAATATTTTTCAGTTGCGAACAAATTTATGTAGGATTATAGTTTTTAAGGGTATTAAGTTATTAAACTTTTAGCTTGAGCGTTAACATATCGAAAATTAGATGGTAATAAACGAAATGTTATATGATAAATAATTTAAGCACAAAAAATTATAGAAAATAATTTTAATAACTCTTCGGCTTCTGTTAATACAAAAGATTTTTTTATTTTTTATTAATGTTTCTTAAAAGAAAAAAAAAATTCAAAATTCATAAGTGTTTTTATTTTTATATTTATAAATTTAATAAAGGAAAATTCTGTTTTTATATAATTTTAATCAATATTTTTTCTATTACGCTTTCCATTTGAAAATTAATACAGATAATATTGATTATTGATCCAATCACGTATCAAAGCGAAGTATAAATTTTAATTATAATCCTCTCTACAGACATAGTTTTCAGGCGTAAAAACAACCATCTACATATGAATAAATGCAATTAATTATTATAACATTTTTTTACATCGTAGATATTTGTACTCTTGTAATAAAAATTCTCTGTAAAAGTATTATTTCGTTTTATAATGTAGTCACCTCTTTGTCCAATGATTCATTTCCCTGCCAGTTATATCCTAAAGGATCTTTATATATAAAATCTGCTATGGGTAGGTTATCCTTCCATGTGGCATTTAAACTGGAACCATCCGGAAAAATATATACACCTTTACCATTCATCGCTCCTTCATTATTAAATTCACCTTTATATTCCGCTGAATTGCTATATCTTAAAAATTATCACGATATATAAATAAATAATTTTCTTATACACAGTAAATATTCAATGCAATATATATATATATATAATATTAATGTGAATTATTTAAAATGATTGAAAAATAATAAAAGAATTTAATTTTCTGTAATAAACCATAATTTCTTTAAAACTATATTATCGATATAACAAAAAAAAAGAAATGAAGTGGTTAATTTTGTACATTTTATTTATTTATATACTTGATTATACCTAAAAAGAAATAATTCGTGAAATCATTAATATTAATATACAAATAGTACATTATTAAATATAAAATGTATTGAATTTGGTTTGAAAAGAGTTTTTAATTCGATATTTCATAAGATTGTAATGAGAATACTAACAAAATCCAAATTGCAAAATAAAATAATATTTTTAAATTGATCAAAATTATAGCGCTCTATTATAAAAAATAGATTATGTATTAGTATTGATCTTTAGAGAGTAATTTTTTGCCTTAAAATAAATAAAATCTACATTTTTATCGCTTTGACAATATCTTATGAAAAGTAAAATTTATTCATTAATGCTTAATTTACCAGATTACATTTCCTCAAAATATGAATATGATTGTATCTTTTTACAGCCAATTGAGCAATATAGTACAATATTATAATGTCTATTGTTTATATCAACAAAAGTGTAATTTACAAACAAAATTTAATTGGTGATTAAAAACTTAGTTAAACTAACTTCCATATAAGAGATAAAGTTAAATTGATATATCTATAAATTGATTAATATATGAAAAAGTTTCATAATTTAATAATCAAAAATTATCGACAAAAAAATAATAATTAAATTTAAAGAATAATATAAAAATTCGAATAAATATATCTTCTGTCGCTTACACATTAATAACATATTAATTTAAAAAAAAAAAAAACTAAAATATAGATTCCAATTATATGCAATTTTTTAAAATATTCATACCCATATTGTAAAATGTTTGTTAATAATAAAAGAATATCATTACTTTTATATATCACTATTCTCTACTACAATGTGCATCTATAATACTAATTAAAAAAAAAAAAAGCTATAGATTTTAAAAGATGTTATTTAGATAAAAATAAAATTTTGTAAATAAAAAGTTGACATTTGAATATTTATTTCTTATTTAATCTTTCATTTTTATCGCAAAGAAGAATTATTCAAATAATTCATGATTCTTAATTATAACTACCAAAGGATAGAAAATAATATTGTTGGATAGATAAACTAAAACTAAAATTGCAACTAAAATTGCATTCATGATGAATAAACAATCAAAAAAATTGCGTTGCCAATTCTAAAGAATTTTTTTTCTTATTTTATGCCGACGGCATCCAAACTGAAATATCTTCCCCTGAAACGTTAATGACAATATAACTAAATGGTTGTCCGTTATCACACAAAATTTTTATCGCACATTTTATCGTGTAATAAATTTTCGAATTACGAATTTTATTATCAGAGTGTTGAATATTTCAAACAGAATATACATTCATCTATAGATAATATCTATTATACAATTTATACAGATAATATGTAAATAAATAATATTCAAACATTATTGAATATTGAATGACGTGTGAAAGCACTTTACTAATAAATTGGGAAGAAGCAAGACATAATGCTCGAATTTAAAGCCTATCAATTTGTATAAATTATCGGCGAATGTCTTTTAAAAAGACATAGCATTAATTTTATGTATGCTTACCTTAATATCAAGATGAATACATTTGTAAATCTTATGCAACATGAAATCTACTCATATACATGCGTCAATTTACGTATATCGAATGTATTTATCTAGATTAATATTTTCAAGAATGTAGAATTGATAACACTTTCTGCTAGATATAAGAAACATTTATATCATACATTTGCCTTTGGATAGTGTTTGTATCAAGTTTTTAACGATTCATAAAATTAAAATAATATTGAATATATGAAAATCGCTAAAAAGTGTTCATAAAAATTTACAAGAATAAATTATAGAATCAAGATACTAATTAATTACAATAAATTATTCTAATGTATAAATCACAAATTTATAAACATATTAATAATACATCGTGTAACTAACTTAATACTGTTATTATCAAATTTATTAAAAATAATATGTATCAATACCTTTAATAATAAATAATCACAACATAACTAAATATTCGAATATTATCACAAATAATGCTTATTGAAATTTGATTATTACCTATAAACTCTAAATTTTAATGTCATTGAATATTGAATATTAGAAATATAATTTTATTAACTTTTATGTTATTATATTGAGTCAAATATAAATGCGACAATGAAAAAATTACTAAAAGTAATAGATAATATTTATAATAATTAAATGCGTTATGATGAGTGTTGACGGTGTAGCAAAAGGTAAAAGTTTAAATTTTGTTATGTTAATTGTGGAGGCAACAATGAATTTGATGATACAAAATAAAAATTTTCAACTGTAAAATATACTTCAATAATTATTGTAATACGAGCATAATAATAATCATAATATAACATTATCATAATATTACAGTTCAAAGTTAAAGAATCCATATATTAACAATATCTAACATTATTAAAAAAAAAACTTCAAAAATAATTAAATCAATTATAATAATTATTATAATTTTTTAATTATTAGATAAAAAAAAAAACATTATAAATAATTACAAAAAAAATTTTTTACAAATCATATAACAGAAATAGATGCCGAGTATTTCGAATTTCAGCTAAACATTAGTTAGATTTTATTAGTTGCTGTGATCTTTTATCTAACTCTGCTCAAGAGTATCAACATTAAATAACCGATATCAATTCGAGGTCAGTCATAAAATTTTTTAATTCAAAATTGAAATTACTTATAAATTAATATAATGGATAAATAAAAAAAATGTCAAATTTTATTACAATCTATAATACATTATAATCAAATAAATGATCATTTTGCATTAATTTTATATTATTTTATATTAGTATTACTATAATTAATATCGTTGTTCTTATTATTATTTCAGTATGAACAATTATAACAATTATTAACTATTACATAGTAAAAAATAAGTTGCATAGACATTATATTAAAAAATCATTAAAAATAATAAAATAATAAAAGTTTCTCAACCTTATATTAAGACAATTTTATTTACTACCATATACACTATATTCCAAACAATTTCCCTAAATTAAAAATACTTTCATTTGATTTAGGAGACGTCTATACAGTCAGTCATATATTCAACAAATTATTCATTATTCAAGCATTACATAATGTCCAAACTCACATAATATGAGCATCTGAAGCTATACAATCGTAATCCCATAATGCTCGATATTCATCTAGATCACTGGTTTTATAAACACCATATCCTAAAAGAAATTTTTCGGATACAGACTTATTAAAATATACAATTAATATTTTTAAAATTACACTCAACTTAGTGAATTGTACCATGTCGATAAATTTCTTCATTATTTATAACAATGTATTCGCCCTCGTAAGAATCTCCATTTGTAAAATTAAATTTATCCTTGCCGTATCTAATTTCTTTATTAACTTTCGATGTATCTTCCGCAAGCTTTTTAGCTTTTTTCTTAACCTTTTGCATCTCGTAATTTTTCTATGCCAAAATACAAAAAAAAAAAAAAAAAAAAAAAAAAAAAATACAAATTCAAACTAAAAATTGTTTCGCGTATATGTTTTGTTTTACAATATAAATATAACAATATAACCAATAAGACTTTTTCAACCGGATCAATATACATCTATCAATATTCATCTAAACGAAAAATATTAATTAAAAATTATGAAAAATATTAAATATTAATCAATATAATTGAAAAACGCATTATACATAGTATATATAATCTTTAGAAATAAAATAATTAATCTACCATAGAAATACATTCATCATAATCAGCCATAAATATTTATATCTACTAATAAATAACAATATAAATGTAAGTAAATACAAAATAAATATATAAATGTATAATAAACTTTAGCGATATCAATATATAAGGGCGCGGGCGCGCATACATAAATACACGCTTACATGCGAATTTATAAGAGTATGAGACTTAATTAAATTAAAAAATTCTGATTTCCTAATAGATACATTATTTATAAATGTGTATACGTGCACACGTAGATGATTAAACGTTGATTTCGTAATTATACATCGTGAACTGTAAGATGAAATAAAATAATAACAGGAAACCACGGGAAATCATAAGCCGTAATAAAAATATCACGGAAAGTTTTTAGATTTTCGCGCGCGATCAGACGTAAATTTAAGAGAGGGAGAAAAAACATAAGCGCAGAAGAGGAAGACCTTCGATGAAGTACGTCGTCGCCGTCGCATCACATTAGCCACGTGACCTTGTGAACGACCTCCGAAGTATAACGAGCAAGCGCGCGTGTGTGCGTGCAATCAACGACATTACGTTGAAAAGAGAAAGTACGACGAAATCACAAAATTTGCGACTCTACCTACTTCTATCGGCGAAGCCAATTAGGCAGACCTGATCTCAATTACATTCGGAAAACGAACCTCACGAGCATTCGTGATTAGTTCTCGACATTTGTATAAGTGGATGACATGCTGCGGACAACTACGAACTTACGCCACGAGTTGGCCAAGGCCACGCTCCGCACCGCTCTAAGGAACAACATTGTCAGATGCTTGGGAACCCAGTGCCTTCACAGAAAGCACCAACAGAGGTGAGCGTCGTAGGATCTCATTAGGATCGCTTTAGGATATTTCTACTTCAAGAAGGAGGAAACAGAGGTTAGGATGATCCAAACCTACTTCTGTTTGCCGGGAGAAATTTATTTTTATTTTTATTTGTAATGTACTAGGATGAATTGAGTCTGCGCGAATTTAAATGTTTATTGCATAAAATGAAAGGCAGCTATATTAGTTAACAATTAATATTTAGCTATAGTTAAAGCAATTTAGTTGTTTCATATTAAAATTACTACATACAAACTCTATAATGCCTTAGTTTTTAGCTGCACGTATATTATTTACATTACATTAAGATGTGTTGTAAAATTGCATAAATAAAGCTTACAATAAAATTATCGCACTTAAAATTCCCGGGCACAATCAACAAACCATTAATGTAAAATATAAACAAATTAATTTTATATCGTTATCCGAAACATTGAAATAATTTGTCTTAAATCGCATTTTAGAAAAAAAATATGATATGCTTTATTTCAATTTTTTTTTTAATATTCTAATTTCTTCAAAAATATATTTAAATAATGTAGACAAATTTTTTTTTTTTTTTTTTTTTTTTTTTTTTTTTTTTTATAGCTCAACATTATTTATTTAACATTATTAATCATTTTTATAATTTTTCCATTAAGTATTATATAATTTATTAAATCTCACCAATCGTATTTATAATATATTTTCTGATATATTGATGAAATTAAATTGTAGGAAGTACTAAAATAGTTATATGTTTCTTATGTTTGTGGATTGCTTGTGTATGAAAAATTACCCATATTTCGTAGCCTTTATTTTTAGTATTTTAAATCTAGAAGATAATTTTATCATTAGATCATTTCTTATAAATTGAAAAATATTAAAGCTAACTGTTTCATTTCTTTTTAGATTATTATATTACAAAAATTCAAGACTGACGCTATGGCAACAAAATTTAAGAAATTACGCCAGTTTGCCAGACCACATAAAAGTGCCTCTGCCAGCTTTATCACCAACAATGGAAACTGGAACTCTAATTGCTTGGCACAAAAAGGAAGGTAAAATATTACAATTTTATCTTATTCCATTTAATAATGTATTAACATATTGTATCAATTTTAATTAACATTCGTAAATCTTAAGCATTAACAGATACTGCATAATTATTTCTATACATGAATTGCGAAATGAATTTATGCTCTATTCGAAGAACCGAGAATTACATCTAATTAGTATAAATTTAAAACTCCAATTTGATCTTTATTAAAACATTTTTTAAACATAATACTCCAATAATCTTTAATACCATCTACATAGAATTCCTTATAATTTTAATGAAATAAAACGTTATTTAACCAGCAATTTAATTGTTGTTAATGTATTTGATAAATAAGTGTCTTTGGATTCTCGCGGACTTGAGTAATTCTCTATCGTATAATTTATTTTATGAAGTTTTCTTCTTTTCTTCGCGACAAAACATTTTGATCGATTAGCTTATACCTTGAGAAGCTATTGTGCAAAAGTAACGTAATTCATGTAATCATTAATCATTATTGTCAGGTGAGAAACTGAACGAGGGAGATCTGCTAGCCGAAATTGAGACAGACAAAGCAACTATGGGCTTTGAGACGCCGGAGGAGGGTTATTTGGCGAAAATCATTGTACCCGCTGGTGAAAAGAATGTTATGGTCGGGCAGCTCGTCTGCATCATCGTGCCCGACGAAGAGAGCATCGCCGCTTTCAAAGACTTCAAAGCGGACGCCTCGATGAAAGAGCATTCCGCTCCCGCCCCCACCCAGGCCCCGACTCCGGCTCCAGCTCCGACTTCAACAATGACTCCTCAGCCAGCCGCGCCCAAGGTCCCAACACCCTCGGTGCCGAGCGCTCCACAAGGCAGCAGAGTCTTTGCCAGCCCGCTCGCGAGGAAACTCGCCGCCAAACAGGGTATCAAACTAGAAGTGAGCTTGAATTCAATCGTTTCTAAGCAATTTTTGTACAATTCCATCATTGATAATTTTCTTATATATTCATAAAATTCCGTAGACCCACAAATCATAAAAATCAAAAAAGAATAAACAATCTAACTTTGAAATTACTTCAGGTGACATAAAAAATATTAAGAAAAATATTTTTTATTAATAAAATCTCTCGCATAGTAGAGATATATTCGATAAATTACTTTTATTATGTAATCCTTATGATGTAATCACTTCACATATAATTACCGCTTACATAGTTATTTATCATATATTTGTTATAATTATACTTTATCGCTTTATCTAACTATGCTACATGCCACTTATTAAATCGAGAAATTTTCATATTGATTTAGCATTGGATTGGAAATATAAATATATCTAATAAACGCACTAAAGCCATTAATTGAAAAATAAATGTATATAGAGACAGTACGTATCAAAGTTAAAGAGCCATTACGGCTTTTCTTGGATGTAAATCGTCGAAATAATTAAATTAATCAAGGCAATATTAACAAAAAATGACTCAAAGTACTTACATTGTATTGTAAAGACGAGGATAATTGCTTACGATTGTAAATTGTCATTAATTTTTAAAGGGCTTGAAAGGCTCTGGCTTGTACGGCTCAATAACATCGAAAGACTTGGCTGGTGCGCCCGCAGCTACAGCCCCGACTACATCGGCGGATCCATCATCAAAAGCAGCAGTGAGTAGTGGACTGAGCAAAGGAACCGACATTCCCATATCTAATATTCGAGGAGTGATAGCCAAGCGTTTGTTAGAAAGCAAACAGACCATACCGCATTATTATCTTACTGTTGATGTAAAAATGGACGACGCCTTCACAATAAGGAAACAGTTTAATACCATATTGGAAAAAGAGAATGTCAAAATCAGTGTTAATGATCTTATTATTAAAGCTATGGCAATGGCATGTAAAAAAGTTCCAGAAGCTAACAGTGCTTGGCTAGGAGACAAAATTCGTCAGTAAGTCTAATTTTAACGTGCTTGATTAGATGATTAATAAATTCGTTATTTTCACCATTGTTCACTGTACTTATACGTATTATATTCTTCAAAATCTTATTTAGATACGATCATGTAGATGTTAGTGTAGCAGTTAGTACAAACAACGGACTAATGACTCCAATTGTTTTTGAAGCGGATACTAAAGGTATCGTTCAAATCAGTAAAGATGTAAAATTGTTAGCCGAGAAAGCTAAAGCGGGTAAACTTCAGCCACAAGAATTTCAAGGTGGAACTATTACCGTTTCCAATCTTGGCATGTTTGGCATACATAAATTTTCAGCCATTATAAATCCACCGCAATCCATAATTCTTGCTATAGGAACGACAGAATCAAGATTAATACCATCATCTAACCAGCAAGGGTACCTTTTACACTTTTTATCCGATAGAGCCTTATCTATTAAATATTTGCAGTAAATTATTTATATAATTTTTTCACTCTTAGCTTTGCTACTGGCCAGTACATGAGTATAACTGCCAGTTGTGATCATCGCACAGTTGATGGAGCAGTTGGAGCAAAATGGTTAACTACTGTCAAAGACTTTTTAGAAAAACCAACAATGATGCTTCTTTAGTAAGTCTTTCAAATAATTCCATTTATTAAAATAATCGTTAAGTCACAAAAATATCGAAATAACATATCCTTATTTGATATTGAGCTTTAAATTTTATTTTAATATAAAATCTATAAATACATTTCTATCTTATTATAATACGTAATACATTAATTTTTAGAGTAATATTCTATGAAGAAAAAAAACTAGTAAGACTCAAGATTCAGTTACAAGTATATTGTGAGTCTATATAAGTAAATCTTCAACCATTGTTAATGCAACAATGAAGAGAAGCTAAATCACTTGTAATGGTCATAGTTCGTTGCAGTAGAAACTTGCCGATTTTATAATGACGTGAAAAACTGACATTGAATAATTCAAGATGTGCTGGCACTATGTAAATACAATTTACTTTAAGAGTGAATGTTATACAGATGTATAAAACGTTAATTGTGTATGTCAATATCATTAAAAATCCGAACTAACGAAAGTAAAGGCGTATTATTACTTGTTTCTAGTTGGTAAATATGTGTACATGTACAACTATTTAATAAATTATTTACATTACGCCTGAAATATTAAATGAAAAAGTTTTTACTTTATACGATACTTGGTATTGTGTATACATAATACGTCTATTTTACATCGCAATGATTTACTTTATATATATATATATATATAAAAAAAAAAAAAAAAAAAAAAAAGTATATATTAAGCGTCAACTTCTCCCAAATATATTTGTTTATCACTCGAACCAGAGCATACTAAAATAAAAAAATATAATTTTTGTTATAAATGTAATTAAATGAACGTAAATGTTTAATAAAAGTTTAATATTTAATAAATATTGAAATATTATAATTTCTTATACATTACTGAGGTACGATAATACACTTACCAATTGGCTCTTTTGGATGAAAATCAACATCATTAACAGATCCATTGTGTCCAGGAAGTTTATACAAAATTCGTCTACTAGTTGTATCCCAAATATAATGAAATCTATCTGAAGATCCTGCAGATACTTTACTGCCATCCAAAGACCATGCACATTTTAATAAATTCTTTTCAAAATTATGTTGATGACCAGATAGAATTTTGACGCATCTTTCATAAGGTGCAAATGGCCTGATATCCCAAATTCTTAATGTATTATCCATTCCATTGGAAAGAATATAGGAACCATCTGGACTTAGAGCTAATCCAGTAACTGTATCAGTGTGGCCTTTCATTTTATACAATATTGCATTTTTCCTCAAGTCCCAAACTTTAATATCATTGTCAATACCACCACTGACTACTTGTTCAGCGGTATCATTAAACGTCACTGCAGTAACCTAAATTTAATTTAACATATTAAATAATATACATTGAAATTTACACATAAGAATTTCTTAAAATACGACTAAAGTATAATTATCGATAAGAATAAGAAAATGGCAATTTTTCTTATCGACAGAATTTATATGCGCAAACTATTACCTGATAAGTATTATTTAAAGTATAACATTGTCCTTTTTTTCGAGGATCCCAAATTCGAATAGTACTATCATCGCTACCAGAACAAAGCTGAGTTATACCACGTCGTGCTCCATTAACAGAATTAACAAAAGATGTGTGGCCTTTTAGCTTTTTTATTCTAGTTCCAGCTATCAAATCCCATAAACCTAGTGTCATATCGGTACTTGCTGTATATAAATGATTTCCATCAGGATTAAAGTGCATTTCCATTATTGCACCGCTATGACCAGACATAACAGAAATGTTTTCACATTCTCCATAAACATTCCAAATAACTAACGAAACATCAAATAATGAAATATTAAGAAAAATATATATAACTTAACAGACAAAGCATATAAAACTTACAAATTTGTCTGTCAAATCCTGTTGAAGCTAGATACTGCCCTTCTGGATGAAATTCTAAAGAAAAAATATCTCCTTGATGCCCTTCCAAAAGCATTATAGGAGCAGTCAGCGACGATGTTCTCGGTGGTCCCTGAAATTTTAATTTACAATTCACTAATTTTGTCGATTTATATCAATGGTGAAATTCGAGGTTATAAACTTACACTCTGAACGACTGCTTTCTCTCTACTACTAAATACAACTTCGTTTTTGGTTTTCTTCGAAGCAGGAACGAGCGATAAAATATCATCGCCTTTTCTTTTATCCAAAATAGGCATTTCGATTATTATTTTCCAGGTAAATCAATTAATCTACACACGCCTCGGCTTTCCAATGCTTTAAGCCTCTATCAGATTTGTTATCCAATCTATATGGAAATTGCCAAAAAGGGGTTGTTGGTGGTGGTGGTGGAGGAGGAGGAGAGCGAATTGAGCGCCACCCTAGCATTAACGGACGAGTATCGAACTTGTCATTGGTAGCCGCATCACGGCAGTCGCATATAAACACACACGTATGCATGCCATATGCGCCTAGATAATTGGGGCATTTGTGCATGCTGATACGAAAAAGTGTCATTATATTTCATTATGCAATGAGAAAGGCAATTTTATACTTGTCTTAATTAAATTGTCATTGTTTGTATAAAAATTGAAAAACTTATAATTGAAATGAGACAGACATTAAACATTTTTGAAATAATGGATCGTACAATTTATTAAAAAAAATTTACTAACATAAATTTAATTATATAAATTTCACATTTCTTGTAAATAGATGTCATTATCTTTAATAATTGCTTTAATCCTCAATTATTACAAGCATTCGGTCATTCTTTCATAATGCTCTCTACACATTAACCAACAATATAAAAGAGAAGAAAAAAAAAACATTATTCTTAAATAAAATTTATAAATTTATGTTTTTGTAATTAATCGTTTTATGATTGTCGTTGCCCTTATTGTTATATTTATGTAACATCAGAGCTTAAATGTAATAATACGGCAAATAATTAGAATTTTCTAAACATATTCAAATAATATTTCTTTATTGGTTACTGTTTGGTAAACAGTTGATACGCGCATGACTAAATGAATGTAGACGAACCAATTATAAAAAGGTTATATTATTTTATCTCCATTTCTAGTTTAACTTATAAAAGAATTAATTCTATAAAAGCAACTGCTAACTTATTCTAGTCTTTGTAAAATAGTGTTTAAATTTTTTTAATACACTTTAGTTTGTAATAAAATTATTATTGTTTACCACTATATTTAAGAAATATGCAGAATATTTAGCCATACGTACATATCACATAAGTATATACATTTGTAAAAAAAAAACATCTTTACGATTAGAAGTGAGAAGTTTATAAAGATGTCTGCTTGGGGAAAAATTCACACAATCGAAGAACCAATTAGTTTTGATAAAATAACGTCGGAGCAACTTGCTCGCAGTTTGCAAGAAAAGTACAAAAAGTTTTATTATTTAAATTTGACATTTATACAATACTAATGCGCCTTATTTAATTTGCAACAAATTACTTTCATATGCAGAGAGATTAAGAAATATGCAGTGACTGTCATTGAAGAAATTCCAGAAATTACAGAAATTGCCGAAAAAGCTTCGGAACTTTTTGAAATCGATCAAACGGAAAGTGATGCAGTTATTGCACATATGCTTCAAGCCGACTTGAATGAAGAGTACGATTTGATGCTTAAACGAACAGAGAAAAAATTCAATCGTGATTCAAAAGGTTCATTTTTCATTTACATTAATTGTTAAGCATTTTATTATCAAATTTAATCATTTTACCAGAAACAAAATAAGTATATATTTCTATCGATAAAACAATAATCTCATAGCAGCATACAAATTACGTTTCGCAAAAAATTATTAATGATATATTTAGTGCATTTTTTTTTTGTATTAAACTTTTAAAAACCAAATATAATTTGCTTTAAGCATCGATATTTTTGAATTTGTGTAATTAATTAAATTAATTAAGATATTCCATTTTAGTCAATATTTCATATTTAAATTATCGTGCTGGAGTAAAAGAGCCGGAGGAACCAAAAGCCGATGTAGATGACGAAGACAGAGACTTCGATCGCTTTGTTGTACGTTGACTAATTTATAAAATCAAAAGATAGCAAATAAATGTATTTCGTTAATTATGTCGGTAAATTTGTTACAGAGCATTGAAAAGGAATATGCTTCAATTCCACGCTGTGGCTACAAAAAAGTTGGCGATGGCGGAACATCTCAAATTGTTACCAAACACGACATGCTGATGACTTCTAGAATAAATGCATGCCGAGTGCTTGAATTCCCTCCTGGTATCCAAACTGGCGATACTGGTGGATTTGATGTTAAATTAAATAATAAAGTGTTTAATTCATTGCGGCAACATAGTCATGCACACTGCTCAAAAGAGAAAGCCAAAGCTCATCCAAAGCCACAAACAAAAAGCCAAGCGACGCTTAAAGCAACAAACACAAATTAAAGGAATAAGCTTGACTGTTGATTTTATAAATCTATCATTCGTAACTCACAAACCATTAACACGAAAGTTTATTCATCTAATGTAACACTTCTGGCTAGTAAGATCAATAGATTTATTTATTTCAAAACGTAGTATTTTAAAAAGAATCAAACAGGTTATACCTAATGAAAAACTAACTAATTTACAAGCTAAAAATAAAATTCCATGTAACATAATTGAATCGTATAAAATATTGATACTGTATTTGTACAGGGTAAAAATAAAATCTTTTTGTTTTTAACAAAATTGCTTTAATTATATATTTACGAAAAAAGATACAGTTTTTTTTCGGAATGAAAATCTTTCGAATTATTTTCATGTAATATGTTTATATAAAAATTATAAATCACACTATAAATAATTAGCCACCCATAATAATAATTATTAATTATCTATAGCATGTATTAAAAAGTAAAATATTGTATATTAAAGAATTTGGGATGAATTTTTAAAAAGAACGAAACACTGAAATATTGAAAAAAATATTTCAAAAAATTTATAAAACCTTGCCTTCTGAATAGCATTCGTACTATTCAAATCCGAATTAAAATAAAAATATAAGAAATGGTGAAAATTAAATTTCCTTTCAAATTTATTCGTCGATTTCTCCACTACTTTTTCAATTAAATAAAAACTATTTGCTTTTAATATAGGAGTTGCATTATAAATTATTTAAACTTGACGGTCCGATTTCAGTATTATCACAGTAAGACTCATTTAGCTTCTATTGTCGCAAAGTAAATTATACCTTACAAAAGCATTGTAAACAAAGATTTATTCATGCTAATAATTTTCGAATCTGTTCCGAATGCACAGTCATTATGTTCTCCCATCCCAATACTAGCAATTCATGATTTTTCATTGACGATATTTCGATTTGGATCACCACACCGCCCTACCCCATGATAGCTTTGTTTCCACGACCCGCTTATCACAATTTCCGTATCGCAAACGGAATGTAAAGGGCAAACGTAAAGAGAGGATAGGTCCGTTGTAATTCTAAGACGATACTTAGAAAGAAAAAGGGGACAGAGGCCCCGACGACTGTAAGCCAATTTACGATAATATTTTCTTAGCTGAGCTCTTTGGTAGGTGGTCGTATGGGTATATGACCCTCGGAAAAGAGGTTCATGCGGTAAGCGGCTTTCTCGTCGTCGGTGAGCACATTCTCAGCACTGTAGGCTGTCTCGTCGATCATCACCGTTATCGCGATACCGAATCCACTGGCTGTCGGGGTAGCAAAGATCCCCTGGGAGCTGCTCTGCGTGGAGGCTATCCCAAATGGCGAAACGACGCCCTGCTGCTGAGGTTTTGCTAAGAAGACATTGCCGACGGATGCAGCGGTCGTCGTCGTCGTCGTCGTCGTCGCCGTCGTTGTTAATCTTGCGAATACACTACTTCCCGCTTGAGGACTCGCGAATCCTGTCCCGCCGAACGTCGATGTCGTAACCGACGTCCCAAAAATGCTGCCGGCCTCCGTCGCAGGCGCCGCGAAGCCGAAGGACACACCCTTGGAGTACGATGACATCCCAGTGCCGAAATGACTTTGAGCTGTGGATCCACAAGTTATGGATAACTTATTCATTATGTGCATACAATGATACCAAAATTACCAATTAGGCTTTTCAATCGTTACGTTAGCATTGAAGATTTTCTTCTTTACTTTTTCGTTTATTTTATTTTAACAAGTAGATTTATATGCCGTATAAATGTTTTAGAACAAAAATGGATAATAGCAACTATGAAATGAACTAATATGAAGAAAAAAGTGATAATGATGATGACGAGATGATAAAGTTATAACAAAATATTAAAATATTAACTTGCAAGGTAATACCCACTTTTGTCTAGTAATTAGATAATGAATAATAATAATAATAATAATAATAATAATAATAATAAGCTAAATAAAGTCACAATTACCAGTAGTGTTGAGTGCGCCAAAGGGCCCAGCGGCGGTAGATATGGGGGTGCCGAAGGGTGCCGAACTCGTCGTTGCCTCGAAGGCATTCGTGGAAGCGGCTGGAGCAGCAACCCCGAAACCGGCCCCCGCATTGGCCGTCTGGGCAATGACTCCGAAGCTGGAGGTGACACTATTCGACCCCCCAAACACGCTGCTTGATGACGACGAAACGGCGTTAGTCCCTCCAAAAGCGGACTGACCACCGAACATCGAGCCACCGGTCCCGGCACCTCCACCACCTCCAGTCTACAAAACAATGAAGCAACGGCGACTCGATCATACACTTCTACAGACAATTACGGTAATATCTCAACTTATATTTGGATTTGGATTTGATGTTAAATTTGTAATCAAAGAGCGGGCTCGTTTTGCTTCTCGATAAAAAAAAAAAAAAAATTCATCCTCCTTGGGAAACTTCTTGTCTGGATGGATAATTTTCACAGATCCTTCACAACATTCGTCATCTTAAGGTTAAACGTGCTGATTTAGTAACATTAAACTGATCTGAAATACACACGTGTACGCGTAAACAAACGCGCAATCATATACTTTGACTTCTAGAACGTACGATTAATTGATAAAATGCACTCTATAGGCGTCGAAGCTTAGATAACAAGGGGTTGGCTCTTTTTTTTATTTATAAGTCATGAAAATATTCGTCGAGAAATGAAAGGGTTCTTCGATGGCCTCCTTATGAATACTACGGTCACCTGGGCTTGAGCAGTGCCAAAGGTGCTCGTCCCGCCGAAGACGGGCGCACCGCCGAAGGCTGCATTGGTCGTCGTCGTCTGTCCAAAGAGTCCGGTACCGGACGCCGGGCTCGAGCCAGGATTCGCGCCGAATACGGAGCTCTGGGCGGTCGTGGTGACGCCGGCTCCTGGGATCGCAGCCCCGAACACGTTGCCGGGCTGGACGGGTGTTGCGACCACGGATCCGAACACCGACGGCTGCGAGCCCTGAGCCTTCAGGAAGCTGCCGCTCGCCTGACCACTGCTGGCGCCAAAGGTCGCGGGCTGACCGAAGCCCGACTGAGCCGAAGCACCGCTACCAAATAACGAGCCTAAGCGCCAACTCTCTTTAGATATGCTTATCTATTCTCTCGTGCTTTCTTTTTTTTTTTTTTTTTTTTTTTTTTTTTTTTTTTTGTTAGCATTTTCTAAGCCGCCAACGATCGCGACGATTTGGTAAATACCCAATGGCAAGTTGAGTGTTCCATGCGTTAGCACGCAAGTTTCGGAACTTTCTTACCGAATATCTAATGCAAGCACGTGCACTTATAACTTAGTCGATTTCATTTATTGTCATTTATTAATTATCAATCATATTTGAATAAACGTATTTGAATATTCAGATTAAACTTATTTCATTGAAATTTAATTTGTGATAAATTGCCATTACGTATTTGCTTAGGCGACATTAAATGGACACGTAGTAAAGTTTTTTCACTCACACTTTACTCACTAAGAGTTTAATAGGATTTAATTCAAAGTTTAATTCAATGGCCAATAGAGAAAATAATTTTGCATACTAGTCATTGATTATTGATAAAAAAAATACAATGGAACTTTTAAGTAGTAAGATGTAAGTTTAAAAATGTACCTTGAGAGGCCAAGCCACCAAAACTAGGAGCATTTTGCACCGAGCCAAACGCTGGTGCCGCAGACTTATTGACATTTCCGAAAATGGAAGTGCCAGTAGCGGATGGACTACCAAACACCGGAGCACTTCCAAAACTTGGTTTCCCTCCGAATACGGAATTTGAATTGTAAGTAGTAGGCCTAACAAAAATTGAGGATGATGCTTGCATTGAATTGAAGCTACCGCCGCTACTACTACTAGTACTATTGCCAAAGGGATTGTTTGATGCTCCAAAAGACTTCTGTCCAAAAACGCTCGACGTTTGATTAGTATTTGAAATACCCAATTGTGGTGTTCCAAAAGCAAAATTTCCTTTATTTAATTTAGAATTATTACCAAACGAGGTATTCTCCGCCCCTGAATTCTGTATTTCTTCCTATTAACAAGAACAATAAAAATTACAGTAAAAATACAATAAAAAATGTAAATGATGTAATAATATATTTTAATTAAAAAGGGTTATGAAGCAAAATAATTGAATTACCAATAACTGAACGATTGCAGATGTTGGATTTTTCAAAGCATCGCGTTTGGTTTTCATTGTCTCGCACATTTGTTGAAATTGAGCATTCTAAAAAATAATGTAAATAACCAAAAATATTTTTAACAACAAATGCTATAATATAAGTAGATAATAACTATACTATTTGATCTGCTGTGCCATTTTTCTGTGCTTGATACATTTCCCAGCGGACTTCCTCTGGCGATACGTCTTCCATGCCTGGAATACACTTTCGCTCCTTGAACGGTCCATAGCAAGAAAGTAGCCATTGTCTGCCTCTTTCAGCATTTAGAATATCTTCGGCCACCATTAAACTAAAAATAATATTTTATTTTAAACTATCGATGAACATAATGATGTAATGTTTTTATTTGAAATATTCACTATTAATCATTCTATTATTAGTTCACGTTTGAACAATTTTTAAGTAATAATAGTTTAATTAATGAACAATATAATAATTAAATATAATAATACAATTTTAAACATACCTAATCTACTAACATTAAGTGCTATATTATTTTATATAGTTTTTATATACTTATACAATAAATATTATTCATAATTGTTTATAACTATAATGAACTATTAATAATTTTATTATCAATTAATATTTTCATGAACTATTAATAACTAATTTTTTTATTAATTAATATTTTAAACAGCACACTTATGCTTCTTTAAATAAATAATAGTAAGAAAGTAATTTTAATCACTAACTAACCAGTATTATTTATATTGTTCAATATATACATCAATTGTAGAAATAATAAATAAATAATATTGTTAAAGTAAAACATAATTTTAATAAAGGCTAAACATATTTATATATATATATATATATATATATTACTTACGCTATGTTCTTTTCATCTCCGAAAGTTTTACTTCTATTCCCTGTAAATCAAAACCATTCATAAACAAAACACATAACCTATTGATATTCCAGAAGACTTTATCAATCGATTAATTATTTTTACATATTTTATCTTACCAAAACTGTGTTCAAATTTACAATATTGACCAAATCGGCAACTGCCTTGTTGAAAAAATTTACAAAGTACCATTTTAATTATTACTAAAATTACTAAAATGTAACGTCCTTAATAAACAGACGATACACAATACAAGAGGATCCAAAGGCGAAAATAATACTTAAAATAAGTAGCGCGCGCGCACTAACAATTTTTATTTATTTGATTAGTGTCATCAATTAATAATCGTATCAAAATTATTAAAAATTTAATTTTCAGTCATAGGATTATATGCCGGAATAAAGTATTCAACAAACAACCATAAACATATTTCAGGGTTTACTTTTCTATTTTTTCAATTGTTTACATGCAATGATTATAAATAAATTTCGAAATATTTATATGTTTTTGTTTATAATTTTCCATAGTACATCTGCTTATATACATGAGTGTATATATATATAAAAGTGCATATATATATATATATATATATATATGTATGTATGTATGTTTATATACACACGCGCATATGTATAAATAAATTAATGTTATTTTTATTATGTTGCAAATTCTAAAATTGATTTTCCAATTAAGTATATCTATATAACATTATTTTTATAATATTTAATTTTATATATTAATATTTATTTTTGGTGTGGTACATAATCTAAAGGTGACTCTCCAAAATACATTCTTGGCTTTTGATTCGTTGAACCTAATTGTGTCTCAACTTCCTTTACTTCGATAATAGCCTCGTTACAAGGTCCCTGTACACTTGTAGTTTCCACATTATTTACATCGGTCATTGCCTTATGGTGCAAATACATCTCTTGTAAAAGTAGATTATATAGCTGCGTCCCATTTACCTTAACCGAGTTTGCCGACGTGGACAACCTTTTTAACGAAGCATTAATCGCTTCAAATACTTCTTCGTGATTATTCGTTATCATCTGTTTCGTTTTACAATCATCGTCGTCTTGTTGATTCTCCACTGAGTCACTGGTTGATTCTACATTTCATAAAAATCATAATTACATGATAAAAATATATGTTATTTAAAAATTTTATTTAAGCTACGATTGTAAAATTATTATTTATAATAAATCAGTCGATAATATAAGTTTCAAACGATTATTACTTATGCAATAAGCATAATTCATATTTTACTAATAAAATAAATAATTATGAAATACATGCCATACAAAGCATAATTTACAATTGTCTTGTGTATATAAGATTGGCCAATTTAACATTTAAAATAAAATAATATGGCCTCCGATAAATTCGATTTCAAATAGATTTCTTTAACTACAAATAATCATATTCACATAATTGACAGGCGAGATTTTTCATAAACCTTCACAAGTTTTAATATTCTACAATTCTGAATTAAATATACATATTATTATAAGATTGTATAAAAATACCATGAATTAACATATTTACATTAGCCAACGTTTTAATACAATTAATATATTTACAATAGTTAACTGTTTAATATAATTGTTTGAAACCTTTGTGTATCAAATATCGATACGGCTATGTTGTTTGGACAAGATAACAAATTTCACTATATGCATACTAAATTTATAACTTTTTAAATTGAAAATCGGCTGTTTATACGATAAGGATATAATAGTGATTTTAATAATCAATTAATCAAATAATCAATCAAGTATTATAAAATTATTTCTTAAATTCAATATAATATCTCTACAATCGTTCAATTTTAACACAATTAAAATATTTTGTTTATAGTTATTTTAATAAATATGAATTACATAAATTATCTAATAGATTCTTATAAATTTTTTGTTAAAATGACATATTAAAAAGTATTGTTCAAATTTTATTAAACTATTATGCATTGAATACAAATTTTATAATCTTTTTTACCATTAGGTTCTTCTGTTTCCTCCACTTTAATATTATTTAAATTTTGTATAGACTCCGAGGATATAATTCTTTCCAAATTTGATACTTCTGGTTCAATAGTTTCAAGGACATTGCATAATTCGATTACGTTAGTATTTCTTTGTTCGGAAAGTAACCCAATAAATTGTAAAAAAGATTTACCGATCTCGGAAGATCGTATGTAAAATGTCTGTAGATACAGTTTTTCACGCCTGTATCGAACATGAAATTAATTGATAATAAATAATAATTATTATGACGAATGTATGATAAAACTTACGCCGTTTGCGAATGAAGTAATCCAAAAATAGTTGTAAGTACAACTGCAAAAACCAAAAGAGAAAAAAACATATTAATCTTTTGGTATTAAAACGTGTTGCACTTGAAATTTCTTTAACGTAAGTGCATGTTGTCTCAACGACAGTTGAATATCACAGCACCATTTTCAGATGTATAACGTACATGAATTATAAAAAAAATTGAAATATAGAATAAAATAGGAAAAGCAAATGAAAACAAAAAAATTGTAGTAAAAGAACAGATTTTTATTCCACATCTCGTGGTACCGTTGTACTTGGTTAGAATTTACAAATCTTTCATTGATTTTAATTATTTAAGTAATTACAATGATTTGTCAGTCTCCTTTTAATTTACAAGAGAACAATGATAAGCTCTTTTAGCAAAATTATTTTTTTCATACAATTAAATGACTTGATAAACCACGAAAAGACTAGAAGTACCATAGGATGCAGCTATCGCGCTTGCTATGGTCTCCTCATCGTAAAGAAAAAAACTTAACATTAGAGATGTGTAATAAACCGTAATAAAAATACGGTATATCGATAGTCATATTTATAATGGATTGACAGGATATATATATATATATATATATATTTATTTCATACTTTACTGTAACAATGAAAAATATTTTGTAATTGCATTTATAACATGATTTAGCTCCCATTTTACTTGCAACCCTCAAATTATATTTCCATTTCAATTATGTTTCACTTTTATTCTAAAGATATTTTATTCATATTTCATTGACTTTTGTACAATAAAATAATTTTATTATTTCACAAACGTTGGTAAACTCTATATAAGATCTTTATAAATGTATATATTAATTACAAGTAAATAACGGTATAATAAAAGCAATAAAAATCTCGCCAGCATTATAATTATAGTATTATTAACTGCGGGTAAAATTAATAATAATAATAACTAATTTCTAAAATATTCATAGTTAATTTAAGCAAAATTGAAGTTGTTCGATTGTTGTTTGTAATGTAAATAGCGTGCAAATAAAACACAAGTGAAACACAAGTAAAACAGAGTCAGAATAAAAACAGAATTTAAGAAAAATGTGATAAAATGAAGAAAATTAGATTAATGATCGAAACCAAAAATAAAAATTAAGATATTCATTACATTGTTTTATTGATAAAATCCCTGGTCTCGTCGATCTTATGCCAAAATATATTTGAATAGAATTATTTAAATTTATCTTGCTGTTGATTATGAGAAAAATTGTTATTTAATACTCTTAATGAAAAATACAAAATTGTCACTGAACACATTGTTTGGTGCAACAAAAAATCAAAGTTACAGACGATCAGGAAACGGAAGGCTTATGCGCAATAACAACAGATTAATGGTGTTTCGTACCCTGCGCAAAATACAAGAATATATCAAATACATTCACACATATAATCATATGCATACATACATACATACATACATACATACATAATAAATGCATACATAAATATGTATGTGATGTATTTATACTTTTATATATGCGTACATGCATTATAAACATATAATCGATTCTTGTGTGATATATAAAAGTCTCTTTCAATTGGTATCGTTCCTTTTGGAATGATACGCGGTGCTTTTGCATTTTCAATAAGTTTAATCATCTAAATCGTTGATGTGAAGAACTTCTCTAGAAGTCAGTCCAGCATTTAACAAAGTCAGAATTTCAACAGTAGGATACAAAATTCTTCTGGGATAACTGGTTGTTATTTCGAATTTTGCAGGTGAATCTGGCTGACTAAATATCCAATGATAAACATCCTGTAAACAAAAAAATATATATAAAATTATTTCTATAAAATGTGCTTTAGTAATTATCGTATCAAGTATTTAATTACATATTGATGTACTGTTTACACAGTTTTATATTTTTATTATGAATCATTAAAATATTTTATTATTGCTTATATTATTTGTTATTCGCTGAAATTTAAATTAAATATATATATATATATATAATTCAACTAAATGAAATATTTTCAATTGGACAATGTGACATGGAAATTTTGAGAAAAAACAGAAACAAGAAAAACTGACAAACTATCAACGGTTGGCCTTACTCTTACTTTATAAAATTTTATAAATTTTCCTGCAGTAACAGTTATAGCTGTTAATTTAAGTTCAATGAAAATCATAACCTCCATAAAGAAGTCGAAATATTTAAATTCGAAAAGATTGAATAAATAATCTTAAAATAATGGATTACTCATCGATTAAACAATTTTAAATTTAGTTATTTTTTTGCTCGACTATTTCTGGATCCAATTGTGATAAGGTTTTTACTCGTTTACAATTTGATACTAAATTAAAAAATTTTGTTCATTGACTGCAAACTATTCTAATAATATCTGTAAGATAACCGTAATCGAATTTATGCGTAATTTGATGTGTCGTTTTAAAACAATAATAATCTTACGAGAACTCGTTAAATTTATTAACGGAAAGTTGTTAAAGAAAAAGAAAAGAAAAGAAATTTTAAAAAACTTAAAATTATCAAGATTTCAGTAATCGTTTACAAACATCAATTGATACAGTTTTTTAATTTAGCTATTAATATTCAAAATTCTGCGTTTTTAAATTTAACATAATTTTTATAAGCGGTTAAATGCAAATTGCCGTAAAAGTTATTTTCAGCCAAGTATGTAGATTAAATATTAAAAAAAAAAAAAAAAAAAAAAAAAAAAATTCCTGATTATGTACAAACATTTTAATATCGTGTGTAATGAAATTTCAAATAAGATTTCGCTTCTAAAATATATGCTTACGCTTCGAAGCTCTTTTAAACAAGAAAAAATATATATATTTCATAAAAGATCCATTTCAAACAATTGCATCAACGATTACGCGTAAACTATCGAAGAAAATTGCCAACCAACATACTTCAATATAATAACGAATAAAAAAGGAGAAAATATTTCAACTTTTTTTTTTTTAACAGTGTGCAACAAGGACGATTACCTCGATGTTGTCAGAAAGTAAGAAGCGCCGCTTAACAGTTCTCTCCCCAAGTTTAATTTGCAAGTGGCAGACGTGAGGGTTATTAGGCTCTGGCTCCACGGGTATCTTCTCGGTCATGAGTACCTTTTCGATTTTGATGCGCTCAATCTCCAACTCCTGGGCATTAAGCTGCTCGCGCTCCCTAGCCTCCTCGGCTTCGCGGGCAAGTCGCTCCTCCTCGCGACGGCGGTCTTTCGCTTGGTCAGCGCGTAACGACTCCTCGTACGCGATGTCTTGAAGCAACCTCAGCGATTGCGTAGCGCTGCGCTCCGCCCGATCCTGGCGAGCTTGGATCAAGTTTATTTCATTGCTCTCAATGATCGTCTGCAGTCGCGCTGTCAATTCCGATGGCGAGGGTATGCCTTCCATTCTAGACACATCGAACCAACATGCCGATTATTATTGATGGAAGAAATTAAACCTAATAAACTATCATTTATTCCTAAATTTATTAATATGAATATTTATAATTCGCTCGATAATACCATTATAAAAAAATATATAAGTTAAACTGATTTTTATAATCAATACCTTTAATTAAAAATTTATTTAACTTTAAGTAAATAATTCTGCTAAGGCTCGGTTGAAACAATTATTTGTGCAATGTATGTTACTTTTATCTTTTTTAAACAAAAATTTGTTTTAAAAGTAATCCAATAAAAAAGCGAGTAGTTTATTTTCTAAAATATTTAATAACAAATTTAATAACTGTATAATTATTATAAAAATTACCAGCTCCATTGTATAAGATATTAAAAAATAAAGATCGTTAAATTTGTAATACCGAAAAATTAACCTAAATCTGTCCATTAAAAATTGTTTGATTAGTTTTATGGCATAAACATGTATTTGTAAATTTTGTAATTATATTAGAAAGATGCAGTCTCAAATAAATGTTAATAATACATTTGATAATGTATGTAAGGGAAAAATAAAACTTGTAATATAACGTAATAAAGTGTTGACAAGTAGAAATGGATGAATATCTAATGAATTGACTTTATTATTTTTGAAAATCAGAAACCGCTTAGATGAACATTGATTTTTCCAGCATAATGTATGAATATGGAAAAACTTACCTTCCAACTATTGTCATTCTATTGTCTTTTAATACAATAAGTGCCAAAAATGGATAAGTACCAGACTTAAAAGCTCCCGCTACTTTATAACCTTCACCAGACTTTATATTACACGCCCAAAATAGCGTGTGAGTATTTACAAACCGAACTACTTCAGGATCTGCCAAAGTATTTCTGTTAATTAAAAATAATCATAGCGTTATTATAAATATTATACACATATATAAAAAGTTTAGAATTACAAAGCTTTACATAAGCGTTAAACCATTATGAAAAAAATATGGGTCAAATTGATTTTAGTAATCGATGCCGCTAAATTAAAAAATTTGACCAAAACGGCTATGTGAAAACTCAAAAATGTATGCGATAAAAATAATTAGTTAGTGAGAAGTATTTATTTAATGAAACTGAGAAAAAAAATCTTTAAAACTTAACCTTATACGGTAAATTTTTAATACAATTCCAATATATTTATACTTCTAATAATTCATATTTATTTGTTTATTTATAATTTTATTATCAAATTTAAATTTTATTATCAAATTATCGAATTAACTATATCTTAATAAATAGCATATATATCCTATAAATTATAAATGTAACAAACTCTATTAAAACTTTTTTAGAAGATTTTGTAAATTTAATAAATAGTACATACCACGATTAGATTGCATATCATTATTTTTCTTTTAGCTTCTTTTAGTTATTTTTTTTTCACGCAGTTAAAACGATTATTATCATCACAAATCAATGGTATTGTTATATCAAATTACCTGCACCATTCGTCGACTTCCTGATTTTCATCTTTATGAAGATATACTAAAAGGAATCTTAATTCTTGTTTAGCATCCGAAAGGGCTTGGCCATAAGAACCTTGATAAAATACAGGATGATTTAAACCATACTGATCTTCGTAAGCTTTTATAAAATTCATCACGTCTTGGATAGGATCCAAGGAAACTAAATAGAAAATTTAAATATTTGTAAATTGAGTGATATTTTGTACACAGTGAGAAAAGTCAAAATATTACCAGGTCTGATATTTCTCCTAAATATTGCAAAAAGAAGTTTAAAAATACTGGTGACAATATTGTAGCAGAATGACAACATGTAAGAAAAAAATCCACCGTTCCCTGAACTTCCTGTTGGACTGAAATAAATTCTGGAACTAGTTTCATCAACAACTGGTGGAGGTCTTACTCTTGTGTCTTGTGCATACATCGACGGTCTGCCTTCATACAGATTTAGCTGTTCCTATATAATGGACATAAAATTAACTATAACAAAGCATTTATTAATGAATCTTTTATTTTAATAAAGATAGAATGTAGAATTATCTGTATTCAATCGATATTTCACTTCAATGTAACGTTATGTTTCGTAGATAGGTATTTTTAATGAAAGGGAATATTCAATAAATGAAATATACAACAGATCAAGTACAAAGCAAATAATACTTTGTTATTATACTTGCAACTTTCTTTCACAGCTGCAAATTTATTCCACCAAATTGAATATTTGAATGATTGTACCTGTACAGCCACTTCCAAATTCCAGTTGTGTCGTAACAGAACATCTCTGCAGACTGATAAGTCTTCGATACCCGTTAAATCCTAAGAAAACAATGAAAAAACGTTAATCATATTACATTTTCAATCCATTCGCAACATTGGAGAACAATGGATTTTCATCGATGAATTAACGACTTGGATGCATTAAGAAGGAAAAACGACGTAGCGGCCTCACCTGAAATTGAAGGACTTTCTCGATTTGATCGCCGATGAGATCGCCGAGCTCAAAATCTGCCATTGCAAATTTTTCAAAGAGATCGGTCAGAGTGATGTGCCCGAGCTCTTAATCATTTGGAGAAATCAGCATTTGATTTTGAAATTTCTCCGATTCTTTCCAATTTTCGTTTCGCTGGTGTTCCTTGAAAATCGTCGAATGCGCTGGCGTGTACGTCCTTCTCTTTTATAACCTCGCGTCAGCACTTGAAATATAAGGCAGGTGACAACGACGGTAACGACAACAACGACGACGACAACGACGACGACGACGACGACGACGACGACGACGACGACGACGACGACGACGACGACGACGACGACAACAACGACGACGACAATGACGACGACTACGATTACGACGTCGACAACGATAACGATTATGACGACGACGACGACGACGACGATTACGATAACGACGACGACGACGACGATTACGATAACGACGACGACGACGACGATTACGATAACGACGACGACGACGACGATTACGATAACGCTACGACTACGACTACGACGATGACGTTGGCTACGACGGCAACGACGGCGACAACGGCGGCGACAACGGCGACGACGACGGCGACGACGACGGCGACGACTGTTGACAACGGCTACATGAACACCAACGAAGTATTAACACGATCACATCACACGACAGTCAGCAAATAATATCTCCACAAAATCACCTCAACGACGGTGGCGACGACTTGTGGATGTTTAGCGAAACACATATGAAAATGCCATTTATTTCCAAGGTTGCGAACCGTCAAGTACGACGATTGCGATGCTGTTCTGGAAATCCTGCTAATTACGTCAGCTCACTCGATGTTTCTACTCCTCCTTTTTGTTCTTCTTAAATACTATTATTTATCATTCGTTTCATATGCATTTAATGAGTGTTCATTTATTTTCTATTAGAATTGAAAGGTTTCCACAAAAATGTCGTTATAGGTGCAGATTTTTTATCATTTCATGAACTTTATAGATTTCTTAAATTTTCTAACAGATAATTAGCACTTGTCTATAGAAATTATACGGATTTTAATATTAATAAGATAATACTTCGTGACAATTAATTACACATATTATTTGCATAATTTATAAATTGGCCAAGAGTGGCAATTTTATTTCTGAATGTATTCTTATTTCCTTTTCGATCTATTGTGCTACTAGATACATTTTTTTCACATCTAATCGCGTCTATTTATTTACAATAATTTTCTTCGCTCACAAGCATGTCCGTTTCAATTGCAGGCCTTAAAAGAAATGTGTAAATATTTTATTTTATGAGAATGTTAAAATCAATTTTTAACAGAAATCAATACTGGCCGATTTTCACCTTCTAATATGTGATATTGATAAAGTGATTATATATTCTAGGCTGCGACCTTCTTAAACTAATTCTATCATTTAATCTTAGGTAATAATTCAAATATAATAGCTATTGAAATTGTAAATGTTATAAAAAATTCATCAATGAATTGTAGTAAGAGCTGAAAAACAGAATTTATTATGGAAAAAACAGGTCAACTATCATTAAATACAAAAAAAAAATAACAGTTTACATTATAAATATTTACAAAAGACTATTATATTTTATTATTACAAAGTATTATAACAAAGAAAAAAAAGAAAAATTTAGTCATGTATACAAAAAACATGTTTTCTAAGATAACACAATCAACTGAATAAATGAAAATACACTCAAATAAACAAAGCTATAAGCTTGTATTATTAAAATTTCTTAAATGCTGAACTGATTAAAAATATCAATTTATTATGAATAATTATAATTATTATGAAAAGTGTGTAGTGACTTGGGGAGTGAAATTTATCATTTAATATTCAATTTTTATATGGAAATGTTAATCACCTGATTACTCTATTGACTTCATAAACTTCATAAAAATCTTGATATCACTATTATAAATTACTATTCATTTTCCACGTTTAGTTAGTCGCACGATTTGGACATTAGAAAATATATTTAAATTTTTTCAAGAGAAAAAGGAATAAAACTTTTCACAATAATCCTGAATTTTTCAAATTTTACAATCAAGCATCACTTGTGCACTCCATTATTAAGTTCTTCATAAGTACTGTGCTTGTATTAATTAATTTTGATAATAAAAAAACATTTTTTTTCTTTAATAATAAACTGAAATTATTCGCAATATACAAAGAATAGTAATATACATTGCAATCATAGTTTAAATATTTTAATAAGATTGAATTTCCGAAAATAATAATTTTAAGCGAAAACGTTCAAATGCCGGATTTGTCGTTAAAAGAGGCGAATAAACATTCTTTACAAATGCATTGTCACTTAGCAACTATAATTTCAAACTTTATTTCTTTTTGCAAATTGAAATTAAAATTAATTGCGATAAAAATTGCAAATACCAATTTTATTTGAAAGTTAAATTAATTAGTATTTCACATATATTCCCATTGCATCGCAAATGTACGGATTAACATTTGTTTGAAGCCTAAAAAATAAAATATCTAAATAGCTTCTACTACTTTTTTAACGCATGCGCTACGATTAATTTTCCACTATTCAATTCAAATTTGTAAAATGCAGTTTAAAAACTTTATTCAAAATGACGATGCACATCTCATATATGATTTAATGAAAATTTAAACATCCAATAAACTACAACGAAATGCTTTTTTACTTCGATCGAGTTTTCATCTACATTACATCCCTTTCTTTCCCGGCGTCATTTCAATCTTCTATTTTTTGTTTTCCATTGTCACATGCGGTATAAACGGAGCTACGTTACAAACAGTAATTGTCAACAGTTTCAACCTCCGATAATTTTCTTAATAATTACATTCTAATCTTATAAAGTTGAAGCTCGCATATATATTTGAGTAGAAATTAGTGACTTGCGAAGGTTAAGTTCGTTACGCAGGACGTTATTTTCTTTAACGTTGATTACTCGTCACGTGTTTGCAAATAGTTGATAACATTGGAAACAAATTTTAATTGTTTTGTTGACCAAACAAAGTAAAAATGTCGGTGGCACCGATGGGAAATTTACCGTGAGTACATTTCGTTAAATTTATAATTTACAATAGACAAAGTACAAGTCACATAAAATGGATTACTATTCTGTTATTATATTCTTATATCACATACTATTTATTATACAGTATTTATTATTTATTAAACGTTCAATTTATTGTTTACTTTGTTATTTATTTAGTTTTCGGGCCTATATTGAAGAATAAGAGATGAAATTCTATATAATAAACAGACATTTTATTTGTAAAATTTAATCCGTAGTTTAACACAGTAAATCTATTGATATAAAATAGTTAATTATTAATCATTAAATATGTATAAATATAACGAATTAACTTGATTATTTTACTAGCTATTGTAAAGGGTTGTGGTCTGTGATATCAAGCACAACGTGCCGTTGTGACAGAGAACTTGTGGAGGATGAAATAAAAAATGCGACTGAAATATTAAGAGATGGATTAGCATATTTTAAGCCATTTACAGAAAAATCATTGCAATTAGTTTATAAAACTGATCCACCTTACAGAATGTTTGATCTTATTAGCAAATTGTCCCCCCTTCTAGTAAGTATTATAAAATATTTCTAATCTTTTCTCTGACGACGTAATTTTAAATTATTTTTAATGATTTTCATTCAGATATCAACTACAAACGTTTCAAACGAAATTAAATGTCATTGTTATTATTTTCAGAATTTAGATGCAACAATATCATGGGATTTAGTATGCAATTTTATGCTTTATGAATATAGAAATTGTGCTGAAACATTTGCTTCGCAATTGACAGATTTAACTTCTATGCAAGCATTGATAGAACAAATATGGAGTTTTTATTATACGGAGCGTATTACACTAATCAAATGTTTAAAATTGATGGTAGAATATCGTGATAACGAAAAGCATCCACATCGCAGTCATTTTACCAAATTTTTTGACGAAATTCTCCTTGGCACGCTTTTAGAATCTATAAGAAAACAAATCGAGGCCTTAAAATTTATCAATCCACCTATTAGATCACAGTTATTTAGTGACGAGCATCTTCATCAATTGTACAATTTTAGTCTTATCGAAATGCGAGAGCTTCTACACATTTTCACAGTCATTTTACACGATGTTCACGTGGCTGAAAGTCAGTTTCTCGATATTTATGGAAGTATCAGTGGAGAGCCACGACGCTTGATCAGTACAAAAAATCACGAGGATAAGGAAACTGTGGCAAAGAAAATTCAGGATATTCAGTACAGCCAATCTGCGCTTCTCATCGTTGGACTCGATATAATGAAGCACGCTGGCATGGAGGACTGGATAAGAGATGTCAGAAGTAGTATGCAAGATGTTTTTGAACATAAATGCACGCGCGATTCATCTCCACAAGATGGACCATTGCTTTTGGCATGGATGTTGGCAAATTATGCCATTGAGCCCGATAACATGGATACTTTTAATCGTTACAGGCCTTTCGGTATTAAAGCTGTTCAACTTAATGTGTTTCATTATTTACAAGGGCTTCTAAGCAGTGAAATGATTAAAGAGAAAACTCAGTATGCTATTACCGTAAGAGGAAGCATCTATAATCTATTGACCTCGTTATGTACCTTTGTAGACGAAGATAAATTTGACTCTTTTCCAGGTACGCTTTTTTTTAACTCTTTGAAACCTCACATATTTAGAATAATCTTTAAAAGTAATGTGCGACATCGTTAAAAAGAATCGTCGAACAGAACTTTGCTTATGTATGTATGCATGCATGTATTTTTTGTTATAGTTAGCGATTCAATGCATAATCATCTGAAAATGATATTTTTTAAATCGAAATGAAAAATAAGAATAAGGAATTCTCTGTTCATATTTGATTAAATTCTATATCGCTTTGCTTTCCTTTACAACATAATAACAATCTCCAATCGAAACATTTCAGGTGTATTCGAAGCGTGCGCCGCTATTCTAAGCTTTCGAGAGACAGCTGAACGCTTCTGGCAGGAGAGGGACGAGGAATGTGGCCTATGGGTAGTCATCAAATTCGCCATCAACTGGTTCCCCTATCGATTCCAGCCACTGACTTGCATCTTAACCGGTCTAGCCAGCGCCTCGGATTCCAGCGCCATTAAAACCCTCGAGATATTGGAGAACTTGCCGTCCATCACCCTGGAGGTGCCGAGGCGCATGTTCGACGTGCAGATGCAGCGCAAGCCCTACGAGCAGGAGTGCGTTATTCACCGGAACGAGTACGCGATACCTGTCCACTGCACCGGCATCAAGATTAACGCGCCCCACAGGAGCATCGCAAACGACGAGTGCGAAGTGATAATGTTCAGAACCACGGCTAATTACTGGGACGCCTTTCATCACAAGATCGAGGTATTACTGCAAAAGGCCAGCGGTGGCTTCGCCAACTTAACCGAATGCAATGATCAACTGCCGGATCAAGTCACCCTGGGATTTACCCTGCTTGATGCACTTTTGGCCGCGGACATCGACATACCCACTAGAATGGTCATTCCAACAGAATTAAGTTTCGAGATAATCAATCGATTTTCTTACCCGGACTTACCGCTCAACATATACAAGGTAATGTTTCATGAATTCGAGATCTTCGACACAATAATCCACTCTCGGAAACAATAATATCGAGGATCAGAAGATAAAAGCATTATTATTTTTGTTCCTCCGAATGTTGACTAGATCGTCGCGAGCTGCATGAAAGTCTCCTCGAAGCTTGTCCTCCGCTATCCCGAGGATGTGCTCTCGCGCATGCGAGCCGGCGTCTACCCTCGCTTCGACGACTACTACCAGGAGATGACGGAGTTCGCGCGGGCCGTGTCGTTCGACGGAGGCCTCGTCGCCTCCTGGCTCTCGAGCATCGAGACCATTCAACACTCTTACCCGATCCTCGATGCCTACCTCGACACCCTTTTGAATTATCTGATAGTGCGCCACAGCAATAAGGCCCTCTACGACGTCGAGATACCGGGCATGATAATGCTCCTCCAGAGCGTGCTCCCGAAGCTCGACTCCTGGTACTTCCGCTCCGAAACTGAGCGGGTCGAGCTCTGGCTGAAGAGCATCTATTGTTTGCACAGGGCGCTGGATGTCATGTCGGGGAAGAAGAACGAGTCGAGGAACGAGCTGAGAAAGATTGTCAGCTATAACTTGTTGCACCTCGAGCCCAGGCACGCTCTGCTCAAGCTCGTGAGGACCGGCGAGAAAATCTTGAGGAACAAAATGATGAGCGAGACCGACTGGATATCCGGGAAGGGCTTTAAGGTTTGCTTATCTCTTTCCAAGTCCTTACGTTTAACGTCTCTTTATCGAGTCTCAATTTACTTTCGAGCTTTCGTCAATTTAGCGCGTAAAGTAGGACGAAGGCGAAAAATGAAAAGTGCCGTTCTCGTTTCAATTGCGACACACTGAAAAGTCTTTTGTAGAAGCTGGAGCATATAAAGGCCGTGTAACGGAACGTTGTAAACGGATCGCGACGGAGGAATATGATTACTTTGCACCAGCCAGACATTGCGTGGCAAGTACCGGAGCACTTGGTGAATGACGGTCAAGAGGCTAGTGCCCAGAGTCAAGCGCGTTAACGACATTTCGCGCACATTTAAATTGGCAGGTAATGAAGAGCGTTCAGCTGGCCTTGTCGGTGGTAAATCGTTTGCTCATATACCGGAAGAATTTGGGCTTGGATACGAAAGAACGCTCGCCGCTTGAAGCCGCCCTCTACGCCTCGCCTTCCTTACCGAACGCCCTGCTTATCGTCCCGACGATTGTCGATTACCTCTACGTGTGGTTCAGCCCGGCACTGCAAGCGATGGCCGTGCGCCTCCTGAAGAAGTTCGCCGAGGGATTCTCCATGTCGCTGCTCGTGTGCATGGGCATGGATGGGACGGCTATACGCGAAACCTTCGCCTCGAGACTTATGTCGCCGACTTGCGACGTCGAAGTCAAAGTCGCCATCCTCGAGCTCGTCACCATCTGTCTGGATAAGCAGCCAGGTTCGTTGTTAATGTTAACAAATGCCTTAATGAAAGAGCGTTAAAGTCAATTCTATTGTCAAACTGTGTTCGAATTCTTTCGAATTAATGCTTGGAAATCAATAATCATCGTTTGTTTCACCTCTTAAAGTGACATTTTTCAATTCCCAAAATACGTTGTCTTGGCATTTTAATTCTCATTAATTTCCTGCCCGGAACTAAGAACGATGTAAGAAAAATGATGGCAAACTAATGCTTCCTTCATAAAAATACCTTTCTAAATTAGTAATTAACAAAGTTCATCCAAAAAGCGGGAGGAATTTTTTTATAATATAATATAACAAGATAAACTTAATTATATATATATATATATATATATATATATATATATAAACCTACGTACACACTCGCATGTTTATATCTAAAATTTGGTATAATCTTTAATATATCACGTAATTATGAGGTCGTTTTTCATAATTATAATTATAACGTAATAATAATGATTTATTGCACTGTTTAATCAAGTGATTAATTTATATTTTATTACGACAAAATTCAGCTTGTACTGTTAAATTATCTATTATAAACCAAATATTAAAAATTGAAAATTTATGGAGGTAATCCTTTAATGCGCTATTTGACAAAACGGTTTTGGCAAATTAAAGTAAGCTTGCTTTGCGAAATCGTGTCGCGTCCGCTTAAAAGAAATCCATGCATTATAAAAGATCGATACATGTCAATTTTGCCTAAATTAAACTATCGTGACGATAAATTTATAGGAAATAGGCATTTAATCGGAAGTGTTCGTTCAAATTTTCAGGACTGACGGAAGCGCTGTTCAATATAATGCATCAGGCTGAACGTCGCCGTATCTTCCCACGACCAGCGGATGAGTTCCTTACCGAAGGTTGTACCCGATTCCTTGATCTGTATTTAGAGCGTGTACGCGACGAAAGGAATATAATCTACGATCGTCTCTATGACAGCACGATGAATTTATTGCGTGCTATGTGGTACCATCACAACGAGATTCTCGTCAACTTTTTCCGCAAGAGGCAGGACTTTTGGAGTAAGCTTTTCGCGCCTCTTTTCCGCAACCTTGTGCCCCACGTTTGCGGCTACTCGCAGATCCTGGACATTATTACCCTCGAGCTGTTCAAAAGCCCTCTTCTAGAGAAAGACTTTATCACAAATCTGGAAAAGCTCTTAGACGAGAGTGAGAACCACTGGAACAAATTAACGAGTTACGTTTTCAACAGCATACCAGCACCGCTAACAGATGAACAGCAAAAACAAGAGAATGAGAAAGAGGAGGAGGAGGAGGAGGAGGAGGAGGTGAGCCATATATCCTCGATTTTCTCCGTGATTTATGATAAAAAAAAACTAGTGGCCGTTGTCTCTCTCTCTCTCTCTCTCTCTCTCTCTCTCTCATAGCGTTTACAATTAAAATTTGCAAGAAGCTCTAGGCTCTATGGTTATAGTAAGTAGGCCGTTTATTGCATAGGCATTATCTCACGAAGAGCATGGCAAACGTTTTAAAGTATTTTCAAAGACAATTGATATTCAATAGCAGGTATTAACGACGAAATGAACACTGCCTCGTTGGATTATATAAGCGGGCGGGAATAAATATATCAAATATCTTAAATTGTAAATGATAGATTAAAAAAAGCATTGGACACGCGTTAGGTAATACCGGAAAAAGAAACGAAGCTGCAGCCGCTATTACACGAGGAGAACCTCGAGTCCTGGTACCAATTGCTGATGGTGCTAACCGGGGAGCGGACCTCGCGCGGCTACACGATCAAGCCCGGACAGACGGTGCTGACGACGAGCCTCGCTATCCAGCAGCTGCTGGTGCGATTGCCGGTGGTATTTCCTACCTCGATGACCGCGCGATTCCATGCCGCCAAGTTGTTGATGCTCCTGTCATTGATATCGCTGCGCTGCGTGAACTCCTGGGGCAAACAGTGCATTGGCGAACCAGAGAACGCGGAGCGACTGCAAAAGTGGCTGCTATGCGCGCTCCAGGAGATGAGGCCGTTGTACCGGGCATACACGAAGTCACTGCGCGAGACTCTTTTGACCCTCGTTCTAAGCTGGGTAGATCTCGTGGATGAGCAATTGGCCGAGGACCAAGTCGTCCTCGAATATATGCTCGGGCATGCCTGGAGCATTGCCACCTGCGATATAGAAGACATATACAACGCTGCGTATCAAATGGAGCGCAACCAGAAGTTGGACGATATTAAGGAGCAACAACGAAGGGAAGCCGAGGAGGCCTTCCGGGTGAGACAATGCATACCCGCAACCCTATCCATCAGCCTCGTCACGAGGCTACTCAGGTTTAAAGCTCAGCAGGTTACCGAGCACTATAAGCGATCCCTGGAACCCTATTTGCCGCTGAAACGGTTCATACCTACTATCCTCAAGTGCATCGTTAAAACCATTCGGATGCATCGCTGCCCTCACTCTACTCAACATCCTCGTCAAGTCCTTCTCTTTGTCTCCAACCTTGTTTGAAACGTCCGTCTCGAAATTGTGGCTGGCCCTGATACCCCCCAAGGACATCAATAATAGTTTGCTGAATTCATTGTATGAGGTAAGCTCTTTTTATTTTCGACGAACAAGCATCGCTACCTTAATTAACCAAATGGGTTTGATTTTATTTTTTCCCCCAATTTTTACATAATTTTTCTTATGTTCATTAGCTTCAATCTATCATCAATCATCGTAAGATTGACACACTTAACATCGAATAAATAGTCGTTCTGCAAAATTAATGAAATTCATATTATTGAAATATCTTGGGAAACTATTTTTCAAAATTATTTATTAATGATTAATAAGGCCAACGCAATATGATATGATTAATTATTATATTTATTAGACATCTTAATAAACACATATATAAAATTTGATGCAAAAGTTAATAATATCTATGTAGTAGGTAATACAACATTTAGATTTATTTTTGTACAATTTATTGTAAACTCTTAAATCTTTTTTTTCTCTTTTTGATAATCTTGTTTAATACATCACATTTCAAAAGTAATCTTTTTTTTTAATATTATATGATAAAGTTAACAGCTACTACTACTAGAATTTCAAAATATTTTCTAAATTCTACTAAATTTCTCACAAATTTTAATCAAACTCCTATAAAAAAATTTATTACTAGTTTACTCTATCTATATTAGATTACAAATGTATTTATCAGCTTATAAATTGCATTTGAGAGTTAAAATATAATTTCATTATAAATATCCTTGAACGTCGATAAATTTGATATAAATGAATGTTATCTGTATTTTGCTTATGGATTTATATGCCTGTTTTATTTCACAAATAGATAATAAAAAAAAAAAAAAAAAAAAAAAAAAAAAAAAAAAAAAAAAAAAAAAAAAACCATATTTTTTAAAAAGCCTAATTATTAACAAAAAATGTTATTTATTTAGTTCGCAAATTTCGTCTCGATTTTGCAAAAATTTTTAAGTGGAAATTAAACACTAACATAATATATTCGTGTTATTTTATATTATTATTAGAAAGAAAAAAAGCATATAAAAATAACTTTATTTTCAATATCACAATGTATATGGGCATCTAATTTATATAAATACCATTGATATATTAATTATATACAAATTGACGATAATTACAGAATCGCCAGATTTAAATACAATTTCATACAATAATAACAATTCGATCTTATCAATAAGATTACTAATTAAAATTTTAAAAATCGTAAAATCTTAAAAATCTTAAAAATCTTAATATAGTTTATTAAGATCTTTATATTTAATAACATTTAGAATTCTCGTAATTTATTTATTTAATAATTAAGAAATCGATTAAAGTACAAAATATTCTAATTATTGTAAAGTTATTTGCAAAAAGCGAAGAATAAGTATATTATAATTATAAGCATGACAGTTTTAATTAGATTCAAATTCTATAATGAAAGTCGTAACTTCCAAATCTCCTTTAATATAGTATATTTAAACACCTGTAATTTGTATAATTTGTGTTGTTGTTAATAATTTTGAATGTATGAAAATATTAAATCGACTAATGATGAATAAGAATTTACATGACTTTCTATTAATAATTCGAATCGCGTAATCAAGAATTAGATTATTTTTCATTAATTGAAAAATGATATTTTCTTTACAATTTAAATATAATTACTGGTTTTAAACATACTATTGTGCATACTTTTGTCTGAATATTTTATGTTATAACATAGAATTTTTATGAACAATGATTAGTTCGTGACTGTTTGATTGAAATTTACTAACTTAATGTTTGCAATTGTAAAAGTACCTTTAACGCAACATTTTGTTTTTTCAATATTTTCTCTGCATTCAAGTTAGAGAAGAAAATTTTTTTTTAATCCAACACTTAATATATATTAGTAGAATTTACTTTGTTTAAATTTTTAACTTTAAACTTTTAACTTTAAACATCCTTTTTCTTATTAAGTATAGTTTAAAATTTTTTTTTTAATTTAAAATATATCTACTTATACATCGGTCTTAATGTAACGTCTATCACATCTGCTTCTAAAATGTATATAAATTACTTATATACCAATTAATTCTATACCAATGGATAGTTATAAATTTGCACAAACTAAAGTTTATTTGATGTGGCTTTAAATTGACGTTTGGAAATTTTGCTTAGATCGCTGTAAAGGAAATAACTTTTATGTTGATGCATTATAAACGATCGTCAAGCAAAGTGATATATGAAAAATGATAAAAATTAATGCTTTATTTATACTGAATAATAGCTTTACAATTTACAAATAATCTTATGAAAGTGCTTTGAGAACGATTGATAAAAAATCTACTTAACGCAGATAAACGAATAATGATAATACTCTTATATAAAATCTATCTTGAAGTTTTTCAACTGTTTTGATAAATTTTTTTTTAAATAGTTCTTAAGATTTTCGAAATATTTTTGAAGCACTAATTATTGATTATATAGATTTTTTAAATATGGACGAAATTAAAGCAAGTATGATGATAATTTGTAACATAGAAAATATCACTGTACATACAAATAGTACAAGCTCGCAATTTGAACATTTATTAAATGATTATATGTATATATTAATACAAAGGAAGGCAAGTATTCCTGCATATGTCAATATTGTACAATCGATTGTATTAAAAGACTTTATTAAAATGGTATTTGATTGGAGAATATCTGTTTATTCTATAATGATCGAAATACAGTGTATATTTTTGTAGTTTTAATACTCAAACAGTCTCAGCACATTTTTTATATCAAATATTTTAAAACTGTTGTCAAAATAAAAAAATGTAAATGTACGTTGAAAGAGTAACGATTAAAAATAAAAAAAAAATTTTCAAACTGAATTTGCATTATGTATATTTGTATATTACTCGATGGGTAGATATGTTACGTATTGTGAAATATCGAGGAGTAATTGTGAGATTTTGATATTTAAAATAGTTTTAATCTGATACGACAACACATATCAAGATACACACAGTAAATATGTTATTTTTGTTATTCAATTAAACATTTAATTTTTTATTAGTCCACAGTTGAAAAACAATTAAAATTTTTCAACCGTTTTCAACAAAAAAATTAAGGCTTATTTTATATCTTACATGTTTTAAAATCGACAACAGGTCTATTTTTCTATAAGTAAGTACTGTTTTACAAATAGTTATAATAATCAATAATTTTAACTTTATTCCAATTAGAATATTCTCAATTTCTTCAGTTATTAAATTCTTAATCTCTAAAATATTAACAAAGACTTTATTCGACTTTTTGCAAGATATCACATAAAGCTTAGGATAAAAATCACGTAGTACGGTACTTTATATAATTAATATTAATCTAAACGTATAAAGTAAGTTTTAAATCAATTATTAAATATGTTTTGTAGTAAAATAAAAATAAAAGCAAAAATTTCAATATGTGATAAAGTGAATTTTCAATAGTATCAACAAATATTCTAAACTTTATATAAAATAAAGTGTAAAATGACAAAAAAAAAAAAAAAAAAAACAAATACAAAAAACAAGTTATTTCCTTGTAGATATAGAGATTATTATAAAATCGATTAGTTTAAAAGATCCGAAATATAGAATACATATTAATTAAAAGAATGATTTGTTCGTTAAAAATATGCAATGCCAACATGCGAACAGAATCCATGGATAAATTTCGCAAATTTAAAACTATCGCGCTATTGAAAAGCAAATACGTTGAAATGTAAATAATTTAAGCCTTCCCCTCCCCCTCCCCCTTCCCCCCATAACCCCCTTAAGAGCCTAAAGTTTACACATCTTACGACTAAACTGTATAATACACGATGCAACATATTTACTAGTAAAGATTAATGTGCAATTCATAATTAGCAATGGTTACGCGAGTTAACAATTCCTTTTGATGTTGGAGCGATGGGAAGCTCAAACGCGCACTTGACGACACTTTGTTACTATCATGCCCGCGCGTGCCTCACCAGATTACAATTAAATGGCTAAAGAAGTCTCGTTGATAACGTAGAAAGTATAGGTGCTTCGGGAAACATGTGCAGCGGAAATGTGACCTCTGTGCATTTATATCTGTATGCTCGCACGCGCGTACGAACATTAATAGTAATTCGCTGTCAGGACTGTTCGAGTAGCAGCAGCCGCTGGCGATGTCAGGAGTGGTGGCCCCTCTACACCAGTGGCCTCGAATTCGCCACGAACCTCATGAGTCACAACAACATCAGCTGCTCCACGTCTATCAACGAGTACCTCGGCTCACACGAGAACCTGCTGATGGAGGGCTCGACTCTCCTCAGACACACGGCCGACCCTGTCGCTGCAGATCTCATCCAGTCCCTGGTCAATTTCATCTCAGCTTTATTCGCCAAACACAATTTCTGGAAATTCATCCATCATCCTTTCAAAGATACGTTAATTGTGAGTTTCTTACATTCGTCATTATTATATACTTTGGCGATTTGACCGTATGTGGGTATCCGTATTAAGCAATTGATCGACCAGTAGTTGCTCTTATTTTCTTTACAAGATACCGTTAAAAAATTTATCTTAAATCTCATATATTTAATGCCTCGATAGATGCATCATTATGTACAAATACAGTATGAAATAATTTATTTTAATGGATAATAAGTTTCGACTTTAGAACAATAGAATATCTTACGTATTTTATTAATACTTTTCATATTGTAATAAAAATCATATTCTCACCTCATAGACTTTGAAATTCTTTCGATTCGAATTTTTTTAATATCAATTTTAGCATAATTTCATTCGAATTTTTCGTTTAATTTAAGAATTATCTATATTGACCCTGTCAACTTCCTGTTACTCATTTATTTATCGATAAAGAAAATAGGTAATAGAAAATGAATTCTGTCTCGATTAACTTCGATCACTATTTCAGCTGTCCAATAAAAGTTTGAGTTTTCGCAGCAACTATTTTCCACGTAGATTTTGCATAAACGTGCCAGGATATTGGGAGATAATATTAATTTTCTGACCTTAATCGCCGCACTTTAGCGCATTATTATTCTGCTAATTGTATATCAATGAATAGCTATAAAACGAATGAGTTTATCATAAAATTCAGAAGTAAAGCGAATAGATTATTTGAAAACTTTATCCCTTGTGAATTGTAAACAAATAAAATTTTTATTTGTATTTGTAAATAAGTTTTCGTTATCTTTATCGTTATCGTTAATATTTATAAGAAAACATACAAAACTCCCTTGTAATTAAAAGCCCTAAGTTCGAAAATTCTTGACATTATTTAAGCGAAATATAATTAAATCCACACGGACGTTGCCTTATATATAATTCTTTGCAAACGGCAACTTTATTATTTGGCTAAAAATTCGAAAAACTCGATGCTTATAAAATATAGTCCTCCTTATCTCCCGAATGTATGACTTTCACATCAAAGTAAAGGCACAAAGGCCAAAATGAAGTAAAATACAACTTCCAAGTAACACATTAAAATCTCTGTATTCCAGAAATGCTTGTATATGTCGTACGACAGTACGGTGAATTTACTGTTACGGCCGCGCATCCTCAAATTTATCATCGACGGGATAAGCGTGGAAAGTGCGGAGGAGCTTCAGAGCTGCGACGAGCGCCAGCTGAGTGGCGAGTTGCGCCTCCTCGTCAACAAACTAATACTCATCAACACGAGCTGCGCCCAGAACTTCGTTCGATTCTCGCCTCGATTGAATCGTCTCTTCGACACTATTAACATCGAGAAAGACTTTTGGTAAGCTTTCTACGTGATGCTTATACCTATTTATTCATTATTAACGCGGAGGAAAGCAGCAGCACGCGACGAAGATCGTGGATAAACTTAATCGGTCGATTGATGCATCGACTGGAGGATTTAGTTATTTCGTAATGCGCCAGCTAGTGCTTAGCAATAAAAGATCATTTATACGGCTAATTCGAACTCTTATAATTAAGTAATTTACTGTCTTTTAATTACACGACTGATAAACATTACAATGATTTGTTAAAAATTCTTTTTGAATAATGACGAATCACAAGATGCGCCTCACTTATATGATTGTTCAATGATCGATAAATAATAAATGCTTAACTTATATTAGCTGGACAAATTGCTTATACACCTTATTTGAAAACCAAATTATAAATTCGAAATAATGGAAAATAATTATTTTTTACGTTGCCTTTTATTACGAGAATATTGTGTGGAACAGTGTCTAGCGTATCTGCCTCCATGCTTTCAGTAAAAAAAAAAAAAAAAAATCGATCAAGGCCCATCGAATAAGTTTAGACTGATAAGTTAAAAAAAGATAGTTTTAAATTTGGCTATAGATGGACTTACGCTTATACCAAAAAATATAAAAAATGTACCACCGACATAAGGTTTTCAAATTGCTGTCATATTTTACTCTGATATACATAAATTATTTTTATATGCCAAATCTCGAAGACTGTTATATCAGAACTAGAAGAGAAACGATGATAATACCTCCACTTCGATCAGGTATTATAATATTAAACGCATATTTTCATGCTTAATTATTATTAGGCAAAAAATTTATCGAAAATTGCATGCGGTTAAATTATCATACCTGTCATTAGGATTATATGTCTTAAATGGAATCATATTCCGTAACAGAGAGAGAGGGGGGGGGGAGTGAGAGTGAGAGTGAGTGAGTGAGACAATCTTAATTTATACAAGACCACGATAAATAATAATTAAATTAATTAAAGGGACGCCCCGATGGCAGAGATGAACTTTGGGCCACCGCAGATGTCGATAACGTCTGAGCCACGTTTGACCTACGGGACGATCATCAGTTCCACTCAGCTTTTCACTCAGGCCCAGTGGCACTCGCTCATCTCGTCGAGCAGTTCCGGTAGCTCGAGCCTCCAGCTGAGGCCGAAGCCCAGCCAGAGTCCGGGTTCCACGACTGCAACGACTTGCAAAGACGAACAAAGCATTGATTCGGCGCGCCGCGAGTGGGAGCGCGCCACCCCGGAAAACCTGCGCTGTGTCCAGGCCAAAGACCTGCCCAAGATCCTGAGCTCGAGTTCCACGAATCTTGGGCCTTCCGTCCTCGCGAGCACTTCCTCCTCGGCGCGCCTCGACTTTTCGGCCTACCTCACGGGCCACGAACTGACAGTACCGCTGCTCAGCAGTCCGCGACTCATAAAGCGGCCCTTCGATCCCCTCATCTGCGAGAATATGATATTGTCGCGGGCGACGGCCCTGGTGCCGCTGCCGTCGAGGTCCACCAGCCGAGGCAACAGCCCCGGCGCCCAGTCAAGAACCGCCGACGGCAAGTCACGTAGCCCCTCACGGGACGGGACGGGAAACGGGACCGCCGGCAGCGACCCCTGGTTCGACTCCATGGACGAGAATAACACGCGGCTCGCTCTCGAGCTCAACCTAATGCTCACACTGTGCCAGGTCCTGGAAGGCGTATGCAGCCCGAGGCTGGCCGCCCGGGACCGGCAGCTCATTGTCCGGGAAACCGCCACGGAGCTCGGCATCTTCTTTGATTTCCTCGAGCACAGGGCACAACAGTCGGAGTGGCAAGTGGCCGCGAGTCTCGTCAACTCTGAGATGAAGAAGACAAGGCTCGTCGTTGCTCCCGAGCAACTACTCGATAGGCTTAACACGTCGAGCGTGTTTAAACAGCCCGACGGCCCGGGCCGCACTCTCTCGGCACTGGAGACGCTGGAGGAGGAGTCCATGGAAGGGCCGGAAAGTGTTTCGACGAACGAGATCGTGACCAGCGGTAGATTCAAGGTACACGTCGACACTAGCAACTTCCTCCAGATGCTCGGGAAGCTGCTCAAGTCCGTGATCGAATCTTTAGACTCGGCGCAGTTCGGATAAATTTCTCGACCCCTTTCCTCGATATGATCTATCTCTTGAATGCCAAGATGATTAATTGAATGTTAGATATACACAAGGATACACCGACTAATTTGTAGTGTGGAAGTGTTAGCTGTTACAAATTACTATATTTTTTACAATAAAAATATCGATGAAATTCCATCCCAAGTACAAAAGTGTTATATCTTGAACGGCTGTATTTGTCATTGTGAGCACATTGATAGAATACATTTTAAAAAATTCTTTGAAATTAAAAGATTTTTACTGAAAAAAAAAAAGATAAAAAAAGATTCACATTTCGAATTACACTATAATATAAGTACAGATTAATTATTTATATGCATTGGTTGGTTTAAGACTTTCCGAAAACGCTTTTGTACTTTTGCGGATTAATTCTGTTATTTAACATTTTGATGTATTTTTTTTATAATTCAATGATTACTTATGACAATTAATTGCGGTGAATCTATTGTTATTTGCCCAAAACGTTGTAAGAATTGTATAAAATGATAAATAAATTCAAATGTGATTATGTGTATTGTATCTAGTGAATTTTAAGTATAAAGCGAATCAGCATGATATTACATATTTATGGATTGTAAAACAAAATATGATGAAGTACGACATTTCGTTAATTCGAAATTTATGCGATAGCGCATTTATTGCCGACGATCAATACAAATTAGAAAATAAACATTTTTTAATAAAGCGTTTTGTCACTTTGATACTTTTTGTTGACTTATTTTCCTAAAAGTGTTAAATTAAAAGGATGGTTGATAAAAAAAATACTATAAAAATACTATGATTCTGTACGCTTTCATTTACTTTGATGATTCTTACATCACAGTGTCTGTCGAAAAAGAGGAATCGATGAAAGTGCTGACGCATACGGCCAGTTTCAATACAATTGAACTCTCTTATAGGAAACTACAGTTAAAAAAAAAAAAAAAAAAAAAAAAAAACACGTTGCTGCGAATTCCCTTAAAGATTATTAACATAATCGACCTGAAGATTATCTTCGTTATAACAAAGACGTATATTTCGAAAAAAATTTTATATCGCGATTATCATTACAACGCGCCTGTACAAGAGAATATTGTATCTATGGGTAGCAAGTCTGTGTAATTCTGCACGTATAACTGAAAGTAGACACACGCATGAGCGCGTACGTGTAGCGTGAATATTGCCCTCGTTTTATGTGTCTAATTACATTGTAAGGAAATCTTGCAGTTATATTTTTTTATGCTTTTCTAATTTAACTCGACTCGCTAAACGTGCCATATAATATACTTATATTTATATATCTCTATATAGTCAGTCAAGTTTCGACTGTAATTTCCCTTATAGAATTTTACACAAAATATGTCGGCTCAAACGTTATTTCGCTTCGCAATCACTTCAATTAATGACAGACACAATGAAATCTTACAGTGATACAGTAGAAAAATATAATTCCAGGTTGCTTTAACGAATGCAATGGTTACGATTTTCTTATTCTTTTTTAATTTCTCTTACGTGTATTCGTATGCATGCGCATGTGTACATTATATAAATGCTTAAACGTAATGAGAGAATTTTCTACCGAAGTAATAAAAATTATTGTTCAAAAATTTTCACAATCTAATAAAAGATATAACAATGATTAGACTAATAATTTGTAAATTATTGAACGCATAAACGGGAATAACAATTAGACGCTTAGTGCTGCAATATTAAACTACAGTGAAACTGATTTAATACTGTTGTGACATTGTCAACTCGAACCAAGTTCTTAATATCGATAATGGATTTCGAAATACTCCTCGTTACTACTTGTGAATAGGAGATTTTATGAGATTAATAATATTCTTTTAAATGTGTTATTCAAAATTTTCAAACTATTTAGCATTCTTGAACAATCCTTTAAAAACCAAGCTCATTTCTCTATAATCCACATCTTGTTACTTGTGTTAGTCAGATGTAATATAAAAAACAAAGGAACCCCTTAATCCAATATCTCCAAGAATGAATTACCTTTCTAGCGCGATTGCAATTATCTTAGGAAATTCAGGTCGACTATCGACCTTGATCCGATTACTTTGTCATAAACTCGTAAACGAGTGTTAATTCGTTCGCTATCTGCCTAATTACTATGGAATTGTTCTTCAACAATAGAAATTCATTAGACGACACTTTATACAATTATAAAAGGCTTGCATCCCACTTTCACACATTATTCGTATTAATGCAAAAAACAAAATAATACCCAACATCTTATTGGCATTGAGTACAAGAGCCTTTCAATATCCAGTATTTACCCCAACTTACAGAATCGAATCGTCAATTCTGTAATATTTACGTACCCACATAATGCTTCTTTCGATGTTAATTTATACATTCACGATTTTCCAAACAATAAAAATCTATTTCGCATAATTCGAGGGCAAAGGAAGTGAAGAGTATTGACAAAGATGAAAAATGTTTAAAGGGCCTACAAAAATTCGAAGAAGTTGGTTCGAAACTGATTGCAGTTCATTGAAAAATCGGAACATTTGTCCGAAATTAAATTCAATTATTTAATAATTAATTTTCAATAATAGCTTGTCAATTAAAAAAAAAATCATAAAATTTATACACAGAAAGTAATTATAATTTATAATTGTAACAGGTTTACAATATATAACAATAACACGATTACAGCTATTTCAGCTACAATTTCTATGATCATTAATTTATATATCCTACATTCAATTAACTTTATTTTTAAAAAATATATTAAAACCAATATAATGTTTAATAGCGATAAATTTTAAATCTAATAATGAATTACAAAATATATATTTCGACATTAAAGCGTGCATTTATTAATAAAGATAACCGTTGGTAATGTATGTTCTAAATAAATTCTCTATAAACAAAATTATTAAAAATATTTATATGTACTGGTATTAATGTATATATGTATACAGTGTGGCAAAAAAAAAAATAAAAATACTAATTAGATAAAAAAAACAGATTATAAACCTTTAAATTATAAAATGATCTTTCTCATTGATAATAATATATTAAAAAATAAAAAATTTGTATTCACTTTGTAAAATACTCGTTCAACTCTTCTTTTCAAGCTGATTATATTTTAGTTTCATTTTGAAGTGATTGCAGTTTTTACTTTTATTTAGGCATAACATCAAGTTAATCCATTAATAAGTAAATTTAAAATGTTTGGAAATTAACACGAAACTAAATGTTAATACGTTTAAAGGTATTATAACACTGATGTAACGAATAAAAAAGTGACATTCACATCCACTGAATTATCGATTGAGCGCGCGAGCAATTCAATGACGATAGCCCAGTTTTCCAAGAAAGTAGAAATATTCTTCACTCACGAGCATAAAGTAAATAGAAAGAATATTATTTCGTTCCCTTGATTGGCACGAACCACATTCGTATCGGTGATCCAACGCGAGTCGTCAGCAACTGCCGTGTAAAACAGTATCAAATCAGTTTATATAAAATATAATAATAATAATAATAATAATAATAATAATAATAATAATCTAAATGAAGCCATTAACAACGTCGTTGTAGCGCCAAAGCGTGTGTGCTCATCAGTAGAAAATTCTCCAGTGCGTCGAAGCGCATATATATTTATATATTTTCTCAATAATCAACTGACGATAGGGACGAGGGCGTGTACTATATTAGAGGAAAGGAAGAAAAATGAGGGTACGATAGACGTAGGAAAGATATCGTGTACTAAATAGACGAGAAGACATCGAGAAACGCGGGATTAAGAATAAAGAGGGTAGATGAGATAGAGAGATAGAGTGAGAGAGATACCGGGGAGGGATGGGCCGCGTTCAACGCGCCTCTCCCCATCGCGGATCAGCGAAGAAGGCGGGGCGCTAAGGCGGCAAGTGGGGAAGAATGTTCTCGGGCGATCGAGCCCCGGCCGCTACCGATGCCTCTTCCTCATTATTATTGTTAAGGAGGCCTGGGGAGTTGTTCCGAAGCGGTTGCGGCTGCTGATGATTTATCGCGGCTGCGACCGCCGCTTGCTGGGGCAGGTGATGGTGAAGGTGTTGATGATGATGTTGGTGGTGATTGCGCTGCTGCTGTTGCTGCTGCTGCTGCTGCTGCTGCTGCTGCTGCTGCTGATGTTGGTGCTGGTGCTGGTGCTGTTGTGCCACTACCGCTGCCGCCGCCACCGCTGCTACCGCTGCAGTCGCAGATGACGATGAGGATGATGGCAATGAAGGGGTGACTGTAACAGCGTTGCTGCTAGCGATCGCGCTTGCGCCCGTTTCGAGGCCAAGGCCAATCTCGAGCGGAGAGGATGCATTGTGGGGGTGTTCTACGGCTAGGGAGTCCATGGTTCCGCTGTTTACCGAAGTGGACGTTGGAGCCTCGGCTGTTGTCGTAACCGGCAACGTGGAGGCGCTCGTCGCGTTCACCCCAGCCCCGTCCCAGTTATCGAGGGTCGATTTGGGCTGCTGCTGCTGCTGCACCTGAGTCTGGACTTGTGGCTGCTGATCCTCGTTGCTCGCAGAGTTCGCGCTGGTCCTCTGCCGTTTCGCGTCACCGTACAGTAGACAATGAACGTTGGGCGAACTGCTGCGGTCACGTACACCTTCTTGCTCCTCCAGAAATCGGTCCATATAATCGCTAGAAACCAAAGTAATTTAAGATTAATTGACGATAGCACTCGCGATAATGACCAATGCAGGTCTTCTAATTAATTATGATAAAATTCTCCAAAATTTTAGTTATTTTAAGATAAAATTAATAGTCGATAGAACGCACGTCGTCAAGGCAGCATTAGATGAGAGGTGTTTTAATTCATTTATGGCTTAACTATTTCATCGATCCATTCGTCAATCAATTCATATGGCGAATTACATATTAATGTATAAGGCATATTCGTCAATTATTTTTGATGATCATTAAGTAATTATTGAAAAGAACATTTTCCATTTGTAAACGTTCTGCCGTGTGGTGTCACAGTTGATTTTTTTTTTTTTTTTTTTTTTTTTTTTTTTAAAAATTTTTTCGAAGACCATGGTAAGTAGAAACTTATAAAATTAATATCAACATTTTTATTATAATAATTAGATATATAGAATATATCTTTAAATCTAAAAAAAAAAATGTTCAAATGCATCGGTGCAAATATTTGCCATAAATCTTTTATTGGTTTACATTAAAAATTACTTAAAAAAATAAAAGATTGTTTATCGGGAAAATTCATTACACTCTTATAATAATTTCATTAACTGACGATTCAATATCTTTTTAATTAAATATAAAGATGACTTTTTAACTTACGTTATGCCAGGATGAAGTGCATACTTCTTCTTTTCCAGGCGAGCCTTGTAAGTGAATATATCATGCCTTTCAGTCTTCTTCCACAAGTAATAAAACTGCACGAGTTCACCAACAGACCTCGTTCTCACCTTTTCAATTGAGAATGAACACAAATATTATTCTTCCAATCGCCATTCAATAATTATCAACAATAAAAAAATAATTAAAACAAAAATAAGCAAATATATAAAATCGCTTAAAACGAATGCGACGATTAGTGTCTGAGCTTTAAAAAAGAAAAAGTGGAGGATAATTAACAGAAATGGATTTACTACAAGGCTCGTGTAAAAAATATTTATTCAATCGGATAAATGATACAGGTTTCGTGTCTGGTATTACAAAGCAGAAAGCTCGTCGTCCGAGATCACCTTATTTTTTTGAATGAGGTGAAAGTCCTTGCCATAGTTCCTCAGGCCGGTCTCGAAGTTATGGCACTCCTCCTCGGACCAGAGGCTGACCGACTCGGTGGCCGGCAGGGCGTTCATCCTACGCCTCCTAAGCGCCTCCTCGAGGTTGTAACCGCACTGCAACAGGAGGTAGAGCGCCTGCTCGTCGTCCCTTACGTGAATGCCGCTCGGCAACGATGTGCCCTTCACCACCGGCAGCTGCGCCCTATCGAGAAACTCCTCGACCTCGTCCTCATTCATGTGGCAAGGATCCCACAGCATCTTGTCTTCGTTTTCGTACGGCAACGCATCGTCGTACTTGCAGAGACCCTCGGGTATCGCCGCCTGGTAGTCGCTCCCAACCATAATCGTCTTTTTCCACTCTTCCTCGTCTGGACTGTAGTCGCAATCGTCCTCTTCCTCCTCGCTCTGGGGCCGTGAAACACTGCGCAGCAGCCGGGAGGAACCGCCACCACCGCCACCGCCACCGCCGCCACCCCCGACGACAACACCGCCGATAACACCAGGGTTGTCATCGACAGTCGCGCCCGGGGTATCGTTGGCGCTGTCCACGACGGAGGCAACGTCCGCAGCCACGATCTGGCCATCGGCGACGGTCGACCCGGACACATCCGCACCGTCCTCAATCTTCGAGTCCACGCTTGCTGCGGCGGTGCTAGAAATTTTAGAACATATATTGTTTAATATGCACGTAATAGGCAGTCGGACAGTTTAGTTGTTTATTTTTTATTTTTAATCTGTTTCCAGCAAATTAAAAATCTTATCGACATAATTGTTTATGTGCATATGAAAAGTTAAATTTTTTTTTATCGAAGCTTATGTGATGATTATACTTGATATAAATATACAGTAAGTATGGCAAACTAACCTCCGAAATATTTTAATTAAAAAATAAATATTCTTGGCCAGACGAACCATTGGATAATGTAAACATTTGTTGAAAATTATTTTTACAAAAAAACTAAGTATTGCCATGCGTAATCATTACAAATTAATTAAAATAATAAAAGCTTCTATGAATAAACATTTTTTATTTTATTATTAACACGAAATACTAATACGACATGCCAAATATATATTAAATTTATATCGAAACTTACTAAATTTAAGAAATTCACGTAAATTCTGATCAAAAGTTTTTAGATTACAATTTTTAAATATTTAATTAAATGCTTGAATATACCGAATACTATAATATACTCGCTTTTCACGCTTAAAATAAGCATTTTTATATACTTTTACACACAGTGTAGCTGTAGACTTATTATTTGAATATTAAACAGAAATCGGATACTAAAATACATATTTAATATTCGCAACCTACTTTCTTCTACCTCCTCCTTTGCATATTTAGAATATGAAAAATATATTTTCATATTCTCATCAATATACGGCGTACATACGTGTATGTTTACACGAAACTTGCACACGCGCGCATCTTTTACAATTAAATTCATTTTAATATTTAAATATCACCGAAAATATATTATGCAAATAAAATACATTTGCGTATTTTTTGTATCGATCTATTAATAACAATGTATCTAAAATGATCATATTACGCAAAATTTTATCATTCGTTTTGTGTTCTTTTTTTTTCAAGTATGCTTATGAAATAACATAGACGCATTAAGATTTTTAATAATGAACTGACAAATCAGTACAATTTATTAAAAAATGAATCAATGAAATTAAAACGTATATTATTACAAAACAATCGTTAGAGATTCGACAGCTTTTATCAAATTTTTGTCATATTTTTCATAATAAATTGATGAAAATTAAATTTGTTAAGCCACTGTATCTATAATATACTTTATATAATTATATATAATTATAATTAAAGAATGTCTGTCGTTATACATTTATATTAATTTCTTAACTTAATTTCGGAACATCATTATTCATTGAACATTAATAAAATTCTTATTAATAGATGGTTTTGATTAAAATATCGTTTTAGCAAAACTTTAACTATTGCAAATTAATAACAACATAATATAATACAAAAAACGCATTAGTACATAAAATAACTTCAATATTTCTATGAGATTTTTATTGTTATATCTGTTACAATTTAAATCTTATGTAAGCAGATTATATATTGTTTATTTTTCCATTTTTTTCATTAATCTTTTTTTCTAAATTTAATATCTTTAATATTAATGATACATTTTATTGATGTACAAGATAAATTTTTTATAATTATTAATAAAAATGAACATTCTTTTAAACTAATTATATATATATATATATATATATATATATATATATATATAGTCCCTTTTTGAGTTAAAAAAATATTTTTTATCTAATCTGTGATTGATATTAAAATGATGACTAGTATAAGTAAATCCTTTTCAATCCATTTATTTATTCCTTTGCTCGGAAAAATTATTTTCATCAAAGTGTTTATCAAGTGACAGTATTTATGATTTACAAATTTAAGCTTATATTTGAACTGACATAAATAGTTTAATAATATACTAATAAGCTTTAAGAAAAAGAGTTTCAGGTAGGAGTCTTATTTGCACTGTTAGCTAATTAGAAATAAACAAATATTATAAATTTCATAAAATTCAAGTTTAATTCATACTTATAACATTGTAGCGTACTGGCAAATGGTAATAGTCATAATTATAAGCCAGTTCAAATAAAAAAATACAAAGTTAATATAGATAAATATAAAAGCATTAAATATCAAGTCTAATAATCAAAATAAGTTGTAATATCTTTCTTTGATAATTAAATTTTTAATGAAAATATAAATTATACAATACATAAATTACAATTGAAAATTATCTCTATCGCGACCACTCTATATTCTAAATAAATATTTTTAAATTATGTTCCGTTAAATAACTTTTAAATCGATATTGAAATTTGATTAAACGAAGAACATGTAATTTAAATTACTATTTATATTACTTTGGAGAGGTTAAATTATGGTTACATTGATATAAAAAAAACAAACAACAAAAAATAACAAAAAGATTTTAGACTAAATTAAATTATTTTAAATATTATAAGATAATTTTACAACTATGTATTTATATAATAAAAAATAATTCCTTTTTGTCATTAGCTGAGCTATCTATAGTCTTTATGTATAAATACAGTAAGAATTTATTGAAGGTTTGTATAGAATATCTATTATAAATTATGATTTGTATAGTTCGTTAGATTTTAATTTAAATTACTAAATAATAAATTATTATGCAATTTAAAAGCATTAAGCCAATATTTATTTATCTATATAAAATTCAAAAAATTTCATACTGTGCATTGATGCTGAGTGTGAGAGTAGCAGATTCACTGCTTCTAGTAGGATCGCCAGCTTTCATAGATGACAATCTCTTAACATTTGCACAATTTTCCTCTCCTTTCACCATTTCAGTATAGAACTGTTTGAGATCAGGTTCATAACTAGCTGGATCGTCGTCATCCTCGTCTTCATCATCTTCTTCCTCCTCGTCTTCTTCCTCTTCATCTTCATCCTCATCCTCAGCCTTGTTTGGATCCTGACAAGACATGTCACCGTAGCCATACATTACAAGGAGATCTTTCAATGGCATATCACTTTCCTGAAAGAAAATGGAGCTTTTGAAAGAATTTTCTTTATTTTTTTGGAACAATAGATGTCTTCAAAATGTAATCGATTATTATTTACTGGATGTTTGAAGATATTTCTATGAGATCATGTAGCTTGAAGTTGAAAATTGAAGAACTTGAATTATTTAGCTAGAAAGAAATCCAACTACAAGTTTGAAGGACAATAAGCAGGTGTAGGTAAAATAAACATTTTATATTCTCTTATGGATATCAGTTAAATTTCAAGTATTATTTGAAGATAATAAATCGTAGTTAAAGAAAAAAAAATTTTTTTTTTTAAATAATATAATTATTTGAAACGTCATATCAAGGCTAATAAAGATAATAGATAAGGCTTTTATAGGTATAGGTTTACTAGATACTTTGACAATAAAATAATCTTGAAATTAAAATAACCTTTCTAATACTTTGTTAATTGAAAATGATTTAGTTTCTTTTTACTTTTGACAAGAAGTAATAAAATGATGACATGAAAAATTTCAACGAAGACAAGTAACCTAACTCACAAAACATATTACATTATTTTACATCAAAAACAATGTTATTAAATAACGATGTATTACCTTCTGAAGATGCGACAGTTCATTGTGAGTGTCCTCGCTACCTTCTAAGGCTTCCTCTTCGTCTAAAGTGCGTTCATCGTCATAATCATTCACCATAATACCTGTAGCTGGACCCATCTCGTAGTCCCGGTCAGCTCTACAACGTTTGGAGCGTCGAGACTCATCCCGACTCATCGTTCGCTAGCCTATGGTATTATAATAAGAAAAAAATACTTTGCATAAGGAAATATAGCCGAGGAACGTGAATCCCTCCCAAAAGTCATAAACATAATCATACCACTTTACACTCTGTCTGAAAACAGTTGGTTCAAGGAAGTTGGGTAGCTTTGGAGAAGCTACTATAGCATCACAGTACAAGTTCTGCCAAATTATGAGATAACAATAGCATCCTAACCACAAACATCAGGAGTTCACAAAGTGATTCGCGGCGACGTTGTTATCGTCGTCGTCGCGTCATCTTGCCGCGGTGTAGCGTCAACAAAGCCAACCAAAAGCCCAATGTCTAACCTCGAAGAGGCGGGTATCTCGAGGAGCCGCCAAGCGTATATCCTTACACGACAACAGCTTGTCGCAACAATGAGTGCATTACTTGTGTAACCGTCGAGACTCGGCTCGTCTCATGATTCAAGCAGCAACATCCAACGATCCGTTTTCCTAAGATATTACTCACGGCTGCTTTGCGCTTCTTTCTTCGAATATAATAAAGCTGATACTCCGTCCGATATCCGCACCAATCCGCACAATAGTTAAACAACTGGAGGCTGCGCCGCTTCTACGATGCGCGCGCGATTTCCGTGAGCTTTTTTCTTGTCCGATGACCGGTGAGGCTGACGGTTAAAATATGCTGACGATTATGTGACAAGGAACGTAAATACGTAAATATGAAAACGATTTTTAAAAGTCAGCCAACTTGTTTCCCTCCCAATGCATTATCTTTTTCTAAATAGGCTACACTTTTTAATACTACAAAAAGCACATCCATCCACGAACATTAATATTTTGTAATTAAAAGTTATTACTACTCTAATTTCTTCGATATTTTCATTAATGTCCTGTGTACATGTTTATACATTCGTGTGGGAGGGCGCGGGCGCGCGCGCGCGCATACATATTCATATGTAGATATATGCATCACAATTTATTTTTATGCACTTTTCCCATATTCCATTAAATCTAAGTGGCAACTCCAAATAAAACGTAATATATATATATATATATATATATATATATATACTGTTTGTCGACATTTTATATTTATAATTTCAGAATAATCAACGGTAATCCAGCTTTATTGGATTGACGTACATTTCGACGGCGAGACACAAATCGAAAAATAAAACTCTATTGTCGGTTTTATAAGAGCGTAGGTGTGCGTTCGCGTGTTCGTGTTCGTATACATGGGCAAATAGGCTATTGGTGTGTGTGCGTGTGATCAATAGCAAATTAATTGAAATGACATATTTACTCATTTGTCGTACATCCTCAACGAATGAGATGATTTTTTTTTATTTGTTTAATGAAAATTAATATATGAAAAGGGAAAAGTAACATTTGTCTGGGAATATACACGATACTACACATCCTTCGGTTCCTGACTACGGATACATACATTTTCGGTCGAATAGTATATATAATGTGTGATAATTTCACGCCACAAAATATTTTTATATTATACACACACACACACACACATTTATATATATATATATATATATATATATGCATATATAAAATGCGTTAGGGCAGTCGGTCGGTAGCCATCAGTCACGGTGTTAAACCGTATTTTTTGGCCTACCAGCGTATCCAGTGGCGACTTGTCTAAGCTTCTTTATTTCCCCGATGTAAATATCGTGCGCGGGTTGGGAGGAGGTGAACAGACCGGCTTTAACCCGATAGCTTAATAAAAATAGCAGCCTGGCGCCAGAAGACACAGAGATAAACCAAGTTAAGTAGCATTGGTCGTGGCGCTAGCGCTAGAACAGCTAGGACGAGTAACACGTGACGGGTGACCAGTAACTAGTGACCAATGACAGGGATCGATCGCTGACCACCAGGTACCAATGACGATCAAGGCTCGTCCAAGCCTACGTATACAGAAAGAGAAGAAACGAGGTTCCGTCGGTAATCCGTCGGTTCATCAGCCAACATCGGCCACGATTCTGCTTGGGAAAGAGGAGGGGGATTGCGTAGGAGGTGGATTTTATTCGTAGTCTAGCTGGTGTTGGTTACCTGGTAGCCGAGCTTAATGAAAAGCATTTATTTTGGTATCCGACACACCCATTCTAGTTAGTTGATTAGTCAGCTTTCTTTCTGCTCGTGCTCTGCAGGTTAACATTAAGTATATGAATTTTCCCGAGCCCTGCCATTAACGTCCCCCTTATCCCATTATAATTCTGCCCATTTTTGCAAAATAGTCGGAGCATGCTTAAAAATCCTCTTGACCCTCTTGTTGGATGACTCTGCTCTCGATTCTAATTGTCCGAGCTCTGTCCATCATTGTCTACCATTTAATTTCTGCACGATTTTCTTCTTATTTTGTCTGCTAGATGAACTGTTTTCTTCGAACGCTATTGTTTGGATTTTTCTATTACATATCGAATGGTGTTATTTTTATTCCTCCTCTCCCTGTTTAATAATTACTACATTAGCGTCACTGTTCACTCATCTTCTTTTGGTTAATTTTACCTTGGGCATTACATGCGCATGAATCAGCGTTTATAACTATTGGCATTTCCTAAGGATCGGTGTTACGTTGATAGCAATAATCGTTTATTTAAATTACTTGAAACAAATAGACTTTAAATAAATTGTTTTTATAAAAGAAAAAAAGTAATATCCTCCTTCACATTCGAAAATATTATTTGATTACTATATTTTTTGAGATTACTCATAATTATACTTTCACTTGCTTATGCCACATAAAATAATATTCTTTATCATAATTTATTTTAATATTTTTAATATTTCGTGCACGTACATTAAACCAATTTGTCCTCATTTTTAATTCTCATATCCTTACTTACTAATTTCTATTTTTCTAACAATACTCATAGGAAAATACTTGTTTCAATGCATGATTTTCCCCAGTGACATTGTACTCTTGATAAAAATTAAATATAACTTTCATTATAAACCAGTCCTTATTGTAGTGTATTTTTAATATAGAGCCATAAGATTTTTCAGAACCAAACGATAATTTATTTCAGTCAGAAGGTTTTCGTGTGCACTCCAGAAAATATGACACCAAGTTAAAATTTTAAATTCTTAATGGCTGATATATATATATATATATATATATATTTATTTATTTATTTATTTATTTATTTATTTATTTATTTCATGTAATAGAAAAAATACATTCAAAGTTTTTGATGAAATCAGAATAATGTAATACAACTACATTTTCAATATATTTAACAGCACATCAATTGTTATATATTGAAATTAGCAGATAACTATGAATCATTATAGTACGATTGATTATAAACATGAAAAATTTTAAGCTTACAGATCTTATACATTCAAACAAAAATTGATGTTAATGTTAAATAAAAAATCGTAACCTGTACTATTTTAACAATAAAACCTGAGATACGAAAATTGTTAAATTGTACGTAAAATGGATAGAAATTTGAATTTCATTCAATGTAACAATACAAAAACTGATTTTTAAGTCTAATAAAATAAACCTCTGTCCAATAAAAAGTGAACTTATCTATTAACAAATCTTAGTATTCTTTAAACGAATTTATAATAATTTATATGAATGTATTTCTAAAAAATATTAGTTTTATAAAAGAGATACCAAATTTTCATAACCACCTTTCGTAATTGTCTAGTTAAAACACTGAATTGATGAACATCGATTATATCCATTATATTTTTCTATATAGAATTTCTCATCTACAACATAATAAAAATAAATAGACAATAATATATAATGTTTAAAATAAAACAAACGTCATCGAATCGAAGTTTTCATCATATTTTTGATCCTTCAAAGCAAGCCAAAACTTTTTTAAAATTGGTTACTTTTATAATTTTACTTCTCAATTTATAAATCATAAAATTTTATCAATAATACTTCACTCGATTCAAGTTCTTTATAATTTTGATTTTTTAAGCAAGATATAAAAAATTAAGTGTTATTACAAGTTATTGATGAGAAAAGTTTTAATGAATATGTAATTGATTTAAAAATATCATTTAAGGATATCCATAAGATTTTACTGAGCAAATAAAATTACTCTCCTTTTTAATCAAATTTTATTTTTATTCTACTTAATAATTACAATTGTAATTGTTTACAAAATTACAATTATAATTAATAAATGGTGAAGGCCAGTTCTTTATATGAATTCATTTTGATATGAATTACTGCGAAAGCTATAAAGTGCCTTTGTTTTGGTTTATAATAACATATTTACATTTATAATAGATATATTTTTTGTTATATATGCATCTTAAAGCGAATAAAATGATTATAGTTAGTTTATACAAAATACATACATTAGTTGATAAACTAAAATGCTTTATCTCACCAAAATTGATCTTTATTATTTTGGAATGCAATTTAATTACTTTTTTTCACTTCAAAAACAATGACTATATTTTGTTCATAATATCTCAAAACGCTGATATAATTTTTTTAACAACATGAAAAAGAAATTTCTATGACTTATCAGAAAAAATAAGTGTATGAAACTTAGCGATTTAAATAATATTTACAACAATTATATTGTAACAAGAAGACAACAAATTTGTTGGTTAAAATTGAGACCGAAAACTTGTCTCAAAATTAAGCGACAAGATTATTCGAAGACAATAAACTAGTCTTTTGTCTTCATTTGCATACGAAATACGTCAAAGATTAATCGAATCTCCGCTCATTGATATATAATATAACTTTTCTTTCTTTTATACGAGAATACTTAAACGGAGTTCAATGATTCATTTACCCGTCTTTCTCTACTTTATACGATGCAACGTCAATTATTAAAGAAAGAAAAATTATTTAAATTCTCTTTTTCTTTGAAAAACAAATGTTGTAATACTTCTTTGTAGATACGATCTATGAAGATCAGCTTAGTTTGAAGAATTTCCCATTTTGACTTTTGAAGTCTGTAAAATTAAACCAAGCCTTAATCAAAGAATTTATATTAAATAAATTATTGGAATAAATGAAAATATATGGCAAATATATGATGAAAATCAATATTTTCATTATTCTATTATACAATTTAATATATGTTTTGAGTGTAACATTAAGAAAAATGTTAAAACTTACCATATAAATGCCAACAATAAGTCCAAAGAGACCAATGGCAGAGCCGAATATTTCGACAATAAGTATCTTTACGAAAAGAGCTGAGTTTGCTGCATCTGATAGAGCTGCACCAGAACCAACAATTCCAACTGCAATTCCACAGAATAGATTTACGAAGCCTACAGCCACACCAGCACCAAACATAAGATGCCCTGCCATATAGTTCTGAGCTTTAAGTTGAATAGATTCCTCTAACTTATCATCACTGAACTCTTCGAGCATACCAGAAAGTACAATGGCTGTGATAAGACCATATATAGCAACGGCTTCACAGAAGATAACAGAAATTAAGTTTTTAGTCTTAATTCGAGGTGCCTTTACACCACCACCAATAATGGAGACTCCCGTTGTATGAATACCTCTGTAATAAAATATTTTCTATTTAATTTAACGCTATATATTATATAAGTACATAAATTACTATTAAGTTATTACATAATGAAGAATTTCTAAAGCCTAATCAATGAATCGATACATACAAATATTTTATATAATTTTACACAAAATTATATAAAATAGTCAATGAAATTAATTCTTAAAATAATCAAAAATCGGATATTGAAATATACCTAATTACATGATCTTACTGCCAAAAATATATTCTAATTATTTTTATTACATAATATGACATTTTTATATTATTCAAACATAATAGAAACTATCGAATTTGCATAAAGTTATTATGATAAATGTCGATGTAAGTTTTAGAAAAGATTAATTTTATTTACTTAAAAATGTTTAAGGCTTAATCATAATTCTGATTTTTCATAGAAATTCAAAATATGAACTTACAAAGCTGCACCAACAACAGAAAGTGCAACGGTGAGACCAATACCAAGAGTAGCCCACATGTACGGGGAACTACTTTCAAGAAACCTGTTAAAAAAAAAAAATAGATGATTACACAATATTAGAATGTTATCAAATAATCAAATGTTCAGGGTACACAAGCACGCTAAAATATTTTCAATAATTACAATAGCCTTGACGGACATTCAACCTACATTGTTAATTCAAATATAAAAATTTCATTCATTATTACTTACCATCCAATACTGACACGTTCTCCTTTACCAGTGAAAACATGATAAAGAACTGAAAATAAAATTAATCGTTCAGTAATGTAATCTCAAGTAAAATAGAAAAGACGATGTGCAGAAAACACTCGATACATTCTAATTATTCTGAATCAAAACAATTGAGTAATACAAAGAAATTTAGGCTCACGTAGGCGCACGATTAAAAAGTTCAGCAATAAAACACAAAATCAAATAAATTAATAATGAAAATAAGTACAAACCTAAAATAAGAATCGTCGTCGAAGCGAGGCTGGCGAAGGTGGTGCTAAGTACGTATCTAAGTTTCATGGTTTCGAGATGATCCTCCTGTAGCTTGAAAAATTATCAAAAATTACCGAAGGTGCCTTTATTTACCCCCCTAAACAAGGCCACTAAATCCTTAATGATCTTTTAATCAAAGATTTTCGTCCGATACCGCACGGGTGTGAAATTACCACCACCGCGATATACAACCGTCGCTGTCATGTGACGACCTGACGACCATCATAGCATGCAATAGCTCTCGAGCGAGTAATACCAACATTTCAAATGCACCCAAACACTCCTCTTTACTCCAGAATATTTGACACCTACAAGACATGTCATTGCCAACCATTAAAATTTTTACGCTAATATTTAAATCAAAAGTTATCGGTTTCTTCTTGCACTCCCATTCGCCGTTTTCCAGAAAATATAGGAATTTAACGAACGTAAGAAAATTATATTATACGCTTCCTTCAAATTTCACAAATTATTCAAAATAAATAATTAAAAATAATTCAATCCATTTTTAATGGTTAATCAATTGTTAAAGACGATCAAATTATTGTGTACTATTTGTGCATTTGTCAAGTATATTATTTAACGATATTTAAACGTCGAATATGTTATATAAACGAATTGATTTTTCTATAATTTGGTCTAGCATATTCTTTCGAGATATTAATATTCAATGAAATTTCATAATTAAATGTATAAACATTTTGCATAATAAGCTTTTCAAATTTGTAATTTTATTGATTAATTTATCGATTAAATTTTTTTTTTTATTTCAATTGAATACGTATTTTTAAATGTGTATCATTATGATTCATTAACCGATGTTTCTTCGGATATTTATTAATATTTTTTTTGCAGAGCTAAACTGAAGTCGAGTGTACTAGAGCAGAGAAAAATTAGCAGAGCATAGAATTTAATTAAAAAACTCTTTCTTCGGCGTATCAAGCATTCTAATATCTTGGTTTCATTAAAAAAAAACTCTAGATACTTCAGCAAAAAGTATTACCAAAATCGAAAAATACTTTCCTTATCCGTAATATTATTATTTCAAACAATTAATAAATAATATATTTGTAGCAAATTATTAATTTATAAAATTTAATTTTTAAATATTCAAACATCTGAATATTTGATGAATTTTAAATATTCAAACATCTGAAATTTTTGCAATTACAATTTCAGTCCATAATTTGAAAACTCCGCTCAAATTGGCATTCGTTTGTACTTAAAAATAATATTTTAAATTATGTATTTTTAAACAGAAATAAGCGTCATTAAAATTTATATGTAAAAATTAAAGTGTTAACGAACAATCGAAATAAATTTAAAATATTGAAATAAATCCTAACGTTTTTATTAATGCAATAATCAGCGATATTATACCATTTCAACATATAAATTTCAACATATAAAATGAATAAAATCACTTGTTTAAAGTAACATCATAAACATTGCACCAACATAAAAAAGAGGAAGTATAAAGTATTTAGTAATCTTTTATTAGAAGCATCCATTGTAAAAAATGTTTTCCTGTTTTCAACTTTATAATATTATATCGTTGAAAATATCCTTTTCCATTTTATCTTAAACAATATAAATTTTGTAGTTTATAAACAAATTTGTATATTAATCTTTTATGTTGTTACAAATATTATTGTGTAATACGAAAATATTAAATACTTTATTTTATATAATACAGTAAAAACTATAGTATAACAATTTAATATTTTAATATGAAATACCTTTAAGAGTTGTATATTTTCCATTTTATTAATTTCATGCTTAAAGAAATTATTAGAAGTATTAATATAAATTTATCAACTGATGATGTCATCAAACAGAATATTTTATTATTTAAAATAAACAAATCACATTTACTTTTTTTTAAAACATTAAACTTAATAATATAATAATTTTAATTAGTGGATTTTTCCCCTTTATTTTTATAGAAATTCAATCGCGTTTGAAACAAAAACATGTATGTAATAAGTTTTATCATTTTCAGTTTATGATTTGTTAATATGATTATATCAACTTTATTTTCCAAGATATTATAAAACAGTTCATTCTTATTAATAAGGATTTTGTCTTTTATTTATATACAGAACCTTTAGTCATAATATAAATTAATTCAAATGACTAATTTTAGAAAATAAGATTAATTACCACAGATTTGAACATTTTTTCTTCGTTAAATTAAAGAGCCGCTAACCATTACTTTCTAAATTTTTCATACGATTTACAATATTTACCTTTAGAAACATTTATATATAAAAAAAATGCACGTGTAAAGAAGTTAAAATTAAAAGAAATATTAGAAATTAAAGTATACAACTATAAAAACATATGCATTATGGCAGATACAGTGTGAGACATTGGAATTTTAATTCTGATGTGTCATCTTCAGTAAATCTGAAGTGCAAAATTTAGATAGCAATAGATTTTGAAACCTCAAAATTAAAATATTTTTGCTTCAATATATCAGCATAATAATAGAGCTTTGAATAATTTACAGCAAAAATTTAAATGTAAAATAAATTTTACAAAATGATAATCAACGCAACTTTTTATGTTTTATAATCATTAGAAAATACAGATGTACATAAATTTCATGATTTGAATATCTTTAGATGTATGGATAACATTTTTTAAATCAAGTTATTATTATAATATATATTACTTAAAACAAATTCCTGGCATTAAATTTGTGTTTTTTTATTTTATGATATTACACAATTTTTTATATAACAGTATTTTTATAATAAATAAATATTTTCTATTATATTTTATATGTCTTGTATGCAGTACTAATCTATAAAAATTAATTATTTAATACGATTTGTGAAAACACGTAATCAGCTACTATATAATTCTTCATTTTATATATAGAATTGTGGGCAAAAATAAATAATACTTATAATACAAAAAGATAATATAAAATTTGAAAATGAAACAATACCATTAGCAATCTTTTAGGAATGTATACCAATCTCTATTAATGCTTTCTGTTTATTTAATTTTGATAAATTTAGTAAGGTTTATTCGTCAAAACTACTATAAGAATAAATAAAGATATATATATATATATAAATGAAGTTTTAACTAATTCAAGTAACAATAGGCTTAATAATAAAAAAAAAACGGTTTTGAGATTTGATTCTTCTTTGAGATAATCCTTTCATACACTAAAGAATATTTATTATATTGCAACATTCATTTATAAAAAATCAATCGGTCTTGACCTTGATTAAAGATGAAAATAAATAAACTACAATTTGTAACCTCGCGAAGATTTTTCGTGATAGTTTATATTGAAACCCGATAACACCTGACTTCTCAAATGAATCAGGTTCATTAATAAGTTTTGCACATTTTTCAACTTCTCCTAAATATATATTTTAACTTGAAGATAAATTAATAGCCTTTTTCAATGATAATACCAATGTGTAGCATTAATACAGTTTAATATTATAAAAGATAAAAGATATTTTAAGTGTAATTTTTCACTTTAATACAATTCAGTTCGAAATGTTCAACGCTTTAAAGATATTATATGAATAAAAAGTCATAAAAATTTTTGTAATGTATTTGTAAGTTATAGCATATTTAAATGTTTTCATATTGATAATCATAAATTGGATATTTTATAAATAACGAAGATATTTTCTTAACATCAATTTGAAATATTATTTTTACTCCGTGAAACTGATTATTTACTGCGGTAAACTATTAAGTTTAATTTATCGTTTAAATTTTTTACATTATTAAACACTTTGAATTGTCTAGACATTCTAACTTGATATTGAATAACTATTATTCTTCTACGTCGACTAGATAATTTAAAGGGAAATTAAACAATATTCCTCGTGCTTTAAGTTTCATTATAATAAATTACTCTTTTATAATATTCATACTTCTATTTTCATCAATTTTCAAATAAATTACAAATTTAATCTATCATTGGTTATCGCGAAAAATTTAAATCTTTATTCTTAAAAAATAGAGTATGCAAGATATTCATGTAACATAATAATGAAAAGTCATTTGTATAAATGTATATAACTTCATCTGATAAATACATGTATTGTTTTAATTATTTTTAAATATAAACCATTATATTTATAACTTTTAAATGATTTTTTTACTAAAAATAAAAATACTATGTTTTCTGTTATAAATATAAAATTAATCGATATTATTTATTAAATAATGATTTTAATACGTTATATGAAGTGATTCGGGTTTTTCTTCTATTGAATCGTCTTATAAGAATATTCAATTCATACAAAAATTGCCTAAACTAATGTCTTTAACAATAAGAAAATGGTGATTTTTTTGTTTAATAAAAGTAACACAAGTAATTGATTCAGAATGTTTAACCATTGATAAATATAAAATTCATCCTATTAATCTATCATTGAAGATTCGTGTAATTCACTATAGTCGTTTGTATAAAATATTTATTCTATTTTATAAATCTATTATAGTATATAATAATTTTTCTAAATAAATTAATTACTATTAAAAATATTAATTAAAGGCGCTTCATTTGACTAAGATAATTTAATAATAATGTAATTGTTGTTAAAGGTTAAAAGAATTTTATCATAAAAACGCAACGATAAATATTTTTCTTGAAACTGTCGTAGTTACATTATGATTTACTGAATCTAGTTACACTATAAAATAGGATTATACGATATAATTAAAAGTAAGAAGCGATTAAAAAGTACATTCTTTTAAAATATGAAAGAGGAGTATGAAATATGAAAGAAAAGTAATAATTCGAACCATTACTATTTAGTTTTTTCTTGCAATTCCAAGTGTTCATGCGGAACATTTAGTTTATTTGCATAAGTCTATGGCATACGTATCACATACGATTATGTGGTCAGGTGACTCAACATACAAAATGGCCAATCAAATTGAACTCTCGTTCAATAAACTATATCATTAACCTGCCTTGATGAAAATTCGTTGGATATTGAATGACTTATTTTTATGCCATTGTAATTTACACGCGCGCGCGCGCGCACACACACACATCCATTATAATTCTGTCGTGGAGAGCAATAAGCTGAGAAATTATCGTCTCGATTATAAATTATGAGGTATTATTTTGCTTTAAATACCTTTTAGAAAACAAACTTGATAGAATTGAAAACTTTGTAAATATATTGCTAAGTTGCCGGAAAATCTAGAGGAAAATCATTGATGTGAATTCGCGTTACGCGCGCTTCCCTAACGGTGTATATATGTAAGTCGTGTAGTGCGTATACAACCACTCGCTATGCCATTTTAACTGTCTTTTTCTTATTCTCTCTCTCTCTCTCTCTCTCTCTCTCTCTCTCTCTCTCTGTTCCGCATTCGGGGGCGTGTAATGTATACTGTGCAGTAAATGATGGACACGTTGGGTGTCATCGACGACGGTTACAATTCCGTCTCACTTCGAATCATTGTCCAAATGACCCTATTACTCTTTCTAAATGTTATACGTAATCCAAATAGCGTACCGATGCACTGATAGAACTTTTTGAAACGGTCATTTTAACAGAAGCAGCTAGCTCTTTATTTATTTTGAATTATACGTGACGCAAAATTGGCCTGTAAAGGTATGTTCGCGAAGCAGTGTAAGCGGGTTATTAAAGAGGACAGATTTTCATTTGATACGATATTATAAGAGAAAGACGGGATATTAGTAGCGAACATGAGAGAAAGAGAGACGATGGGAGTTTTATGCATGCAGTGGGACGACGTATAAGTTAGAAAGAAGAAAGAAGGAACAAGTGTCGTAAAGAGAGAGAGAGAGAGAGAGAGAGAGAGAGAGAGACAGTATTGCTTGACGATGGTTAAGGGAGAGGGAGGAAGGAAGGTAAAGCAGCAGTACCTCGAAAGTAGAGAAAAGAGAGGGAGAGAGCAGGAGATGATTAAAGTCGGTAACTAGTTTTAGGAATCGTGCCTGCTTGCTACGTCACTCGTCAGTCGCTACTTGTCCTCTTCTCGTCACCGCGGTCTTCGTCCTGACAGAGCACGAGAGACGGAGTGTGTACGCCGCGTACACAGATATAAATGTGAATAGAGAAGTCATAGATACGCTACATACTCTCACTAGAGGGTCGGCGGAGTTGCGCCGAAGAGCGAGCGACCGAAGGAGGGAGAGAGAGTGCGTGCGTGTGCTGAGAAAGAGTAAGAAGCCTTAGCGCGCGTCGCCTCTCTCGCGAAGAGACACCCAGAAGAAGGTGGCCGAGGACAAGAGCGTTGAGCGCCGAGCCAGAGAGGCAGGGAGGCGAGTATCTCTGCGCGGACTGCACCGGCGAACACGAGAAAGGCGGCGATAGAGGACAGACGGATAGGCTGCAAAAGGGAAAAGGGAGCCACGGATTCGCGCCGGAAACGTACATCACGAGTCCGAAGAAAAGTAGCGAAGCATATACACACGGCTAGATAGGGAGGTAATATACCGAGCGAACCAAGAGAGAGAGTGTGTGAGCGAGATAGAAGGATAAAGAGAGAGAGAGAGAGGAACGCGCACTCTCTCCGTGGATATCGTTGGATAGGAGACCGCCGCCACCGCTACCACACGCTGTTACTGCTGCTGTTGCCGCTGCTGCCGTTGTTGTTGCTGCTGCTGCTGCTGCTATTGCTACTGTTCGACGTGAACGACCAGTCGCCAACATGACGCAGCTACTTCCCATAAGGTTCCAGGAACATCTGCAGGTAAGCGAGCCTCCGGCCAAGTACGTGCGTCCCGGTCGAATCATCGTAAAATGACTTCGACGGATGCCCGACAATCGGATTCTTCAGTCTCCTCTTTCACTTACATTTACTCAGTTTTTCCTACATCGTGTCCCAGTGCTACCGTGGGGCGAGGAAATGAGAGAGAGAGAGAGAGAGAGAGAGAGACAGACAGACAGACAGACAGACAGAATGCGTGCGAGCTTGCGTGCATACGCAAGGAGAGAGAGAGAGAGAGAGAGAGAGAGACAGACAGACAGACAGACAGACAGAATGCGTGCGAGCTTGCGTGCATACGCAAGGAGAGAGAGAGAGAGAGAGAGAAATGAAGAGAGAGAGAGAGAGAGAGCGACAGTGAGAGCGGATAGAGGTAGAAAGACGGAGACAAAAGAATAATTTGACAGTTAAATGCCATTTGCGAAGACTTCGGGCATCACTCGGACACGCTTCGATGGACGGGCAGACACTTAAGCCCTACGCTCGGTCGGAATTTTGGCGTCCTAGAGGAAACAGGATCTCGAGAGGGAGAGAGAAAGAGAGGAAATCGATTCTCTTATACATGCCGACGAGAGCCACGTCTGCTGGCTCCGGGTCGCCGCCGCCGCCGCCGCCGCCGCCGCCGCTGCCGCCACAGTCACACACTCTCGCATAGATTCAAGCTTACACGCATGCAATATACGCCCCTCGCTTCATTCTTCGAGATTACGAGAAACACGACGTACGGTGTCATACCGTCTAATGCACATTTTTAAAATTTCATTTTTACATAGTCTTGTTTCGGTCGTACACCAAGCAATTTATTCTTCTCCCTTTATACGGTTCAATGATGTTTCAGCATTGGTATTTGGCAAGTGTCAATGGCCAAGGATAAAATGCTTGGCCATGATTAAAGTCATACGACAATTTCCTTTCATTGCTTAAGTTGCAATAAACTGACTTCTCTGGCCCTTTATGGACTCTTGTATAATAAACAAGTCAAGAGCAAAAGATCTTTAAGCTCTAGAAATCATCCACAATTATTTAGAAATCGTTTTTAATATTGGTTGTGATTTTACAATGATTTGGCAATCCTTAATTAATTGCAAGTTGGGTATTCTTTTGTTTTATTGTAATACCTTATTTTACATATATATTTGTACATTGTATTCTGCTTATGATAAACAATTATATTTGTATAAAGAATTCCTTTAATTTACATTTCATAGAAAACTTGTATGCTAACTTATATAAGTTTTTTCTAAGTTCATATTTTAAAATTTTATATTCAAAATTTAATACAAATAGTTTGAAACGAATTTATGTTTCTTAACTTTTTTTCTCATTAAAACACAATATTTTATTCGCTCAACTTCTATTACATATTTGCAAATTTAGCGAACTGACTATATCTAAGTATGGGTTAATGTTACTATGATTTACGTATGTCTGGACATTTGGTGAATTGCTCGACGTATACAAATAGGTAATGTCCAATATATTCATTCATAAGGTCAATACTCTATTAGCTTAATTCAAGTTTTTTTATTTCATGAAAAATTTCACTCTGAAATACAATTTAATTTCCAAGTTCAAGATTTCCAATTAAAACAAGAGCTATTTATTTTTTAACTAAGAGTACTCAATACTATTCTTTCTCTCTGTTTAAAATAGCTTACTGCAGTAGGAATCAATGCCAACAATGTCAGCTTCAACACAGTCACCATGGAGTCAGACAAGTTCATCTGCGTCCGTGAAAAGGTGGGTGATACGGCACAGGTGGCTATCATTGATATGAATGATACTGCTAACCCTATCAGAAGGCCCATCTCAGCTGATTCAGCAATCATGAATCCAGCCAGTAAAGTCATTGCTTTAAAAGGTAAAACTATCCTGACTATTCAAATTTAGAATAACGAAAATTAACAAATACATATGCTAGCTTACAAATTAAAGCATTTTACATGTTCTGCCATTTATAAATCCAAAGATGACCTATCTTTACTTTATTTACTTTACTTTATTACTATCGGAAGAATAAAAAAAATTTACATTTAGTGCAACGCAAAATTAGGTATTAAATACTATTGTAAGTATTTAAAGTAAAAAATTAGTTATACAATTACTAAGATGCTCGATGATACAGTTTTTATAATTAGTTATTTTAATCCAAATCATTATTGTAATAATAAAAGTTATGAATTTACATTTTACAATGACATCAAATTAAGGAATTAATTTCACATAAATTGATGTAAATGATAAATAAATATAATTTGAGGTAAAAACAATATTTTAATACTCTCAATTTAATTAAAGCAAATATTCAATAAATATGTACCAAATAAATATAACACTTAATATTTAATGATTATAAATAGAAAAAAAATACAATCTAAATTCCAATATTTATACAATTATATAAATGAGTTTTCAAGACATTGAAAATTAAAAACTAATTAATTGCCTTTAAAAATGGATGATTGTTTATAAAAAATGTTTTACTTTTATGATAAATAATGAATCAATTGTAATATCCCAAATATGATAATATATTATCCAAAGTATAATGCTAAAGGATGTAGATGCTTTATTAAAAAAAAAAAAAACCTACATTAAAATACTTGTAGATGAATTTATTATATATATTTTAATTAATTTATTATAAGAATGAATTGTTATTAATATATATTAATTTTATTCACATTTAAACACAATACCTTGAGTATTTTATCTGTAAAATATTAAATTGTATAAAGAGAAATTATAAAATTATTATTTATTTATATACGTTTGTATATAACATCTATTAAATAATACTTTTAATGAAAAATAATATTTTTGATATTGAAAAATAAGTATATTTATAAAATAATCTGTCTGATAATGTTCTTCGTCTAATCTGTAATTAATATTCTAGAATTTAATTTGCGTAAATAAACAAATTTTGCCTCGTTGTAAATACAAGAAATTAATATCTATTCTTTTGATAAATAAATATAATTATCTAATTATGTAAGTGCATGTTATTTCAATAGCAATTTGTGTATTTGATAAATCTTTAAACAGGTCAAGATCTTTTTATAGAATATTTACAATGGATTGCAAATATCATTGGTTAACAATGCATATAAATAAATTAAAAGTTTTCTGTTGTATTTTACCAGTAAATTTTAATAATAATGAAATTATAAATTATACAACTTTTCTTCAATCTTGTACATATTTGTATTATAATTGCTTTTTATCAATTGAATTTGTTAACGTCAAGATATTTGAATTATAATATTTATCTCTTACTCCGTCTTGCAATAGTTAATAGATTTATGTATTTATTAATTGCATAAAATTACAGATATTCGCAAATGTATTATTCACAGCTTAAATACATTTATTAACGTTTATTTTTGAATAATAATAAATATCTTTACCTTCGAATAATTAAATATTATTCGAAGGTATGATGAAATAAAAAGAAGTCAACAGCTTACAAAAATAGCTCTTAATAAAAATTTGAAGTGAAGTCATTTTATAAGATCATTTTTAACGAAAATTCTTTTAAAAATAGAAGATTGAAGTTCTCTTCGTCCATTGTCTTAAGCCTTAATACAATTTTATACACGAATGATCTTTAAAGTCCTTGACAAAAATAAAAAACTAAAATCGACACTTGCTCATCCAGCCCAGAAAACGCTGCAAATCTTCAACATTGAAATGAAATCGAAGATGAAGGCGCATGCGATGTCGGAAGACGTGGTGTTCTGGAAGTGGATATCTCTGAATACTCTGGCACTTGTGACGGAGACGTCGGTGTATCACTGGTCGATGGCCGGCGACTCGCAGCCTAGCAAAGCTTTTGAGCGCCACGCCTCGCTCTCCGGTTGCCAGATTATAAACTACCGTACGGACGCCAAGCAAACGTGGCTCCTCCTCATCGGCATATCGGCTCACAACAACCGCGTCGTCGGTGCAATGCAGCTCTATTCGGTCGATCGCAAATGTTCCCAGCCGATCGAAGGTCATGCCGCCTCCTTTGCCCAATTCAAAATGGAGAGCAATCCCGACCCTAGTAATCTATTTTGCTTTGCCGTAAGGACTGTCCAGAGCGCAATGCTCCATATTATTGAGGTAGGACAGCCGCCTACCAAAAATCAACCTTTCCCCAAAAAAGCAGTGGACGTATTTTTTCCGCCCGAGGCAGGTAGCGACTTCCCCGTCGCTATGCAGGTAAGACTTCGTTATTATTGTAAATAGAGCCCCGTCATGAATAATAAGAGACCCCGAGTGTTTGCGTGTAATTTAATTTGGTTTATTGCCGTTGAATGAAGTAATGTTGAGACAACTATTCACAATTTGAGGAGATAAAAGTGGTATAAAAAGCAAAATGCCCGCAGCGCATCGATTTATCGATGTCCCATAAATACTCGGAGCTCTGTATATTATTACGTTATGTCTAAAATAAAAACATGGGACAAACTTTATATCTATCGAAGTTATTCAAATGTTTCTCCTCGTATTTCATTACGATAATTTTTTATTCTATGACTCTTTTAGATTAGCCAAATTACTCTTATTATTTTTAAAGCTTAGGATCTGTTTTACCATGTACATTTCCCAAATAATAATTTACTTACAATATTAAAATAATTTCAAATCATTCAAATAATTTTTAATGGATATAATTTGTTGTTGAATTTTCATATACTTCATATTGATTAATAATTTACATTAAGAAAAAAAAAAATTTTTTTTTATCGTTTTATATCAAATGTCATTCACTCATTTTGTGAAGCTGTATCAACTCTTTTTATCTAAAAGTGTCAATTGATAAGACACTTCATTTCTGTTCGCATACTTTATTTTTTTAAATTGACTAGGGCATACTACGTGTAATTTGTTATTTTTGTATCGCTAATACTAAATTCAAGAATATTTTATATTTACAATAACTGCACTTATTAACATTCTGTCCTTATACCATTAGTTTAAAGCGAATTAGAGTATTAAATGCAATAGAGATAATATACTATCTAGAAAATAATACATAATTAGTAAATGTTCTTGATAAATTTAGTAGATAATTTTAAATTGAATAATTTCAACTATATACTTTAGAGTTTTAAGTATTTTAAATTAATTTTTAAGATTAGTGAAAAAGCTTGGACATTATTTATTTCATAATAAATATTAATATTAATAAATTTCATAAGAATTACTAATGCGACAGTGTAATAATGTATTAGTTAAGTAGTACGAAGCTTTGTAATGTACAGGACAACAAAAGCTAAGCAATTAAATTTGCTTATCCATTGAAACGAACACGCATACGCTCCAATATTTTGCCGAAAAGAATAAATCAAATTATTTTTTCGTTTTCACAGGTCAGCTCAAAATATGACGTCATCTACCTGATTACCAAATACGGTTACATTCACATGTATGACATCGAGTCAGCGACGTGTATCTTTATGAATCGCATATCTAGCGAAACAATTTTCGTGACTGCGCCCCACGAGTCCTCGGGTGGCATAATCGGTGTTAATCGCAAGGGTCAGGTTTTATCGGTATCCGTAGATGAGGAGAACATCATACCCTACATAAATGGGGTACTGCAGAATCCGGAGCTCGCGCTGCGTATGGCAGTGCGAAACAATTTATCGGGCGCCGAGGATCTTTTTGTGCGCAAGTTTAACATGCTATTTCAGAATGGGCAGTACGCGGAGGCAGCTAAGGTCGCTGCTAACGCGCCCAAAGGTATTATTGTGTGTTATTCAATATATTATTATTCAAATATTATTATTCAATACATTTTTGCTCAAGCAGCTTAGTACGAACATGTAATTCGAATTATAGCAAATTATTTCAATATTTACTTCAACTATAAGAAATACCATTGTGTAAAATCTTATTGCAATACACGCTAATGTTAAAACAATGGCGCTTAAAAGTTTCTTGATAAAAAAAAATATATATATATATATATATATATATATATATATATATATATATTGAATTTAACTATTATTTTCTTTAAATCGTAATTTTATTATTTGTTTTAAAAACTTTTTATAATTAAATATATAATTATAGATATATCATTCAATATTCCTGTATATTATATTTTAATTTTTAACACGGAATAAAATAGTTGTAAATGTTTATTCTTTTAACTTTCCACGAAGTTTGCATTAAATATTTTAACTAATAATATTTTAATAAATAATACATTATTATAATAGTGTGTAAGAAAAAAGTATTTATTGTTATATTTCTAGATATTACAAAATCACTCGCATCACGTTTTAAAAGAAATGATTAAAGATGAAAATTGATAATTAATAGTTGAGAAAAATCGTATACAACTTAAGATTAAGTTACAATAGCATTTACAATAAAAAGATAATTTAATAGTTTTGTTTATGCTTTAAAAAGAAGTTAAGGGGCAAGCAGTTTTAATTAAGTTATTTCTATGATCATTTCAGGTATTCTGCGAACTCCTGGCACGATTCAAAAATTTCAACAAGTGCCGACTACACAGGGTCAAACGTCACCTCTCCTACAATATTTTGGTATTCTCCTTGATCAGGGTCAGTTAAACAAGTACGAATCTCTGGAGCTCTGCAGGCCAGTGCTCGTACAGGGACGTAAGCAGCTACTCGAAAAGTGGCTGAAAGAAGATAAGCTTGAATGCAGCGAAGAGCTCGGCGATCTCGTCAAACAGGTTGATCCGACTCTCGCACTAAGTGTCTATTTGCGGGCCAACGTTCCCAATAAGGTGATACAGTGCTTTGCCGAGACCGGACAGTTTCAGAAGATCGTTCTCTATGCAAAAAAAGTGTCTTATACGCCAGATTACATATTTTTATTGCGCAATGTTATGCGCATTAATCCGGATCAGGGTGTGCTATTTGCACAGATGCTTGTACAAGATGACGAGCCACTTGCCGACATCAATCAAATCGTCGACATTTTCATGGAGCAGAATATGGTGCAGCAATGCACAGCGTTCTTGCTCGACGCATTAAAGAACAATAGACCTAGTGAAGGAGCTTTACAAACAAGATTACTCGAAATGAACCTCATGTCAGCGCCTCAGGTAAAATACTTGTAAATGTATTGATAAATATTATAATTAGTATTATAATAAATATAATTTGTATTTCAAAATCCATTTATTCACGTACTTCCTTGAATATTGAGTTTTTATATTGTCGCGTATAAATTATCGTACAGTTGACTTATATGTTACGTTTAGTTCAATTTCTTTTATTAGTATTATCTTCCCATTGATATTTTGAGTATTATATTTTTTATTTTATTTTACTGACGGCTTTTAAATGATATACTTTCTAATTAACAAGCACATTGAAATTTTTTCATTATTTTGTCCTAAAAACTTATATAATTTTAAAGATACTTTCATATATATTAAATGAAAATGCATATTATTCATAAATGAACATTTAGTGTTCTTCTAATAAAATTAAAATTTACATTTTAATAAATATTTATATTTTTAGTTCCATGTTTATTTGAAAATTATGTCATTAAGAAATTTTTTGATTGATTTGTAATGAAAAAGTAAATAGAATGACATTGAGTATATGGTTTATCTTTTAATTTTAATAAAATTAAATGAAATACTATGTTTAATTAAATAATTAAGATAAAAGTAATGTATTTGTGTAGAGGCATTAAATATAAGCTATTATAATATAAGCTTTCACTACCTGATAAAAGTATGAAATATTAAAAATTTTAAGTTATATTTAAATATTCGATTATTTTATCTAATATAATATATTATTTTAGCTAAATAAAAATATGTAGTTTTAATATAATTATGATAGCACTGGTCAATATATATTTACACCGACATTGTTTAAGTTATTTAAAAATAATCTCGATTGCTTAATTATGAAAGAATCTAGCATTCTTGCTTTTGGAAACAGATTATCTAGATAGTAACAGACATATAAAACCGATACATCCGTTGATTTCACAATATGAACATTTTAATTTTCAAAAAAGAATTTTTTCATTTGCTAAAAAATTCATTGTCTAAAACAATTAATGTCGAATAAAATCAAAATTTTATGTAAATATGAAAAGAAGATAATCGTTGTCTTTCAGTAATCAATAAATGAGAAATTATTTTTAATTCCAGGTCGCTGATGCCATCCTGGGCAATCAAATGTTCACCCACTATGACCGAGCCCACGTCGCCCAGCTGTGCGAAAAAGCTGGATTATTACAACGCGCTCTTGAGCATTACACTGATCTCTATGACATTAAGCGAGCGGTTGTTCACACGCATTTACTAGCGCCCGATTGGCTCGTCGGTTTCTTTGGGACCCTTTCTGTCGAAGACTCGCTAGAGTGCCTCAAGGCCATGCTCACGGCCAATATGCGTCAGAATCTCCAGATTTGTGTACAAATTGCAACTAAATATCATGAGCAACTGACAACCAAGGCCTTGATCGATCTCTTCGAGAGTTTCAAATCGTACGAAGGCCTCTTCTACTTTCTTGGGTCGATAGTAAACTTCAGCCAGGACCAAGAGGTGCATTTTAAGTATATCCAAGCGGCCTGCAAGACTGGACAAATTAAAGAAGTTGAACGCATATGCCGAGAAAGCAACTGTTATAATCCTGAGCGTGTAAAGAACTTCCTAAAGGAAGCCAAATTGTCGGATCAGTTACCGCTCATAATTGTCTGTGATCGCTTCGATTTCGTTCACGACCTCGTGCTTTATCTTTACCGCAACAATCTTCAGAAATACATTGAGATCTATGTCCAGAAAGTGAACCCTTCGCGACTGCCAGTCGTCATCGGTGGTCTGCTCGACGTTGATTGCTCCGAGGACATTATCAAAAATCTGATCCTCGTAGTGCGTGGCCAATTCTCGACCGATGAGCTCGTCGAGGAGGTGGAGAAACGCAATCGCCTAAAACTCCTATTGCCTTGGCTAGAATCGCGCGTGCACGAGGGCTGTGTCGAGCCAGCGACCCACAACGCCCTTGCCAAGATCTATATCGACAGCAACAATAATCCCGAACGCTTTCTCAAAGAGAATCAGTTTTATGACAGCCGTGTTGTCGGCAAATACTGTGAAAAGCGTGATCCTCATTTGGCATGCATCGCTTACGAGCGGGGGCAATGCGACCGTGAGCTAATTAGCGTCTGTAATGAGAACAGTTTGTTTAAAAGTGAAGCTAGATATTTGGTACGTAGACGCGATCCGGACTTATGGGCCGAGGTGCTACATGAGAACAACCCATACAAGAGACCACTCATCGATCAAGTTGTACAGACAGCCCTCTCCGAGACACAAGATCCCGAAGATATTTCAGTCACTGTCAAGGCCTTTATGACAGCTGATCTACCCAATGAGCTCATCGAGCTCTTGGAAAAAATCGTATTGGATAGCAGTGTCTTCAGCGATCATCGTAATCTGCAGAATCTCCTTATTCTGACTGCCATTAAAGCTGATCGTACTCGAGTTATGGAATACATTAATCGTTTAGATAACTACGATGCACCTGACATCGCTAACATTGCCATTAATAACGAATTGTACGAGGAGGCTTTTGCGATCTTCAAGAAATTTGATGTTAATACCTCGGCTATTCAGGTACTCATAGAGCAGGTTAACAATTTGGACAGAGCTTATGAATTTGCAGAGAGATGCAACGAACCTGCTGTTTGGTCTCAATTGGGTATGTGTTTAATATTCATTCTCTTCTTCATTCAACATATTTTATTGGTAATATAATTGAAATTTATTGATATTTTTATACTCGCACAAAGCTCTCAATAACTAAATTTTTTTATTCATAATGCTTAGTGTTCAAATTTTCAAACTTTAATGCAAACTACCGTTTCTTCTACTTTTCATATATCTCAAGTTATATATCTTTATCGAATGCAGAGCAAAATACTTGAACATATATAAAAAATAACTTTATAATTAATAAAGTCTAAAAATTACATCTTAAAAATTCTCAAATGTTTGTGTATATATATATACATACATACATACATACATACATATATAGCATCTATTAAATTATTACTTTTTGGACAAAATTAAAATTATCAATTGACTATCAAGAGAGTTTCTGTAAAAAAAAAAAAAAAATTAAGAGTTTTTGAAAGAGTTTTGTATAAACAAAATATAAAATAAAATATTTCTATTGAAAGAACTAACGTGTAAGAAATAATATATATTTATCATCATCGATCTATTTCACAAATTGGGAGACACTTTCAAAAAAAAATTTAGTCCAATTAAATCAATGAGTCTGAAATATTATTAGTAGACTGGTAAAAAATTTTTTTTGTACCAGCCGAAAATAAATAAGTAAAGACTTTTATAAATTCCCAATACAAAAAGATAAATAAATGAATAATCAAATTAAAATACTTGTATTTTATGACAATAGCCCGAGCCCAACTGCAGCAGGGGATGGTGAAGGAGGCGATCGACAGCTTCATCAAGGCCGATGACCCCTCGGCCTACGTGGACGTCGTTGAGACGGCCCATCGTACTTCCCACTGGGAGGATCTCGTTCGCTACCTGCAAATGGCCCGAAAGAAAGCTCGCGAATCCTTCATTGAATCCGAGCTCATATATGCGTACGCGTGTACGAATCGACTAGCCGACCTCGAGGAGTTCATCTCTGGACCAAATCATGCGGACATTCAGAAAATCGGTGATCGTTGTTTCGACGACAAGATGTACGAAGCCGCGAAGCTTCTCTACAACAATGTGTCGAACTTTGCGCGACTTGCCATCACCCTCGTTCACCTCAAGGAGTTTCAGGGCGCGGTGGACAGTGCGCGAAAGGCCAATTCGACGCGCACCTGGAAAGAAGTTTGCTTTGCATGTGTCGATAGCGGTGAATTTAGACTCGCCCAGATGTGTGGATTGCACATCGTCGTGCACGCCGATGAACTCGAGGACCTTATCAACTACTACCAGGACAGAGGTCACTTCGAGGAGCTAATTAATCTTTTAGAAGCAGCCCTAGGACTTGAGAGGGCACACATGGGAATGTTCACCGAGTTAGCTATATTGTACAGCAAATACAAACCCCAGAGGATGAGGGAACATCTTGAACTCTTTTGGTCACGTGTCAATATTCCAAAGGTAAATCGATCGTTTATATTTCGTTACTGCTCGATCCTTTTCTGCGTCATACGTTTAGTTTTCTAAAGCAAGTGCCATTTTTTGTAACAAATGTATTAATACTTGCATTTCTCCTTGTAATTAATACTCATAAATTTAATAATATTTTATATTCTTGCAGAAGAAAGAATCTTTTGCTTAAAGCCCAAGATATGATTCAAGTTTCATTTTTCACTTATGGAAAAATAAAACTGGAAACTTCTAAACAATGTAAATATGAGATCGACATCGATAGATTGCGTACAGTCGGTACATTCTGATAAAATATAGTTTAAATATTATTCTTATATTACACGTTATTCAGTTATATAATTTTTTTGAGAAATATTTTATTCGTTATTAATTGCAACTATGTAAGTATAAGTCAGTTTCATTGATAGATAAAACATAGTGTTGAATATAGTTTTAGAAAACAATAAGTACGAGCTTTGATATAAATAATAATATTAAGAATGGATCCGGGGATTGGAATTATGTTCCACACTCTGATGACATTTGCACACACAGGTGCTACGTGCAGCTGAATCGGCTCATCTGTGGGCTGAGCTTGTCTTCCTGTACGACAAATATGAGGAGTACGATAACGCGGTTCTCGCGATGATGCAACATCCGACGGAAGCATGGCGCGAGGGCCATTTCAAGGACGTCATCACCAAGGTAGCAAACGTCGAGCTTTACTACAAGGCCATTCAGTTTTACGTGGAGTACAAGCCCCTATTGCTGAACGACATATTGCTGGTGTTGGCGCCGCGCATGGACCACACGAGGTCCGTTGCCTATTTCACCCGCACGAATTATCTGCAGCTGGTCAAGCCATACTTGAGGTCAGTGCAGGCGCTCAACAACAAGGCCATCAACGAGGCTCTCAACGGACTACTTATCGACGAGGAGGACTACCAGGGCTTACGAACCTCGATCGACGCTTTTGACAACTTCGATAACATTGCGCTGGCGCAACAGTTAGAGAAGCACGAGCTCATTGAATTCAGGAGAATCGCCGCCTATCTCTACAAAGGCAACAATAGGTGGAAACAATCGGTTGAACTTTGTAAAAAGGACAGGCTCTTTAGGTTAGTTGTCTTTTTATTTTATCATTACATACTTAATACCCCTGTGATTTATAATATTACAAAGATTTTATTTTTCCCAAAGCACCTTTTAATTTATCTTTTTTACTTTTTATTACATTACATTTGCTACATTTAAAATAGACTAATAAATTACCTTAAACATGTTTAAAACGATCTTTTGTAGTTAAAAGAGTAAAAAAATTGAAAGCCATATTTTATTAATTATTCTGTTGCTTTGAATGTGTAGAGATGCGATGGAATATGCAGCTGAATCCCGTAATCATGAAGTAGCCGAAGAATTATTAGAATGGTTTCTTAAAAGAGGGTCCAAGGACTGTTTTGCCGCATGTTTGTTTCATTGCTATGATTTACTTCATCCCGATGTTATTTTGGAACTTGCGTGGAGACATCAAATTATGCACTTTGCAATGCCTTATCTTATTCAAGTATCTCGCGAATATATAGCCAAGGTAATCAATTGCGTTGATGTTATTTCACTTTTTCGCACAATCAATCAATATTTTAAAAACTGTATTTAATCTGTCTATTGTTTCTACGTATATTATTCGCAGGTTGATAAATTAGAAGAAGCAGAAAGTCGACGTATCGAGGAGACCGACCATCAGGAGCATAAATCCATGATTATGCGTAAGTAGAATATAATTATTCGTGTTTTTTATTTTTTAAATAGTGAAGATAAATAAAATATCAAGCAAGGAAATTCGAAGAAAACTTAAGTTTAACATTGCTTATATGGAGTATGAATGAAACGATAGTTGACTTGTTATTTAACATAATAAAAAAATGTAATGAATGGATAGTAATTTTTTCTTGCATATATTATAATTCTTACTGTATGTGTATTGTACGTCGATTTGAAATAGTATTGAAAAGCATATTAAATAATTATAGACGAAATTAGATTTTAATAAAATTCTAAATTTATCGGTTAATTGTCATACTCGTTTTTTTCTTTTGTAAATTTCATATAAAATTCTAGTAGTATATGTATAATACTAAATATGTAATGCATGAAATTTAGCTAGCGTAATGCAATGGTACGCCAAGGCCTCGCGTTATAGCCTAAGTTAATAAAATTAAATATCACAGCCGAGCCACAACTGATGTTGACTGCCGGACCCGGCATGATGGCACCAGGATACGCGCCCCAAGCCGTGTACGGGGCGCCCGCCCAAAGCGTCTACGTGCCACCGGCGGCGGCCGCAGCTTATCAGACCTACGGCATGTGAGACACCACACCGCCTCTCTACAGCGCCATGTAAGAGCAGTCGAATCCGCAGTAGCACCGTTTACCACGAGACCACCATGACTTTTCTATTCAAACAGTCGTGGAGAAAACAGAATTCATAAAATAGGAAAAGCGGGGAGAGGGATATAAAGATTATGATAAAGGTTAACAAAAGAGATATGTACTGCGCCGTTGTAGCTCATGTAGGACATAATATTTAGCGCTGAATAATGTATGCAGAGAAGAAAGATGTTATGACGGTCATTTGTTGACGGATGTCTTTACGCTTAGATTCTTCTTATTGTTAATATGACGGTAGAAAATAATAACTGAAACGAGATATGGTTAAGAATGGATTAAAAGAGAGAATAATGGCAACTCGATTCATTGTACCAAATAATGATTATATTGCAAATTTGTAGATAAAAATGAAAACGGTTGAAAAAAAAAACAACTCTTGACGACGCTTAACAATTGTGCAATGGACAGTTAAGCCGAGAGAGTGAGAAGTAATATCTGTAAGTAATGTTCTAATGCGTTATAATATTCTGTCAAATTGATTCGTGAAATTTATTAAGATAAATTTTTTCGGTATTATTGCCCACTAAGGATGTGCAAAAGTGCAAGACGCAAAACAAACAAAAAATCATCTATTGTATAAAAGAATGTAATCAATTATGCGTAGTTCCGCTTTGCAAGACTGTTCTCTCATAAGAGTGAATTTGCTAAGCTCGACCTCCTATATACAAAAAAATACTCTGTGTCATCTCTTGTGTAACGGTCCCGTTTACGGTGACAACACTTGTTACGAGATAACTTGTAACGTATAGTCTCGTCTGAGTTATAATAATAATAATAATTATTATTATATTATTATTATTATTATTATATTATTATTATTATCGTTCTTTTTCAACGGCCTTGTCGATTTTTAAATTATTTATATGAAAAATATAAATCGATGACCGTAAACTCGCGCATCGCTTATGTTTAGTCACAGCTACGAATAAAAGCATTCATTAACGATTGCTTTTAAATGAAACAGTCCCTTGCTTTTTTCTATTTTTTAATTATAATTAAACTTATTTTTTTTTTTCGACCTTTCACAAAGAAAATTTTGTACGTCCGTTTTTGTAAGGTCGTCCTTGTACACATGTAATAATATTCTCTTTGCGCCTGTTTTTTTGCCTTAAATAAAAACATCGATATATTGCCAGTATATTTGTGTATGAGAGAGTATATAATCACATTTTATGCAAGGAGACTTTTAAATAAATCATAATATACATACACAATCGGTAACATACCTAAATGAATACGACACGCATTATATGTGTTATAATAATACAAGTTTATTTGGCACCTTAGTGCAATGGAAAAAAAATTTAGTCCATAAGTCAAAGACTAAAGAAATGAGAAAAAAGAGTAAATATATTATTAATTACAGACATTCCCCTTATCGAAAAAAAAAAAAAAATATAAAAGTTATACTAAATAATAAGGAAGTTAAAACAATGAAAATTTATGAGCTACGGGACTACGCGAATGAATTGTATTAGTTTTCTTCCTGTTACAAAGGAGACAGCTGCTGTTTTAAAATCGTTCGCTCCGTTAGTTGTTGTATCAATATCATGATTATTTGAATATATATTATGAATTATTATTATAATAATTATTATCGCGTCGTATGTTGGAAATAATAAAGAACAATATAATGAGTAAACGAGAGAGAGAGAGAGAGAGAGAGAGAACGATAGAACGATAGAACGTGTGGGGAAAATAATACAAAAAAGGAGCAAAAACGATTAATAATTATATTATAAATACATTATGTTATTATACATTATACTGGTACTTGATATAACATGTAATTAGTAGATATGCATAATATAATGGTATGAACATGAATCGTATTAACGAAATATGAAGGATGAATAAAGGAATGTGAACAAATATTAAAATGACTCGGATATATATGTTAATTGGACTGAGAAAACAAATAGAATTAAATAACATGGAAAGCATTTCGTTGTTTTTGCTCTAGAGTGTGTAATGGGTGTGCTGAATGCTATATATATATATATACATAGTGTGAAATAAAATCAAAGCCTGTTTCATGAAATTAATGCAGTTTTTCCACTAAAGGTCAGGTATTTGAAAATTTTTAAATTTCTTTACAGAACGCTCGGTTGGACGTATGCACAATTCCTTTCCAAATACATCAAAATACACATTATGTTCTAAATGTATACGGAAAATACACGATGCTTTAGGTATTACTGCAACATTAAAAAAGAAATATTATAATTTTTATAAGAAGTAAGAAAATTTGATTATCTTACCTCGGATTACATTATCTTTGCCCAATACTTTAAATGTATTTTTTGTATCTTGTATAATAATCCCTTCAATTCCAATAGTACTTGGACACTTCGATTTTACAATAGTTATTATAGCACCATGAAAATCAGCTTTGATTAAACGATGATTAATACTTTCCCAATGAGAATGGGTAAAGTTCATAGGAAGACTTGTAAAATTCTTTATACCAAGCATATGATGCATATAACCGAGCCATAAGGAATTTAACGGCACCATTTGTTTATATTGTATATAAGTTTTGGTTTGATTTAGATACAGACGAATACATTTCCTCATAGCCATTAATGATGACTTTTCAGGTTTATTAGTAACTTTCCCCTTGCGTTTTGTAAGTGGGAATAACTGTAATATAATTATAATTTCATTTTTATGCTAATGGTTTTTTATTTAAATTTATTTACCTTCCGTAATTCCTCGTCAATATCTTTGACATCAGAAGAAGGTAATATATTTTTTAAAAAATTAACGAGATAGTCCTCTCGTTGCTTATAAGTGGTGAACCAATTACTAATTGTTACCGGTAGTGGTAAACATATGTTATCTGTAAAGTAATTTGCAAATCATTTATTTAACAACTATAATTGTAATACAAGAGTAATTAATATTGTCGTAAGTATGCTGGGAATTGTGTAATACAATAAACTGAAAAATTCAAATATACCAAAGAGAATGAATTACTAATTTTGAATAAATATAAGTGTACCAAAATAAGTCTAATTTATGAATATCTTCACTTCTTAATCGTTTATGTTTCCAATTATAGGATTAAAAAAACAGAAGATTCTTAGTAATATCTGTTCATTTAAAAGTTAAATGAATCTTTTAAGTTCAAAGCCATGTTTATTACATTATTATGCATTACTACTTTTAATACAGTTTACCAACTCCATCATTGCATTCAAACGTTATATTGTTAACGCTTGTTAACTCTATATTTTTACTATTTATTGTCATTGCAATATTTATTACTCGATAATATAAAAACAATATGAATATAAACATTTTTACCGTTAGAATTTTCCATGCTGAAAAACGGCCTACGTGCTTTTCATTTAACTATTTCTAACCTTAATGCTTAGCTGCGAGATATTTATTAAAGTCCAAACAAACCAAACCATTGAACCACTGGGCTTTGTTGACACTCTTGACCAATCCTGACTGATCCTGACCAATCCTCATTATTTCGTAAATGAATAAATGTTTTGTTGCATTTAAATGCGACGAAATTATCGTTTACGATAAAGTTGTACCTAGTAAAATAACACGTTGATGTTGTTGCATTTTTAACACCGCAATGCGATGAACATGATCTTTCATTTTAAATTTATTAATGGAAAAATACAGATTGATTAATATAATGAGAAAGTAGAGGAAAAATGCCGACAAATAATGAATCCAAGATTAGTAGTGGCGCACACGTTGAAATGTCAGTCGGTACTCCATTTATCTTATTTGTAGTGTAAAATAAATCGATCGATATTAAATTATGCATACGCGAACAAATCTATGTTCTAGGAAAAATCGTTAGATCGCCGAATTTTCATAACCTTGCAAATAAGATTTGCAATCAATACAAAAAATAACTTTAGCATAATGATCAATAACATTCATAAACAGATGTGTTGTAAGTTGCCTAAGAGTCGAATGTATGATACGCGTAAGTAGCAAATATACGAGAAATCCCGATATATGAAGCAATGATCCAACTGTTCAACGCTACCGGCCGTCACTTCATCCGGTGGCCGCGTAACATCGAACGTGTAAAATTGTATTGACCATCCAAGGTGTTGTTATACGGCCTGGCATCAGTGAGAAGAATTCCGGTTGATCGGCGGCATCTTGGGTAGAGTGCATTGAAAATTCTTCGTCTACGGGGCGGCAAACGTGTCACAAGCCCAAAAGGCGCGAGGAGGGAGTTTCGTCTATCGCGCGCCCGAGAAATACAAACGCCGCGCGCGATTGTCCATACAACACCACACAGGCAAAGAGACATAATCACGCACGTCCGCCTGTCAGTCCGTCGACGGTCGACGCATGCGCGCCGTTCAGTTGCTCGCGTTCCTCTATCATGTCAACAATCGACTTGTTTCTCCTGCTACTGTCGTTGCCGCAGGTCAAATACACCGTGTCCTTGTAAAAAGCAGCCCCGAGTGACAGAAGCTCGAGGCACTAAGTGGTCGTGAGAGACTCCCGGTGGGTCATCGCTCGACCAAAGCGTTTCTTGCACGTACGTATGCTGCGAGAGAGGAGGGAGTATACGAGGCAGTCGAGCTCGGCTTGCTCGAAGCGCGGTTGAGGAGGAGGAGGAGGTGGTGGCGGCGGCGACGACGACGACAACGACAACGACAACGACAACGACAACGACAGCAGCGGTTAACGCCTTTGTTGATGCCAAGGTGCGCGAGGCGCCGAAGACGACGCGACGAAGTCAAGAGTAGTAAAGGGTGAACGCACGGACAGCAGCCGGATTATCACTCGCGGGGGCGACTGCGGACGATAGCTCGCGAATAATAGTGGGACTGGAGCAGTGAGAGCGCCGACGGCGAAACGGAAACAAACATGGCGGCGAATCTCGAGGAGCAGCAGTGCTTGCGCGAGTGCACCGAGTACATGCAGCGTTCCAATATCATGCCGGTCATGAAGGATTGCTTCGTCCAGCTCTGCGTCGACCAGCCTGAGAATCCCGTTTCCTTCCTCAGGGAGTACTTCCAGAGGCTCGAGAGGGTAAGACAGCCAAGCGCGTTAGGGCGCTTTTTTTCTCATCATTTTTTCATCGGTGAGCTTGCGACTTTGTGGTCTCTCGTTCGCGCAGCCTTGGCCACGTTAACGGGCTTTTCTACAACAACGAGGACGGCGTAGAGAACGAGGATGTCGCGGCACGAACGCTGGATTCCGCGTGGATTCGCGAACTCGTCGGGGGAGTTACTCGCCTCTATTCCTCTTGTTGATACGGTCGGCCGTGGAATGCGCCCAACCGATGGCACAATGAAAGAGCCGATGCCATCGAGTGCCATCGAGTGCCACCTAAACAGATGTTGTTACGACTTTCCAGTCACACCCCCCACCCCCACGTTGTTCTCATCCCTTTGAAATCGAAAACCCTCATCGAGCAGTACTTATGATTCGTGTATTTTTTATGCTGCTTAGGCGACGGCCCGATGTGGCTTCAAGGCTGTTTTATAGACAATTGTAAAGACCATGTTAAGCTACTAATTCATTTATTACCAGTGATATTTCAAATTTTTCCTCGCCTCTAATATTTTGCCGTTCCTCTAACAAATGACATAATCTATAATTTAATTGCGCATCATGTTTTCGATGCGCACTCACCCGCCCACACGCATAAGCACAAGCACACGCACACGCTCACGCTACGCTCAAAAGCTCGAAATTAATATTATAGAATACAAGTTTTGAGTTATTAGCATTATTTTTTATAACTGCAAGAGGACGGATATTCCATTGTTCTGTGCGCTAAAATAAACGTGACATCTTTTTTAATTTAAATTTAAAGTTTGAAATTTAATCTAAAGTTAAAGTAAATTAAAATTCTTTTTCCGTTTTCCGTCAAAGATACCTTTTTCCCGTTACTTTTCTAAAGAATTACTGATTGTGCTGAAATTTTTTTTTCATTTTTTTTTCTTCTATTATTACATTTTTTTCGAAATTCTCAAAAACGTTACTAATGAAAGATTAAAATTTTTTTTACCCCTCTAGTCTGTCAATAAAATATGTTATCTTTGCCAGTTGCTGTTTTACCGATTGAATTATAAGTACAACATTGTAATTAACCAAGCTATTATTAATTTAATTAATATTAATTAGCAACCATTATTCGCTTTATTTCAGCAAATCTGACAATTATTTGTAAAATTTTTCATTACCAAATTTTATGAAATATTAATAGTGAAAAAATGAGGAGACCCGAACAATTACAAAATAATATCCATAAATTTTACAACGATTAGCTTTCGACAATATTAAATTTAATTTTCATATATATTAATATACACACATACGTATTCACATATTACGACACTATTTATTATGTTGATATCGGTTAAACAGTGCGGCTTCAAATCTTTTATAATCCCTTAAAATGTCATAAAAGAGCTCCTAGTTCCAATATTATTTTATATTTTATTTATTAAAAGACAGTTTTATTAAAAATTCTTTTCAAATTTTAGCATTATAATAATTAATTCTGTGAAAAGAAACATTTTTAAAAGAAATATTTCATCATCGCACCATGTATTTAATTATAATATATGTATTAGTAAAGTTAATTACTAAATTAAATGTATATAAGGTATATAATGTACACTAAAAATACTTTATTAGCAAATTATATGTGCATGTGTATGCATTAATGTTTAATTAATGTTTTAATTAATGTTTAATTAATGCATAATCATGTAGAATATATATTGTATATAAATAACGAAAGATTTGTAAGATAAGTTTTTTCTTTTTATTATTATTACGTTATTTAATTTTATTTCTAATATCATTATTTATTAGACAACCATTCTAATGAAAAAGACTAATGGTAATGTGGCAAGTATAAATGGAATATGGAAATTACGACCGATCGACTATTATCAACGTCAATTGTTGATTATTTTGGTAAAAAAAAAATATATATATATTAAGACATATTAAATAATCATTGATATACTAACAATACTAAAAAAAGAAGAAAAAAGTAATTTCTTTAAACCATTGGATCTGGCTTTTTAAAGGAAAATCATTTTAGAGGTGAACTATTTAAATTTTGCATTGTAGATAATAAAACTCTACTAAAAAATATAGGCTATTTTCATTGATTTATGAAAATATTAATGTAGATAAAGCAAAATTAAAAATTAAAATTAAACAGCTGGTGAAGGGCAGTTAATATGTGCGAATGATTAAGAGGCCACATCGACGTTATGTAATGTATGAGATAAGTGACAACCAATAATACCAAATTACTAACAGAAATTTCGTATATATATATATATGTTTCGTTCATACAAATACAATTGCAAATGTGACTATTTAGATAAGCACTTAACTAATTAAGCAATTTCAATATGTGAAATAATATCAAGGATTTCCTATACTATATACTTTATATACTAGAGAAAGTTCATATTCGTGATTAGATCTTACATACATATTTACATTACAAATTGTCAACATGTCAAAAATGTTATCTAATTTATAAATGCATTCTTCGATTAATATTGTTTTGATTTTAATTTCTGACTATCGTTATTTTATTTTACATTTGAAATACTTACAAGGTCAATTTTAAATATATATATTTTTATATTACCAATGATTATAAAACAAAATTTATCGCCAGTTGTTGAAGAAGTTACCATTATCAATACCAAATAAAGCTCAATAAAATAAAATTTAATTATTGAACCATTAATTCCGTTTTATTGAACTATTAATTTTATGCAAATCAGTTATAAAGATACAAATCACTCAACTGTAAATTTCTGCTTTTAGGTTCCTTAAATTTCAGAGAATAAATTTTTTAATTTGTATTTTATTACTATTTTCGAAATTAATAAGAATTATTTGATGTAGAATTATTTATGTAAAAATAAAATATTTTTAATCTTAAAAATGGATACCGCGTTTAGAAAAGATTATCAATTTACGTATATTTGATAACTATCAAGGATAACTGTAAATAATTAAACAATATTATGAATATAGATTTAAACATTTAAAAGCAATGTTGATTCATTGCTATGGACATTCAACGACAATGAACCATTTAAAATGAAAAAAGATTGTAATTATGATGTAAAATTACAACGAGAGAGACCGAAAAAAATAATTTCAAAATATATATTATAAATATTAAGATATTCCGATCAAGTTTAAAAGAAGCAAATGTATATCTGAAAAAGTTGCACGCGATATTACAAGGATAACAACATTTACCATTATCCTTCCACCTTTTGGTATTCTATTTTTACACGTTACTAGAGTAAAATACGCTTTAAACGTATTTTATCAGATACTTTATTATATCTATCACCAAAATCTTCGATTAAATTTATTTCCTATACTTAAAAGTTTTTAAAAGCGTTACACGCAAGCTCCTAAATTTAACAAGAAAGAGACGGAGGAAGAAGATTTTTGCTACAAGCATTTGAAATTATCATGTCAATTTGACTGCTTTGATTAGTAATTACTTTTGTCAAACTAAAACACATCGTTAACGTTCCTTTGCCACACCACTGATTCGTTCGTTCAGCAATAATAATAATAGTTGTAATAAAAAAAAAAAAAAAAAAAAAAAAAAGTAAAAAAAAGATAAAACCTAAGAAAAAGCTCATTGACTGCATGTGTGACGTCAAGACTCCGTTCTGTAACGTCACGTAGGCAGATGATAGACAGTGACGTCGTGATGCGTTGCGGTGAGTTCATATCGCGTTGAACAATTTCAAGATAAACGTACAAGCTACATTTCAAGGCTGTCATGATATATCAATTCCTGCGCTCATCTCACTCATACATACGTTCGGAAATTCACTTGAATTAATCTGCGTCATATAATTTTTAATCTGTGCTTAAACAGAATAGTTGCTTAATTAAAGATAAATATTATTTGTATTTTTAAAGATTACTTTGTAATGTTCGTTTCATTCATGTGTGGAAAGACTATTCATTTTCTAGTGACTGTAAAGATAATTTCTCTATTTTTGATTTATTTTATTTGGTACAGCATAGACAAATGATCTTATGCGTGATAATGTTGTAATTGAAACAGAAATATTTTTGTTACAGAAACACTAAATGTTAATAATTGAATTTTTCAATACAATAGATCTGGTAGAACTACTACTTTGCCATTTACTTCAATTTTTTCGTCTCATTTTTATGAAATTTTCATGTGAATGAAATTCTATTCTGTTATAAGTTTACGAATATTTTTCAGTTATTAAATTGTTTCAATGATCAAGTGTTTTATTTAGTTGACAGCTACGTATATATATATATATATATATATATATATATATTTTTACAAATTATATGTATATGTAAAGGGTATATATAAATATGGTGAAAACTATAATATAGAAATAAATAAAGCCAATAAAAAAATTCATCAGCTTAGTTAAATCTGCTGGAGAAATGGATGAATTTATAATTAGGGCAAATGCAAATGCTAAGTCTCTCCTCTATATCAAATAATAATATAAACGTAATGCTAAATTGCTTTAACATTTTGAAAAACATTAAGGGGTGGTTTATTTAGAAATAATAGCGGAATATTGAGTAACATAATACATTCTGTATAGTTTAAGATGATTCAATAATAATAAATTGTAAATTGTAAAATAAATTAAAATTATGTTAATATATATCAGCAGCAATCGTGATCGAAGATCTTTTGTAACGGATGGAAGATTAAAATGAAAATAGAACGTAATTTTATTATAAATTTTGTTTTTAAAAATATTTTCTTGTAAGCATCTGCATGGGTAATTAGCTTGAATTAAATAGAATCATTAATATTGAATTAATAATTTTTTTTTTCAACTCACCATACATTTGGCATTTACAGTATTTTACAATCCATTGAATTAAAATTAATGAGAAAATGCATTTTAATTTTCACGATTACGGACACGCATATCGATGAGAATGGTGTAATAATGAACTCAACTCTCTTCTTATTCCTAAATGAAATTTAATAAATGTTTCTTCACCTT